GTATAAAATTATGCACGGTGTATAGAAAGTGGATGGGCCTCTCTCATAATACAAGAAGCCAGGGCCATTCAATGAAGCAGAATGGTGAGAGAGTAGGAATGATGAAAGGAAGTACAGTGGTACCTCGGGTTAAGTACTTAATTCGTTCAGGAGGTCCGTACTTAACCTGAAACTGTTCTTAACCTGAAGCACCACTTTAGCTAATGCGGCCTCCTGTTCTCCTCCTGAAGCAAATTTCTTAACCTGAAGCACTACTTCTGGGCTAGCGGAGTCTGTAACCTGAAGCATATGTAACCTGAAGCGTATGTAACCCGAGGTACCACTGTACTTCTTTACATAGCACATAGATACACTGTACTGTCCAGTTTGCCAAAACTATCTTGTACTCAGTGCCAGCCAAAGACTCGTGTCTTTGTCCCAGCTTTTCGTACAGAGTGAGGCTGATGATGTAAAGCCAGTTGTAACTGTATGGAGTGATGGCAGGACCAGTAAGAATTTAATATGAATTCTAGACATGTTGTGATGGTATGCTAATGGGTTTTAATGTTTGCCCTACTGCATAGGTGTGTGTTGTCTATGTAATACGCCCTGGGACCATAGACTAATGAAGGACAGGATAGAAATGGAATAAAGAAATTAAATAAAAGTGATGCAATTTGCTACAACAGGGTGTGGCGATGGCTATCCACTTGGATAGTGTGAAAAGGGAATTTGAAAGATTCATGGAGAAGGAATAGCTGCTGGTTTTGGCTAATTCATACCTCCAGTATCAGAGGCAGCTCTGACTGCCAATTGTTGAGGGTCATAAATGGGAGAGTGCTATTGCACTCATGTCCTGCTTGTTGGTTTTCCATAGGCATCTAGTTGGCCACTATGGGAACACAATGCTGGACTGGCCTGGCCTTTTATCTAATCCAGCAGCACTTTCTTTATGCTATCATTATCCTGTGGATCATGGGCTTTTAGAAAACTACATAATGGACAGATCTGAATAAAGATGGCAATTGGATAACTGATAAGGAGGAAGCTACAAGGGGATAAAATATCTTGGACCTGGCCCTCACTAACAAGGAGGAACTGATCAATAAATTAGAAGTACTGTATTGGGAACCTTGGGAGGAAGTGATCTTGTACTCTTTGGTTTCATGATATAGAGGAAAAAGAAGGCTGAGCATAATTGGACATGCGTTCTGGACTTTAAGAAGACTAATTTCAAAAAGCTTAAGGAACTACTGGGTTAGATCCCATGGTTAGAAATACTCAAGAGAGATGGATGGATGGGAGTTTCTTAAAGGTGAAATAGTGAAGGCACAAATGCGGACAATTCCAACTAGAAAGAAAAGTATGAGGCATCTAACAAAACCAGTGTTGAGGACACTAAGGTTTGGGTTGATGCAGGACACAGCTGATGTGGTGTAGTAGCTAAGAGACTGAACAAAAGTACCTGGTTCAAATCTCACCTCTGCCAGAAGCTCACTTAGTAGCTTTAGGAAAACTACTACGGTATCTCTTATCTCAGCTCCCATCTGCAATACTTGGGATAATAACCTGCCTTGCAGAGTTGGTTTAGGAATTATAATAAAATAAGATAATACATGTGAATTGTTTTGAATACAGGCAACTGCTACATAAATGCTAAGTTGTTGTTGTTGTTGTTGTTTTCCTCCTTAAAACATACCTGAATAATTCAGAAGATGACACATTAAATCAGTATTTCTGTGCGCATGTTTGTGTACATAGGGGCAAACAGCAAAAATAAAAACCACACAGTCACTTCTCTGTTACAATGTTGATGCAGATTTATTTATTTATTTATTTGTCACGAACGGATTAAGGAAATATATGTTGCAAATTCTTGAATTGTGGAATATGCATAATGGTGTGCAGCTGCATTCAAAAGCTCAGTTTTCATAAAGAAGAATCATCTTCTCTGTGAAACTAATAAAAGTTCAACCACTGTCCTTAATGCAAGATGGAGAGATTGGTATTCCTACCTATCCATTTTACCTATATATTTAGAATGCAGTTGTGCAGTCAGCTGTGATCAGCCTACTTGTTTCAACGGGACAAAGTGTGCCTTTAGGAGGGGAGAACTGCAACTTAAATGAACACATTCTATAATACAAACAAAAACACACAGAGTAATTGATATTCAGTTGCAAAATGTGTAAGTTTAGTACAAAACCCAACTAAATGCTCATCTCAAGTACATTATAGCATCTGACAATTCAAATCCCAGTTCTTTTCTTTTTAAAAAATGGCTTTTAATTTAATATTTATGTGCCAAGTATAGATGTGTCTTTGAATATTGCGTACATGCTTTAAAAACATTTCCTAAAGCTTTTTTTTAGTGATGATTTTTATAATTCATTTTTAAAACTGCTTTCATTATATTCCTGTATGCCTTTAGGTATATAAGTACATTCCCTTCAGAACAAAATAAATTTGTGAATGCTATTGTGGTGCAATTGCAGTTCAACACACATAAATTCAGAAATACTATAATTGATCTCTACACATTTGACAACACTTTAAAATTTGAGCAACTGTATATTATTGGTTTTCTGTGTTTTTGTTTTGTTTTGTTTTTGCTGTTGCACTTAATTTTTTATTTGGGTAGAGATATTATTTCATGACTCAAATCTATTGCCTGCAATGACAGACCAGAATACACATTATTTTAGTTGCCTTTATTTAGCCTCACTGATTTACCCCTTCAATAAGATGCTAAGATGCCCCTTGGTTTAATTAAAATTATTGTGGTACACTGAGAGCAAAAATCTCTCCCCCCCCCATGGTTTGGAAAGAGAGGGAACTCCCTTGTATTTGTTTTGCATCCGTCAGTGGGTTTTCACGGTTTCAAAGAATATTTCAAATGGAGCAAGCCAGTTTAATAATGACAATTTAAAACAGCTAAGTTCCCATCTGCAGTCTGTCAAATATAGCAACTTTACCACTGCCCTCTTAACTGTGAATGTCAAAATTACCTTCTATAGCTGTGTATATATTGCTGATGGAAACATGGAATGCTAGATATAGTGAAGCTTCTTAGCTGAAGCTTAAACCGCCACCCCCCTCCGCAACCCTCTCAGTCTTACTGAAGGCAGCTGCTGCTGCTGCTGCTGCTACTACTACTTTCTGGGATCAAGAAAATGACTGCAGTACTTGTATTAAAGCAATATGAAGCTGGCAGGCTCTTTGGGTAATATTTTGAATGTGGGATGTCATGTGCTTCATTATTAGCCCTGATGTGCAACCATGGCATCATGTGAAACACAGGTGAAATATTTCATGATGTAAGTAGCTTCCTTTAAATCTTGAAACATAATAGAGAGGAAAGTTTTGTGTTTAGAGAAGAAAGCACAAGGTTTTGGGGGGTTTTGTTTGTTTGTTTTGGGTTGGTTTTTTTGGATAGTCCAATAATTACTTCACAATAATGGCAAACTCGGAAAAAGCATGGTTACAAAGGTGCACTTTTCTGTTTTTCTAAGCAGGTTACAACCCACTCCATAAAATAACAATATATATATTTTTGAAGAGACTTCACCAAAGTCTTAATATACCCAAGTAACTTTGACACATATGAATCTACTAAGCAGGAGTCCATGACACTGATTACATTGTTTAATGCCTACTTCAGGATGTTTAAGAAGAGGATGATATCATCTAAATATGTGATAAAAAGAGATTACTGGTACATATAATATTCCTCACTGGCAGGCATTCCTATCGTGTCATATCAAAGTCTAGCAAAATGTTGAAAGTTAGAAATGTTATCAAGCATTAGCAGGCATTTAAAGAACGTCTCTTGAATATTTCTAGCATAAAAAGTATTTCATGTGATGTAAATTAATGGTAATTTTTCTGACTTTAAAAGAGAGCTCTGCCAGTACGTTTCAGTGTTCTGGACCCAATTCTGCTAACATGGAGACGCTTTCAATTTGCTCTGCCTGCCTTCCCGCCTTAGATGGCTGCGATTGCAACAAAATTAATCCATTTAAAAATCTGCGGCTTAAACTTAAGGATTTTCAGTCCCCCCCTCCCTCTTTTTTTTCTTAGAATATCAATAAGTTCCAATTGAAGAGCGGATTCTTTTGCAATTCAGGCATGTGCCGGCGATAACGGGCGAGTTGGCATGAAGAGAGGCAGAGATGGATTAATTATGCAGAGAACATGGAAATTCTGCTTATCATCGGCTAGCAAAGGAGCCCAGCTCACATAATCAGCAAACGAAGGGAGAGAAAAAAATAACAATGCAATGGCACCTTCCAGCCCATCATCAGGATTTTTCTACCCCCTTGTAATTAAAAAATAACATACACTTATAGCCCTATCTCCTGTGCAGGCAAGGAGTGGATGTCCACAAAATAATTGCACTGGGATATTAGAGCTGGAAACAAGGGCTGCCCATTCCTGCTATCCCTTCCTCCCTCCCCTCCCATTCTTTCCTCTGGCCTGTACAAGGCTCTTCCTTTCTGCCTGGAATCCGAATCAGATGGGTGTCTCAGGTGACATCCTATCTTAGTGTCCATGACTCCCAAACATCATCCTTATCGTGATTCAAGCAAACATGTATATGATAAATACTTGAAATCCTGAAGCGGTGGGGCTTTTATCCTGATCACCGGCAAGCTATCAGAAAATCACTTTGAGGAACCCTTTCCAATGAGTTTTTACCGAGTTACGGAGCAGAATGATTATCACAGGGCATTCTGATATTGTTGTTGTTGTTTTCCACTGCGGCCTGCAAAGATTGTGCCTCCCTTGACTTACTTTTGCTACTGTCTATCTTTCTCAGCTAAAGGTAAAACAACAAGAGATTCTGCTGAGGATCTGCCAGAAGGTGCGTGCATATGCAGCTTATAAAGATTATGCAAAATAAATAAATAAATAAATTAAAAGCCAACATTTTATTTATGCCAAACTGAGATTGATTTGACATTTGTGCCCTCTGCTTCCTTGATGGCATAATCCATTTGTGCAAATCAGACTACAAATACCCTTATATGATGATGCTTGATGATCAGAATGCATTTTGCTGTTTTTAATTCCTCCTTCCACACCATTTTATCTTGTAGCTGCCCCCTAAGAACGTACTGTGGCTTTCTGAAATCTTGGGTCACGTCTCACTGCTTTCACTGGGGAGCAAAAGAAACATAAGGGAGAGAATGAATCTGGAAGCAACACAGGATATGCAATCAGAGGGGTAGGCAATCAGTCTGTGTAGATTCTTCCATACACAGGAACCACTGTGGGGTGCTATTCGCACACTCGGAATATATATATATATATATATATATATATATATACACACATTCCTTCTGCAGGCATTGATATTAATAGCAGTCAAAGCATGGGGAGGGCAGCCCCAGATGCCAACAGACGTTCAAATTCCAAAACCTTCCCATCCTTAGAACAAATGTTTTGTAGACTGGACCATTCAGGGTGGGAGGTGGAGCTAAGGAGGGAAAGAATAAGGCCAAGGAATATCTTTGGTGTACACAGGTAGATGTGTTCAAAGAAGATTGCTGAATAAACTGCACTGGAAGCTTTGAAAGTGGTTTGCAGCAGAAAATCGTTTGGAAGTGCAATGTTCCTGCTAAGTAAACAAAGCTAAACTATCCTGCTGAGTATATGAAGTCTTTGGGGGGGGGGGAGCTAAGTACGTTAATAAAATAAATAAACCAAAAACCCCACCATGTTCTCTGCAAATTCTAACCACGTATCCATTGTTTAAAAGACTCGTGAGATTTCACTTTTCCACATATACCCACAACAACCTGCTTTTTCAAGATGGATGACTTGCTGTAGTCCCCTTTAGGTAAATCACAAGATAACTTATTACCCCATAATTAGATATTCATCTTGCCCCATTGACAGGTTTGGTCAGGCAGGCTGGGCAATCTTTGAGTACCAACTTGGACCACTATGTGCATAATCCTGATAAGTAATACATGGTCCTGGAGAGATCCAGAGGCTGAGCGATATCAAGATGAGCATCCTGGGGCTGTACTGGACCCTGGTTGTTTTAGAACTCCCAGAGGTAAAAATCGAGACACTATAATACGCTATAGGGCCCTTCATCAGGACAGCATTAGCTCAGCAAATCCCATGGGGAATAATTAAATAAGGCTTAACAGCAGAGGGCATCAAAAAATGACAGTGTGAGGTAGATGAGGTCCTCTTCTTCTGGGCTTCATGAAAACTCACAACTAACCTATAAATCCCAGTGGAACTTAGAGTTTCAGCACTTTTTTCTTTTTTTTGCCACATTAATTCATCTGGACTAGCCACTCTCACTGTCCAGTTCTGCACACACCATCATTAATGTTGTTTGGAATCAGAGTGTCATATGTAAACATGCACTGAAAGAGTAGGGGAAAAAATATCCACCCTTTGAACAACTATAAGTCTGTATGGACAGTAGCTTTTCAGACACTTGGAGGTGGTGCTTTATAGCTGTCATTGCCTACTACAGACAAGTTCACACACACACCCTTTGCATGTGTGTTCTGCCTTCTGCCACACCTTGTGGTATTTTAATTTGTGTAATCCAAAATCTGAAACAAGCTACCATAACATGGCCACCAGTGCAGCAGTGAAGCTGCATCTTGATCGATTTGCCTGTGGAGCAGCACACTCCTCTCCCATCATTCTGGAAATGTTTCAAAATGTGTATTTTAGTACAATAAAGAATGGGTGCCTATCCCTATATGCAATATTGAAGCCCTTTAAAAGGAATAACCCAGAAGGTCTTGTTTGATTTTGATCAGAACTGCAGAAATGAGGGAGAGTTTTTTAAAACCCATTCTTCCGAAGTTGTTTTTCATATCTTTTTCCTCCCTGAAACTGCTATTTCTACGCAGTTGGGGGGGGGGGGACTAGAATCTCTGTTTCCTCAATGCAATAAATAGAAACTTGTGTGTGTGTATCTGTAAAATTTACAGTGAAGGATAGTTCATTAGGGTGAATGAGGCACTGCCCACCCCCTCAGTCTGCCTTCAGCTAGTCTCCCTCCCTGCCTTCTTACTTACAACCAATGCCTGTCATCCTCCTCCTCCTTAGTCTCCTTAGCCCTTGTAGAACTAGGCAGGGAGGAAAACTAGAATTAGTTCTGTCCTTCTGTCATTGGTTCTGGCTCCACTTTTTTTCCCATCTCCCTGCCTTCTGCCCTCCCAGTCCCAATGGGCACCAGCTACTACTGGTGAAAGGGTTAAACTGTCAACATCAGAGCTACTTGTGTGCTCTTAAAACCCAAATAGAAATGCTGGGAGATCCAATCATCATTCATCACAACTTGTGTCATTTGGCCCTTAGCTACCCTAATGATAACACTTCTGTGATAAGCAATCTTGAGCCTTCTACGCTCAGTGAAATTCCTGGAAAATTAAAAGCCAAGTGTCTAAAATTCAGGTCTCCAATATTAATTATCCTGTGAAGTCGTCATCTTTCCCTCTTTGCACCTAAGTCACACTCCCATTTATCCAAAACATTTGGTTATTGCATGTCTTAGATGATTCCCATGCAATAGCAACCAAGAAATAATATAATATTCTGTATATCAATAGATATACCAATATATCAATATAATATTCTGTATATATCAATATATCAATATAATATCAATCAATCAATATAATATTCTGTATATCAATGCCTTCTCATTCAAGCCATTTATTGTAAAGGTGTGTAGCAGAGGTACTGTGCTTTGTGTTTATGAAAAGTTGAAGTTGGTTTGAAATAAATTGCCTTGACTGACACCTAAAAAATGAAAGACCCTTTTCATAATCTACCACTGATCAGCTGAGCCACTGTTAAAAGAGTGTTGGCATTTATTAAGGTTATTTAAACCCAGTGCAGATACCGATCCTCAACAATTAACTGCTCACATTTGTTGCCCTCCAGATATTGTTGAACTACAGCTCCCATTAGCCCAAGACGATGGGAGCTGCAGTCCAACATCTGGAGGGCACCATGTTGGCTATCCCTGTTTTAGTGAGTCTTCTCTGATATTATATTGCTCACATGAATAGATACTACAGAGACTATAGACAATCTAGTAAAAGGTAAAGAACCTCTGACAGTTAAGTCCAGTCGCGAGCGACTCTGTCAACGTGTTTGATTACCAATCTATACTTATTGGTGTTAAAATGATAGAGCCATCTTAGAGACCCAACCAAGATTGAAATCTTAAATATTATCCAACTCAATGAAATAATCAAGCATGTTAAAGCTATTACTCTTCATCAGAGATATCAGCATATACATAGAACAGATCTGATTAACAGTGACAGTTCGCTTAAGGCGTTTCCTCTAGATTCAGAGTGCTCAATTTAAACATAAAAAATCAGGACACTTGTGAGACTGCTGCCTCTTTTCTGGTATATAGGACCACCTTTTGTTTTTTAACAGAAGGAGTTTTTTAAATTTTAAAAAGGGACATAATTGTAAACATAATGTTTGGCAAACCCAGAACTAAAAGCTAACTCTGCTAAATGCCACCTTAGCAGTAGTATCCTAATCACTAAATTCTATCTACAGTATATTCCATGTGGGTTTGATCATTTGATTTGATTTAAAACACAGACACACACACAACAAATCACTATATACTGAACAAAGTAAAAAAGTTATTACTGTAAAAATAAAGGAAGAGAATACAGAGGATAGAAAGAGAAACAAAAGCCCTCACACACAACATTTACAAAAATATAAATGGTTTGTCCTATTACTGTTTGTGTTTTAGTCCCAAACAAAACAACCCCATTCCTTTTCAGAGACAGCTTTATCACACATCTCCTGTTTCGCCCAGAAATCCCAGGTTAACTTACTTTAGACTTGATCATGTTTACACCACTGGAGCACTGTACAGCTGCTATTGGAGTCATATGCCATTGTTAGGTGTGTCAGAAGTGTCAATGGTCTTCCCTAAGTTGGCCAACCTTAGGATAGCCAGAGGCCCAGTTCTTTTCTGTTTTTGATAGGGCTACTGGGTGGGAAATATGGCTGCTGTATGTCTTGCAGGGAGTGTGATGTTGACTTGATGGATAATACTGGGAATTGAAGGGGGGGCCCTCTATCACCCTGCTGCTACATTTTTATTGTTTGTTTTTATTTGTCAGTTCCTAAATGTAGGATGGGAGCAACCAGCTATGCTGCCATTTTTCTTCTAACTTAGGGGAAGATTCCCACCTACCCCCTTTATTTGGGAAGGTTTGTTGTGCAAAGTTAGAGAAACCATGTTCTAGTGGAAAGACATCGTGGAACTATATATCTGCAACCAAATATATGAATTTTTGGAGGAATGTGAGAGATTCGTTCCTGCTCATATATCTGTACCAACAGCAAACTTTGGTGCAATTTTTCACTGCGTCATCATTCTCCTCTTTTCCCTCAGTGCCCCACCTTCAGTAGCTGTCTCTGAAGTCCTAGAAACTAGAAGCATTAACTTTTGCTCTGTGTCTGACACCAACAATTAAATGAGTAGCGATTGTGAGAATAAATGTTACACCCTACTTCTTAGTAGTTGTACCTATGGTAGTTGAATCTATGAGATATAGATATCAGGGCCTTCCAGATGTTTTTGGACTACACTTTCATTATCCTGGATCATTAGCCATGCTGGCTGATAGGAGTTGGAGTCCAATATCTGGAGGGGCACCAGTTTCCCATACCTGAGCTATTCTGTGTCAGACATTAAGTTCTTCATGATAGCTCAATCATGGAAAGAATCAAGAATTATTATGGGGAGGAAGAGTTTGACTGGCTGTTATTGTTGTATAACGATAACGATAAAGATAATAATTCTTACTTGCCTTCACAATAAGATCTTAGGGTGAGTGAGAGACAGTTAAACCAATTTACAGTCAGAATAACAGGTTGGGCCCTAACCATATATGTCTCTAGTGTCGAAGGCCAGGGCAAAGAGGTCAGTCTTCAGCATATGACGAAATACATGCAGTGAAGGTGACAGATACACCTCTGTGGAGAGAAAATTCCATAACCTAGGGGCTGCCACAGAGAATGCCCTTTCCCAGGCTGCCACCCCCAAAAAACCTCTGAGGGTGGTGGCACCATCAAGAGTGCCCCCTCTGGCAAACTTGAGAGGCTCTGTATTTGCACTGTTTGGGAGGAATGAGGACTTCAGCATACAAAATAGGGGAGATGTGTTCCTCTCTTGTTAACTGTGTATTCCCCCTTAAGGGAGGAATATACCGAGCCCCCAAAGACAGGCAATTTTAGTCAGGTTTAGAGGGAATCATGAAACTGGTATCAACAGCTTTGCATCCTCTAGCTGCAGAATTCAAACCACTCCTCTGTCTGTCATTTGAGCTTGGTTGGAAAATTTGCACAAGCTGTATACATCTATAATCTTTTACATTTCCTGAAAACAAGTTTTAACATCTTTCACAATAGAAGGCAGATAATAGAATCCTCAGTAACCGTAACAGCAAATGGATTTGTAATCTACCCGTGATTAAAATTATTTTCATCATGAAGTAGAAATTCTCATTATTGTTGCCATTTTAATATTATCAACTATAAAGTGTCTTAGTGATTGATACTGCAGACAGTGAAACCCTATATTATGGTAATTAAATTTAAAATGAATCAGCTATCCTTATATGTCTCAGTACAGTACCTGATTATTTAAAAACAATTATCTTCCGATGTCACCTAATGGTGCAGGCTACTTTGAACTGCCTAAAGGAATTGTTCACGGACAAAAAGTTGAACCATAGGTGAAATGTACATTCAGAGCAAGCTGTGAAATAATAGGCTGCATGTGTAATGTGTGTTTGTGTGTGTGTGTGTGTGTGTGTGTGTAATCACAGGAATTCCTTAGCTTTTCCCCACTTTGCAATGAAGTTCTTATTTCTGGGATCCCAATGCATACAGGGGCTAAAAAGAACATTCTGGAAGAGGGGCTCATCCTTTAAATCTCTGTGTGCAGAAGAAAATTTACCACAAAGCTTTGAGGGACATTCTGAAAAAGAAACACCAAAGCTCTGAGGCTGACACTAAAATGCCTTTTATTTAGAAATGGGTTGTCTTTTTTTTAAGGCAACTGCAAATGTTAAACTCTATATATTTACTCCATTCTCTCTCTCCCCCCCCCCCGTAATATTTTTTTTAATACAGACAAAATTTCCCCGAACAGGAATAAAAGTTGTATCTTTTCAGCCCACTTAATCCTCAGTGTATCCTCCCCATCCGCTCCCTGGTGTTCCCCCATCCCCTCCTTCTCCTGCTGCCTGTTATTACAAGATACTCTTTTTTCTCCATTTTGGTGAAATTTTAGTACAAAAACATTCTTTAGTATCTCCGTTCATTTGCAGATTTCAGCAGGCTTGCTGAAGCACACCTGTTGTGCTGTCTGGATTTCCTTTCTCTCCCCCCCGCCCTTCTTTTCCTGATCATAGGCTTCTGACAAAGAGGGGGGGAGAGAGATTTTTATCAAACACTCTTCACCGGACAATGAATTTTCTTCACCATTTGAATGTATCTCTGGAATGCCTGAGTGATTCATTACAGCAGATTCTGAAGTATGACAATGGGCCGCAGAAATGACTGATGGTATCTTTTTCCTGATTTCATTTCCCTGATCCTCTTCATCCCTTGGCCTGTGTACCTCGATTAATTAGAAACCAGGGATTTTCACTCATCAGCTGATGGGTTTCATGCTCTGCTCTGTCACAAATCTGCTGCTTTCACTATCTCTCTTACAGCTGGTGGTTGCTTTTAAAACTTTCTTTTTTCCCTCTCCCCCCTCCTCTCCTTTTTTTGAAGCAGTGCTTTGTGACTACAGGTTTAGGCCTTTTTAAGATTCAGACATATATATATATATATATTTTAAAAAAAGAGATTAGAAATTAAAGTAAAGAAGATTCAAAATCTCTGATTAAGTTAATCCCTATCCAAATGATACTTGTCCAAAAATGAACTTTTTGAAGAGATAATAATGTAAATGTTTCATAGCTCTCAGCTTTCCAACTCCCCCCCTTTTTAAAAAACCGATATAATAATTGAAGTATTATGCAAAAGTATTATACGAATATTTTTTTTCCTTGTGTGCAGAAAGCATGCGTTCTGCTCGTGTGCATTTTAGTGCTGTCTATGCTATATTGTTAAGCCAATTGCATTCAAGTTTCACTTGCAAGAGCCACCTTATAATAGGATCCTGCAATAAATCATTGAACCATTATTGTTTCTGGAGGAAATATTCCATAATTGAAAATATGCTGCCCCTTAGGGCCTATACCAAATTAAATCACATGGTGATAAAATCCCTAAGGAAACAAACTATAATTAAATAGTATTTTAAATGCAGAATATTTTGCAATAAAAATTCCTCCCTCCCCCTCAGAAACCTAAAATAATGTGTGAATCACAGGCAAACATATCAATTATGTCTAGCAGAGAAAATGTAACCACTGCTAGTTTACTTTCCTTATCTCTGTATATTTGTACATTCTTTGTTTTGGTCTGATTTCTGCATTTCACATGTTCCTGCTACACCCTGCAAAATATTTCCAGTGTCATTCTGTGTGGACACTGTGCATTGCTCAAAATAAAAAGAAAAATGTGGAGTGAATGAGGAGGAACTAGATTCGGTAACTGAGAAAATACAACTGGCCCATTATGCCTCAGAAAGGACTATGGCAGAGGTGGGAACCTGAGGTTCTTCAGTTATTGAGTTATTGTGGAGGCTCCAGGTCCCAGCGGCTCAATCCAATATTGCCAATGGACTGAGAAGATGGGCGTTATAGCTCAAGAGCCTCTGGAGAGCCACCCGTTATCCCCATGTCCACCCCTGGGGTTTGCAGGTTGGCTAGCAAACAATACATATGTTAGCTATTCAATAGGGCTATTGATTACTGGGAAATGAACCAATTATTTATGGTAAGTCTTCTCCATCAGTGAAGAGGGTGAGGTGTAAGCATGTGGGGATTCCGGGGACACTGCCCTCCCTTTGCTGAGCCCCCAAATACTAGAACAGAGTACATGACACAAGTGGCAAAAGAAGAGAAAAGACAGACTGGAAGAGGAAGCTAGATGGGAAATAGTAGAGATGGCTAAGTCAAGTGTCTAGGCCCCGTGCGGTAAGGGTGGCCACGTGTTCTACTTTACAGAGGACAGTGCTCTATCTGAAGGTATCAAGCTTCAAAACACCACTCAGTCATAATGCTGGCTGGTCAATCTTGGACTAATCACATTCTCTCAGCCTAACCTACCTCACAGGGTTGCTGCAAGGACAAAATGGAGAGAGGGGAAAACAATCTATATACACCACCACGAGCCCCTTGAGTTTGAATATAATTGCAATAAATAAAGAATCAAACAAACCATAAGAAGGGAGAGCAGGAAATTGTCCAGCAGCAGTTAGAACCTAAACAGGCTCAAGAATCACAGCTGTCAGTATTGCCAACCTAGTGTCAATGGATGAAATACCTACAGTAATAACTGCTTTGCAACTTGTGAAATTCGAATTCTTTGTATGGTTTAAGGATGGTGTGGGGACAGCAGGCTCCTTTAACAGCTGTGTGGCAAGCCTTTGTCCAGAATGGAAAACAAATATGAAAGAAGCTTCACAGAGAAGGCACACATTTGTGCATGACATAAAGTGTAGGCAAATTTGTTTCTTCCATTGCAAGTGCTTCAGAGCCCCCGATCCACATACTGTGTGCTTGGCCTGCAAAACCCTCTTGGGGGGTGATAGGAGTTGTAGTCAGTAATTTAAGAATAATTCTGCTGGCTCAGACCAAGGTACAGTGGTACCTCGGGTTAAGAACTTAATTCGTTCTGGAGGTCCGTTTTAAACCTGAAACTGTTCTTAACCTGAGGTACCACTTTAGCTAATGGGGCCTCCCTCTGCCGCCGCCACACGATTTCTGTTCTCATCCTGAAGCAAAGTTCTTAACCCGAGGTACTATTTCTGGTACTATAGCAGAGTCTGTAACCTGAAGCATCTGTAACCCGAAGCATCTGTAACCTGAGGTACCACTCTGTGTGTGTGTGTGTGTGTGTGTGTGTGTGTGTGTAGCAACGCCATCCTTTCACTAGCAGCACACTTCTGGATTGGGGTGAGGCACCTGTGGTGAGGTCAAGGTAGCTCCAGCTTTTTATGTGCACTTGCAGGGCCATTGCTGACCCAGAGCTCCCCTGATCACTCACAACACCACCTCACCCCCATCCCAGTGGGTGCAGCGCCACTGCTGGGATGATGCCACTGCCTCTGCATCCCATCATGAGTCAAGATGTGTTAAGAAAAAGAACTTGAGTTTATCGTGCATAGGTGAAAAAGAGGCATCTGCTGTAATTCCCTCTTCTGCACAACTATTAAAGGCAAAAGATCCCTGTCATTCTGTGCATCTGGTCAACATAGCTGGGCAGGTGAGTTCATGACCATCAGCAGATCTTTTCTTAGCAAGCCACATAATGTATGAAGCCTTGGTGGAATAATAATAATAATAATAATAATAATAATAATAATACTTCCAACTGCTGTCTAAGTCTTCAATCAGTTTTGTTCATTACAGCAAAAGACACCTTTTTCTCAACAAACAATCTGTGAAACTGAACATTTATTTTGCAGAATTGAACCCTGATGAACTGAAATCCCATTATCATTTCATTTGTTCCCTGAGATTCATTTCTCTGCAGATTTCCAAAGAACAGCATTAGATCAGTACATCTTCCAGCCCAAGCTTACCAGTCATCATCAACACTATCTTTGTGTTTGAAAATTAAAAAGTTAATTAAAAAAGCAGGGGCGAATGAGAATTTGCATTGCTGATCAACAAAGTTTTTAAAGTTTTCTTGGTTGTGTAGCCTATTGAAGATGAATGCATGTGCTCAGGTTTTTTTAAACCTGGTTAATTAAGAAGTACAGGCATATTTGCATGGGCAAATATGGGGGTGGGCAGCCTACGTCCCCCAGGGCAGCATGCAACCCTTGGCCTAATTTGATGTGGCTGGAAAAGAGGGGAAAGCTGAATGGAAAGAGAGAGAAAGGGGGATGGCAGAAAGCAGGAGTGGCTCACCCATTGGGACAGAAGTGCAGGAACAGCCTTCCAGCAATGGTGTTGCTGCTGCTTTTGTGGGACGGGCAGGCAGCGATCAAATCAGGGCTGCATAGGCACAGGACTGGCTACACTGGTGCACCTGCACTGGCCTGATTTTACAACTGCCTTTCCCATTTCCCTCTTGGTAACCATCAGCAAGGTTGCCAGGAGGATATTGCCACAGCTCTGTCCCTCTGGGTGAGCCACTCCTGGAAGAAAGACACATGAAAGGTTATCACCATCTGTGCACCTGCCTACTACTGCCCAATTTGGAGCTTTGTAAGTGTCACCTTAACTATGGTTAGGAGATCAAGATTGTTTCTGGATAGTCCTCCTATATTGAACCCATGATCACTGTAATTATACAATGATATAATTATACAATGGTAATCAAATCAAATCTCCTAACCAGCATTTTTAATCAGCTTCCAAACCTGCTTTTCAATCTGGAGCAAACCCTGGTTAGCATTAAGTATGGGAAAGGCATAACAACTAACCAAGGTTCAGGCTGTAGACGAGGAAGATGGCAATTTTCTCAAGGGAAGATAGGGAATGTGCAATGCTTAAATCCCAAACCAAGCCACCTAACCATAACTAAGGGATGGACAGTGTTTTGTCTACACCAGTTCACTGCTGCCACCAACTTCCACAGCAGCTGAACTAACCATAATAAAGGACTATGCAACTTGTCATTCACTGAGCCAAACAGTGATCTGTAATTTGGGATTTGATTTGGGATTTGATACGTCTGCAGTCATTGAAAGTCCAGTCCCTGAAACAACCCTCCCAAAGCTGATATTATGTGGCATGAGAGGAAACCTGCCACCTTGACAACAGTGGGAACTTCCTTCCTGTGCCAAAAGCCATATTGGGAAGATTTTCATCAGGACTGAACCCCCACCCTCCCCCAATGTTCTATGTGAAGTTTTAAAAAGAGGAACATCATGCAAACTTTGAGTTTAAAGTAGCATATAAATTTAGCTATAATCCTTCTCAGATGCAGAAAACCTGGCACTTCGAACTTGCAAACTTGTGCAATGCCACTAAGCTACAAGCAACACTAAAACATTGTAAAGACCCATGGCTGCTCATGAATGAATTCTCATTTGCAGCAGGATAGAAACTCAGGCAGCCATTTTGCTGAATTCATTTATACCTCACCTTTCTTCCATGGTGGAACTCAAGGCCTGCTACACAGCATTCCCATGCAGTCTCCTATCCATCCAAGTACTAGACAGACCCATATCTTCTTAGTTTTACTAAATTTGCAACATCATACACTCTGGGATTTTCATCCTTAGCACTTGGCAAGATTACACAAATGGCACACTACTAGGGCATGAAATCAGCCCAGGTAGTCTGCACAGACATGTCATTTGGCATATTCACTATTTCACTAGCTTTATATATAGCAATGACTGAGCCACAGTTAAGTGGCTGAACACATCTTATGCATGAAAAAAGTCCCTGACATCTTCACTTGGAAGGAATTCTGAAATCCTGGACAGCTGCTTGTGGTGTAGTGGTTAGAGCGTTGGACTAAGTCCTGGCCACTCAGCCATGAAGCTCACCAGGTGACCTTGGGCCAGTCGCTGCTTCTCAGCCTAACCTATCTCACAGGGTTGTGGTGGGGGTTAAATGAGGAAGGGGAGAATCATGTACACCACCTTGAGCTCCGGAAAGAAAAAGTGGGATATAAATGAAATGTTTGTTTGTTTGTTCGCTCGCTCGCTCACTCACTCACTCACTACATTTATTTAATAGCCTTTCTGCCAATGCACAGTTTACTATTTAAGATAATGGCATTCAATTTCATAGTTCTGAACTGTCACAAAAAGAAAAGGCAATGGGGCAGAAAGAGGAAAATAAGCAAATCCATGTACCAATTCATACAGAAGGTTAGAAATGCATAACATGGGAATTAGTACTGGCATTAAGAGTATTGGTATTAGGAGTTATGCTGAGGGACCTATGGTAAGTCAGGGTGTGTGTGGAGTAGGGCCTCCAAGCCACCACTTGCCTTTTCCTACTGTAGTAGCTAGCAGCCTAGCACAGTACTTAGAGATGCTTCCCAATCTCCCTAAATGAAATACTGCAGTGATCTTGCTCAGCTACCTTTCAATTTGGTTGAAATAGTTTATCCTATTTTCTACCAAATTCCACAAATTTTGAGGTCTGTGGGCTTAACCAATGCAAGTGCCTCTTTCTTTTAAGTGGAAAAAAACACACTACAGTTAACAGCAGATGACAGATGAATTCTGTCTTCCCCTGTGAGATGTGAAATCACAGGTGACACCTGATATATGAAAATAAAAGATCAGCCATAGAGCAATCAGTTCTTTCCTTTCCCCCCCTCCCTGTGATGTCATCTGAATACAGATGGCTCCCCTGGGAATCCCCAAAATTCTGAGTATAATGATGTGCATTGTCAGGAGCTAGCAAACCCTCCAAATTGTATCTGTGTGGTCTACTGTCATGATTTTCAACCCAAGCCTGCTCTGTTATTTTTGCTTCCTCACAAATGCACACCCCGTTATTAATTATAACTATATGAAAGTTCTAGTAAGAAGAAGAAGAAGAGAAGAAGAGTTTGGATTTGATATCCCGCTTTATCACTACCCGAAGAAGTCTCAAAGCGGCTAACATTCTCCTTTCCCTTCCTCCCCCACAACAAACACTCTGTGAGGCGAGTGGGGCTGAGAGACTTCAAAGAAGTGTGACTAGCCCAAGGTCACCCAGCAGCTGCATGTGGAGGAGCAGGGAAGCAAACCCGGTTCACCAGATTAGAAGACTACTGCTCTTAACCACTACACCACACTGGCTCACACTAGTGGGGAAAGTATTTTGAATCTGTATCTTACTCCATCTTTCCAGCAATCCCATGAAGCAGCTTGTTATATTTTCCTGGCCCCATTTTAAAGATAGGACCCCAGTGATAAAATTGTGAAAGCCTATCCATCAGGCACATAGAAAAGGGCCACCTGCAGCACTCCGTACAATGGTTCCTATCTAGCTTGTTTCAATAGGTGACGGTGAGAGTGGGCTACAAGGTGGTTGCTGCTATACCAGTCCCTAAGCCAGTGAGCGACCCAGACACTAAGACCCCATCTGCACTAGACATTTAAAGTAGTATCATACCACTTTAAGCAGTCATGGCTTCCCCCAAAAGTAGCAAGAAAGACAGAAGTACTTTCTATCGGAGGTTTAATTTCTTTTCTTTCTTTCTTTTTGTCATTTTAAAAAATCTGAGTAAGTAAACTTCAAAAAGTAACACTGCAAATACAATTAAAACCCATCATTAGCATATTGGGGGTGCAGTACTGTAGTTGAGAAATACTGAGCAGGTGGTTGCAAGCTGAGACAGAGTAGTGCATGACAAACTTTCAGTGTTATCCAATATTGCTATATGGTCTCTTTGTGCCGTGGGCCTTTTTAAAGGAAACAGAAGGGCAGGAGGGCTATTAAGTTGATGGCAGCATCAATGTGAGGGGACAAGCTATTGCTTTCCTACCCATGGGGGGGGGGATAGAGGGGTGCTGATGGTGTAAACGCTAAAATGGATTGCTTCATTTCAAATACTTTTTGCGCACACACAAAAAGACCGAAGTGTCTGTTTGACCTGTGCTAATAACATTGCTGTGGTTATTATGAGGCATAAATAATAAATCATTCTTAGGATACACTGCTTGCCTCTTCACAATTTGATGGTGCATTTATCCCAACATGGGCATCTGAATCTTGGCAGTTGTGAATATTAAATCCGTTTTGAACATCCACCCCTCTGCCTTCTGAAATGCCGCACCTGGTCTTGTATTGAGAGTGCCATACTGCCAGTTTAAGGTCGGTGGATGAAAGACCTATAGTAACATAGCTGGCTTACAACTTATGAAACGTGTGGTTTTTGCATAGTTGTAGAGTTAGCATTGGACAACAGCAGGGCTCTTGTCTCTTGAACAGCTGTGTGGCAGGCAGGGGGGGGAAACAGCTTAACTCCATTTGAGTGTAGATAGAGAACTCTGGGGAAAGTTTCCCGATTTCATCAGGCACCTTATTGTTTGGATGTAGCACCTGATTCACATAAGACAACATATATCTGCATCCAAAACAAAGTGTGGGCAAAACTGTATTCGAGGCAGAGGGCTGAATCCACATACAGCGAGTTCCTGTTGTCACCCCTGAAAACCGTACTTGGAAGGAGGAGATTGCACAGATACACTGAAATTAGTCTGTTCAGGGCAAGGGTAGCCATCTATTGTGGTGCTGTTCAGATGTTGCTGGACTCCAGCACCCATCAAACTTGACTATTTGTCATGCTGGCTGGAGATGATGGGAGTTGGAGCCTAACAGCCTCTGGATGGCACCACAATGCTTATACCTGCCGCTTTAAAGGTCAAAGCTGGCACCTTGAACTGAGCCTAGAAATGAACTGGTAACCAGTGCAGTTGGGGGGGGGAGAGAAAATCTGGGTAATATTCATTTCCAGAAGTGCAGTCAGTGCTCCACACAACTTCACCCCCATTTTGCTTTGTCCTGGGCTCTTTTTGCCAGTAGCAGTTGGTGGGGTGGTGTAGCTGAAGGGCAGCTGCTTCCAGTTTCAGAGAGGGATACAGGTGACAAGTTCAGCATGGACATAGGAGCAGGAACATAGTGACCATACCTCTTTGAGCTCCCCACATCTTACCACTCCCCTTCTCAAGAACCAGCAGGGACATTCCGTGCTCAGAAGGAAATTGAGCAATGCACCTCCCCACTGTACACTACTGCTTTTTGTTTGTGTCCTTGTGCACAAAATATTTAATGAGAATGACACAACAGTGTATCTGTTAACACATATGATATGTCTGTGCAAGCAAGGTATTTAGAAGAATCCGACAAAATGTGCAAAAACATGGTTCTTCCATGTTAAATGACAACAGGCTCTTCATGATCAGCTGGAATGATTCACAATGGCTCATCATCCATCAATCCTTCTCTGTCTCCATTTTAACCTTCAGACTGAAGCCTTTTCTTCTGGTGAATCCTTCCCTTTTTCAATTGCTGCTTAATATTGTAGCAGCAAAGATAAACTTCATAAAATAGATTAAATACTAAAAATGCAATTATGTTTTAAATTAAATGTAAATGTTTAAAAATATGAAACTTTGTAAATGTATTTTTGCATATATATATTTTTTCTGCTACGGCCTTCCATCTATATGTATATAGCAATTGACCACACATAAAAATGTCTCACAAATTTCAAAGTAATGGTTTGTGTAATTATATTGAATCTGAGGGGTCCTGTTACTTTGTTCATAGCTGGGGGGATTTTTTTTTTAAAAAAAGACTTTTGTAATACTGAAGTGAAATGTTATTACAGTCTCACTTACTCATTCTTGGAATTGGCTTACTGATTACTTCAACATCGACATCAGTGAAAAACATTTGACATCTGGCCTAGAAAATCAGACCGCAGACCACAGAGACTTTGATTAAAAAAAAAAAAAACTTCGTGTAATTTTCTGCAATCAGTAAGCTGGCCTATTCTTTTATCAGAATGAAGCTTTCTCTCGTCACCTGCAAATTTCTAGTAAGCCCTAAAGGAAAGAAAAACGTCTGAGAGAGAAACAAAGAAGACCATGGTCCGAATAACCTGTGCGTTGCCACCTGCACAAGTCATTTTATTGCGTTACTGGCACCTTTGTCTTAATCACTTTCACCCTGATCCTGTTACAGGCGTGCGCTTACACCTGTGCAACCAGTACTGATTAGAGACAGTTGAACCCCACCCTACTTGGATTGCCATTGCCAATTGCAAGTGCTGTCTGTGAAGGTCTGAATAAGAAATCACTTCTAACCAGGTGTTCTAAATTGAGTCAATCTTTTTCTTTTTACACACATACCCTTGCATTGCTACTTGGAAATGGTAGTTACTTGGGTAATTACTGTGCAACATTCCCTTTCCTCCCACGTATGTCATGTGTTTTGGTGCTTAATATGCACATTTTTGCAAGGATTTTCCCTAACACAATGCAGTTTTGTATGATATTTACAATAATGTTTCAATTTTTATGCCCAGTTTCTCCTAATCTATACTTTTTTTTTACACATTCTTTTGGCTGAAGAACTTGCATCACAAAATTTTGGGAAGTGCAAATGCTGAACGATAGTTTGTTTTGGTGGGTTCGCATTAAAATGGAAGCAAACTGAACTTCTCTCCATCCCTAGTCCCCTTTCAGTTATCTTCTGCTTTTGCAGTTCAATCAAATGACTTACTTGGAACTTATGTTCAACATGCTCCTTGCCTCAAGAACAGTCTCCATCAGCAGCCATTCTACCTGGCTCCTTCATAGGAATAGGTAAGACACTGAGCCCCTTGCCACCACCTGCAACATCAGCCTGTGTAGGATCAAATGCTACTTTGCTCCTTCTTTCCAGAATTGCCCCATGGTACCTGGATTTGCTTATTTTCTTTTCCCCTCCCTGCCTTTTTGCATCATATCCATTCAATTAGACCATTATTTTAAAAACATAGACCGTAAGAAGAGCCCTGCTGGATCACTTGAATGGCAAATCTAGTCCAGCATTCTGTTTCCAAAAGCAGCCAACCAGATACATATTATAGTTGTCAACTTTTCCCTTTTCTTGCGAGGAATCCTATTTGGAATAAGGGAATTTCCCTTTAAAAAGGGAAACGTTGACAGCTATGATACATATAGAAAATTCACAAGAAAAACATGAGCACAAGAGTGGTGCCACTGAAAGACAGCACAAGCATGGTGCCACAATGCTATCTTCTTGGCGGCATAATCACTGCCGCTCACTGGGATGAGGAGAGGAGGGCCAGTAATGAGGGAAGGGCTGTGCAGTGGACCAATGGGAGCACTAGATTGGCTCCACTGGTGCTTCAGCAAAACTCTGACTTTGCTACTGGCTTGCTCAGCACCGTCATCACATTCTGGGAAGTGCCAGCAATGCAACTGCTGGAAACTTCGCATTATTGATTCATCCCACATGGCAAGCCACTTTTGCTTCCACTGGTTCCACAGAGCACTCTCACTCCTGCCTCTAACAGGGGAAGTAGTTATATAAGTAGCCATCAATAGCCACACAGTCCATGAATTTGTTCAATATCCTTCATGAAACTGTCCAGGTTGTTTGCCATCACCACATCTTGTGGAAATGAATTCTACAGTTTCTGTGCTGTGCAAAGACGTACTTCCCTTTGTCTGTTCTGAAGCTCCCAACATCCAGTTGCACTGGATGAATCCCCATGCACCAGGTTTCTACACATAATGCAGAATTTCATACATTTATATCACATCCCTCTTTACTAACAGAATTATAGAATTGTAGAATTGGAAGGGACCAAAAAAGTTCCAAATGGCATATCCTTTCCTCATACAGGATTTTCTCCATCCACTGATCATTTTGGTTGCCCTTTCTGGAAGCTTTCTTAGCAATATGTCCTTTTTGGGATGTGGTGATCCGAACTGTACACAGTTTCCCAAGGTTATCACACCTTAGAAGGTATGAAAGGGAGGCGCAACCTTGCTCTTTCTCTATTCGTAAAATAACCTGTGATGTCAAACTTACGACACTTCTGTGACTTCACAAACTATCTGGAGTGTAGATCTACTCATGGAAAGTCTTCATCAATATAACTTTCTACACCGCAGTAGATGTCACTTGTGCTTCCCCTTCCCTTGCATCTCCTGGAAAGTGTTTCGCGCTTCTGTTTGGATACTGAAGTGTTCAGGACAGAAGAGTTCAGATAGGTAAGTGGGCACACCCTGAACTCCTTTAAACCAGAACTTCTGCTGTGGGTGGGTTGGAGGCAGAGACACACTCACTGCTATCTCTATGGCAGTGTGTGCTACTCCAAAGGCTACACAGAGTTATCAAAAATTCAGATAGCTTTGGGGGGAAAGGTTTCAAATTACAGCTCATTTTCATTGACGCCAGTTGCTCTGTAAGTTTTAGAAGTTTAATTTGAATTTAGAAAGGTATCAACTACATAGTTTCTGGTTAGCCACTCTGCTGTTTGTACAAGAAATCATTTTTGTGCTTGATTGCTCAACTGCCTCCTGGTTTATACTAAGACATTCCCCCCCCCCCCAGCATTAAAAATCATAGTGTTTCAATAACTAGCAAGACAAATGTTCCTAGGAAGACTGTGAGCCAGGAGGGAAGGATGCCACTTGCAATATTATCCACTCAGCGTCAAATGGCACTTCGTACTTTCTTGATAGGCCAAAAGCTACCTTTCCCATCAAGTAGTTAATTTTGATCAGATCTGTTTACCCTAATTACTAATTTGTGGGCTGAGAACCTATGCCAAAAGTTACCATAAAACACCCTGTCTTCTCAAATATGTTAAGAAAACCACCAATCACCAAGTTTGGCTGCAGACTTCATGTTATGGAGGAAATGTCTTTCTGTGTGTAAACATATGATCAGGTTCAGCAAGCTAAGCAAAGTAAACAGTGGCATTTTGTATTGTAGAGCTGAACGTTTGTGGAATCCTTCTAGAGATGAATAATTATATAAAATAGGAACAAGTGAAATTAATGGTGTTAATGATGCATTACTCTAAACTTTGTGCAGATTGCTAGGAGTTAGGAAAGCTTGTACTGATGGACCACATCCACCTATGTAGGCTATTAAATCTGGCAGCAATAGATCTTGAATCTTCTGCCACTGTCTCTTTTGCAGCATAAATATTATTCAACAAAATGGTTTGAAAATGAAATGGGAATGCACCTTCCTACCACTGGTTTCCCAAAGTCTGACCTTGGCTGTTTTCTTAAGACAATGCAAAAAACACATTATCTTCATCAGTGGAGGCAGCTGGGAATGAAAAGGAACAACAAATCTAGTTCAGTACCCCTGAAAAGTTCCTGTCCATGAAAATGTCAAGACAGAAAGACTTACCAGGTTTGGCCCAGCCTGTCTGTTAAGTTCTTATTTCACACAAGGCAAGGTTTCAGATTATTTTGTAGGCCCAAAACAAGAATGTGTTTATTGGTGAACAGGCTGACGTACAATTACATAAGAAAATGAAAGTAACCCGAATAACAAAGAGTAGAGTCTTAGCTTCAACCCATACTAACTGGAGACAATATTTAACTCTATTATTTACCAATTACTACATTGCTGTTTCAGGAACTGCTCTCCTCCCTCATCTTTTGGTTATGCTGAACTTTCAGGTTACAGAGCTTGACCCTCACAGAGTAGAAGGGCTTCACTGGAAGCCCAAGTGAGACTCAGAACAAACATAAACATTTATATCTACAAGAGGTCTTGGTCAATGCACTTTGTATATTGCTAGGAGTAACACTATATCACTAATGTTCATTGTGAGGAAGTAGTCTAGTTGCTAGAGTTTAGTGTACAATATTATATAGTGGTTAGAGTGTTGGACTAGGACCTGGGTGTCCAGGGCTCAAATCCTCACACAGCCGTGAAATTCACTGGGTGACCTTGGGCCACTCACTGCCTCTCAGTCTAACTCAGGGTTGTTGAAATGGTCAAATGGGAGGGTGAGTGGTCATGTATGCCTCCTTGAGCTCCTTGTATGCAATTATTAATAGATAAATAATAAAGTGCACAAAACTGAATCCTGCATGTCCATACAAATAAGTACCAAAGAAGAAAATTTGCAATTACAGAACCAGAACAAATATCACAGTCTGTACAACCATACTAGGTTCTCATCTGCCACACCACACAGGCTTTTTGGGTACGGTCATACAATGTGAGAATCTTAACAGAAGGCATCACTCAGAAGCTTAAAGAACAGCAGCCACACATTCAGTTGCGATTATTATTATCATTATTTGCCACTCTTCACTGTGAATTTGGAACAAAACAGATTTCTTTCTCGCAGACGCTTATTCTGCAAAGCCTCCATTTTGCCCCCCTTCCTGAATGTGTTCCTCATTATTTAAAAACAAAATTAAAAATGCTCTTATAATGAAGGAGACTAGTGTGATCCTCCTGAGCAGTAATGTGTAACAGAAGCAGCAGCACACAGAGATATCGAAAGTCGCCCTCTCCAGATGTTATGACTTGGTGTCTTCCTCTATCAAAGAGGAACAGTTACAGCACATTATACAGCTAGAGAAGGCACTTTCCCCAACCATCACAGCATAGTGGGGGAAAGAATCAGCATTACCTTTTCAGAAAATACATATTGACACCGCTAGTGATAAGCACTTCCACAGGCACCATTCTCGTTTTCCAGAGAGGCCGCCCCTGTTTGATTGGCTTAAGCTCCACCCCTAATGGGACATGAATAGAAGACTAATCTGAGGGAGCAGCAGCTGAAAACTTTAAAACTTCCATGGGGGTGAGGGAGGGAGAAAGGAAAAAGAAAAAAACAATCTCATTCTTTCCTCGTTATGGTTTGTTGAATATTCCTTTGTCTTGTTGTATAATAGAAATGATGTTCGTGGCACTGGAGTATACACACAATAAATGGCTTCTGTGGTTATCAAACACCTCAGCTTCACTTCAGCATTTAATCACCCTACAAAAGCCATTTCTTTGCCTTGTATACGGCTGTGCCACAAACATTATCCCTTCGCTGACACCCACCCTAGAGCGTGAGACCTTCATTTTGCACTGAGAGCTAAATTAGAAATGAAAAATGATTATTTAAAAATATTTATTAAATAAAAAAGTGGAGCTGGACTTTAGCCAAAAGACCCATTCACAGCACTCGGAAATGCATTAAGGCAGGCCTGGCTGGAGTGCAGCCTCCCAGCATTCAAGGTGGGGGTAGGAGCCCCAGAAACTCAAATAGTCTTCAAAATACATAATGGAATTGTATCATCCCCCCCAAAAAAGTCACATAACTGTGGAAGATTTGCATTGAGAATTTATAGCAGTATGACCGATCTTGTGAAACAGTATTTACTATGAGAAACCCAGCTTTCTGGCAAACCAACTTGACTGGTGAAAAAACTAAACAAGATGAAGGAACAAGAGGGAGCTCCATAGCACTTGATGTCTCTTTAACTTGCCCCTTCTCTGTCTTCAGGTCTGGCCCCAAATCCAAAGGGCACCAGACCACTTCATCTCCTCCTCACCAGCAGTAAACTATTTTAATAACACCCAAGACTAGTCCATGTTGTGTGCCTCCCTCCATGTTGTCTGCTTCATGGTGTCTAATAGAAGGACCAACCAGTTCACCTTGAATAGTGTTGGAACAGAAGCTGGCTCTTCAGACTACAGGTAGGGATCACATTTATTTATTTATTTATTTATTTTGAAAAACTGCTCCCTGCCTTGATAAAAACGCCCTGGAAATAGACAATCAGCATAGCAGCAAAGAAAGAGCTGGGAGATAACCTTTTTTCTTTCATGTGCTATTTTTTTCTTTCTTTTTTTTAAAAAAGAAAAAGGTCACCTGCATTTCACCTACAGTGGCGCTGTTCACCACCTCAGCATGCTAACACATCGTTCTGCTGAAAATGTGGACCCAGCACCAGTACAAATAGTATCAACTCCAGGTCTTTGAGGGCCAGTGGGTAAGACCCCTTCCACGGGCATCACTATCTGAGTGAGTCTACCGACACCCTGGACGAGTCTAGTGGGGGTTTTGCAGGCTGTGTACACCCCAGTTTTCAAAGTACATTCAAAGCATACAACCCCTCAAAGAATCCTGGGAACTGTAGTTTGTTCAACATGCTGCAAATTGTAGGTCTGTAAGGGATGAACTACAGTTCCCAGAATTCTTGGGGGCAGTGGGAAGAATGTGCTCTGAATATGCCGTAAATATCCACTTTTTTCCTGCCAGCAGCAGCAGCCTGTTATGCAGAGCAGGGGGACGAAAACACGACGACAACTTTGAGAAGCCTGTCTGCATGCTCTGGTGAATGGAGGAAGTCTATTTTCAGTGGTTGACCATCACATCTAGCTTCATCCTAGGGCAGCCTTTTCTAACCTGCTGCCCTCCAGTCAGTTTGCACTGCAAGTCACATCAGCCCCTGACTGCTCTAGAGGACACCAAGTCAGTGAAAGCTGCCTTAAACTGCTGCTTTGGGGTATGTACAAAACAAAAATAATTAATAGTACTTAGGCAAGGAAATAACAAAAATATCAAATTTGAGTGCAAGTCTAAAACCAAAATGATATGTTAAGCCTTGCATGTTTTCTAGCTCCTGACCACAAAGATTACACAGTGTCAAATTTACAATAAGAGCATAACTTGGGTAAGGGGAATTCAGAGAGTTGTGCCTTATCTTTTCTGATGGCAACTATTGCCAGAGACAGTATTTCCTCCAAATCCACACTTCATAAGGCATTAGGGTAAACAAATAGATACCCACCCGAAGTTAACTATTTCCAAGTCCATGGTAGGGATAGGAGAAATTACAATAATTTATAGAATGTATTAATGCTGGATTGCAAGGAAATTTATGATTTGCAGTCACACAATAATAACAGAGATTAATTAACATAAAAATTCGACCTGTCATGTTTCTCTAAGTAAAAATAATTGCAAAGCAATTTTATTTCACCGAATGGACCTCCAAACATGTCCAGAGTGAAGTCAATGTGAAAATGAAAGTCACCTTTAAGCAGGCATCATCAACAACTGTGTTGTTCTGTTCTGAATAATGGCCTAGATGAAATAATAACAGGATTACATATTACTGTGAATATGGAAGAAAGCAGGAGGATTGTCTTTAAATCTTTGAGGAAAGATTTCCGTAACAGCATGCTTCACACACAGAGGCTGGTGTGCAGTGTTTGCTCACATTTAAATTTGAAATAATACAAGTGAGGCCCAGCAACAAAATGATGTGGTGTGGCATGCTTCTCTTCAGGATTCCAGTTACTCCAACCCACCCCATCTATATCTATATTACTGCCACATGAGGCAATGATGGCCATCAGCTTTGTTGTTGTTGTTTAGTCGTTTAGTCGTGTCCGGCTCTTCGTGACCCCATGGACCAGAGCACGCCAGGCACTCCTGTCTTCCACTGCCTCCCGCAGTTTGGTCAAACTCGTGCTGGTAGCTTCAAGAACACTGTCCAACCATCTTGTCCTTTGTCGTCTCCTTATGCCCTCAAATCTTTTCCAATGTCAGGGTCTTTTTCAGGGAGTCTTCTCTTCTCGTGAGGTGGCCAAAGTATTGGAGTCTCAGCTTCAGGATCTGTCCTTCCAGTGAGCACTCAGGGCTGATTTCCTGATGAATGGATAGGTTTGATCTTCTTGCAGTCCATGGGGCTCTCAAGAGTCTCCTCCTGCACCATCAACTTGGATGCCTTTAAAAGAGGATTGGACGAATTCATGGACAGTAAGGCTATCAGTGGCTATTTCTCATGGTGGTTATCTTTTGCCTCCATGGTTCTGAATACCAGTTGCTAGAAACCACAGTAGAGTGTTGTTGTGCTTTAAACCTGGTGGTGGGCTCCCTCTCCATGGGCATCTGGCTGGCCACTGTGAAAACAGGATGCTGAGCTAGATGGGCCACTGGCCTGATCCAGCAGGCCCTTCTTATGTCTGTCCATGCAGAGGGGAGCTTGTGGGCAGGGGAGTGGAATTGTGCTCCTTGGCCCACCCTTCACTTCCAAGTGTGGAGCAGCTTCTCAAGAGGTATTTACGTGTGTGTGTGTGTGTGTGTGTGAGAGAGAGAGAGAGAGAGAGAGAGAAACAGATTCACTACCTGACAATCTCCTTCTCAAAGAATTCAGTCCTGTCCTTGGCTAATATTTCTGCAAGTATTAGTTCTTCTAGCATCTTTCATGAGGCCCTAAGTCCCTTGCATGGTTTTTATTATCACTGGCCTTAGGCCACATGTTTTCTCCATTTTTGTTTTTGTTTTTCTGGAAGGAATCACAATGCAATTTACATCGATATCTACAGTGTTTCATTGTCTTCCCATTTCTACCTTTGGAATACTTGACTGAAGAAATCTAATTTTGCTTTAATGCTGCTGTGGGTTAAATCACAGAACCTAAGGCTTACTGATCAGAAGGTCGGCAGTTCGAATCCCTGTGACAGGGTGAGCTCCCGTTGCTCGGTGCCTGCTCCTGCCAACCTAGCAGTTCTAAAGCACGTCAAAGTGCAAGTAGATAAATAGGTACCACTCCGGTGGGAAGGTAAACGGCGTTTCCGTGCGCTGCTCTGGTTTGCCAGAAGCAGCTTAGTCATGCTGGCCATATGACCCGGAAGCTGTACGCCGGCTCCCTCGGCCAGTAAAGCGAGATGAGCGTCACAACCCCAGAGTCATCCGCAACTGGACCTAACAATCAGGAGTCCCTTTACCTTTAATATAAATTGAGTCTGTCTAAATATTATGGCAGTACACCTGTGCAAGAATGACTATATAGATTAATTGGTCTCTGCCAACTTCCTTGATAAACAGAGTAGAGAATTAAGCATTTTCCATGCCTTGTACACCTGCAGATCAGGTACCTGGTATAACACACACAGCTAAGATTATATCATGTTTTGCTGATTTGTTGAAGAAGCGGCATGCCTTGTCAAACTTCACAGAGCTGTCTCATGACTGAAGATGCACTAAGTTATCTCTAAATGCTTCAGAATACAGGGTTCTGTTTTGGGTGGCCCCCCCTCCCTTTCTCCTGATTTGCAAAGACAGCGGACAATGACCTGTTTTCTACGCTTTCGTCCACTCTAATTAAGCTGAATCAGATACACTTCTTGTCTAAATTGATAGCTGGTGGCAGATCCAAATGAATTTTCATAGACCTTTGATGAGTTATGATATAACTCTGCTTTTTGTGCCATATCGCACTGAAGGCCAACATAATGTCTGAGACCATGGGAGAGCCTGGAAAAGTTACAAAGCACAGAAGGAGTCATTATAACAGCATTTCTTTCTGACTGGATACTTCATATCTGATTTAAATGTTGCTTGATTTCTATTGAACTGTTTATCAGTAAAGGCTGATGATTTAAAGGCAGATGACTCCTGCAAAATGTTTCCAGTCTATTCAGGGAGCACACGTCTCCCTTACATACTTTGGCTATTTATTGACAGAATTACATTTTTTTGCACTCTGAGCGTACTTTATTCAGAGACTTATTCAAAATCCAGTTCTCTTATATTGAGCCTTTGAAAGCCAATGCGGGTCAGCTGCCTGGATTTTGTTAGCTATACAGCTATCTGGAGCAGGATTGGCCAAGTGGGTTGTCTTCTGGCTGCCATCCCATGACCGATTTGGAAACTATGCTTAGCTGGGTAGGCTCTTAGGGCATTGTGCATTGCCTTTCCAAATGTAGAGCATTACTAGGGCAGGGGTAGGAGGCACTTAAAACCCCAAGGGCCAAATTCCCCCCAGGCAGGTTTCTGGGGGCCACACACAGTGGGTGGAACCAGAGGCAAAAAGCGGGTGGAACAATGGATGTGTCTCTTTGCACAGTAGGCTGTATTCCAGGTAGCCAACGATTTCTTTCTACATCTACAAAACACATATTCTCCATCCAGAAAAGTAAGAGGCATTGTTAAGTTTGAGGATGCATCCCAGTCAGGCAAAAGTACTCAGGACCAATGAAGGGTGTGGCCTGGCGAGATGTCAGGGCTAGCAGAAATAAGACCAAAGCCCCATCTGGTCCATCATTCTGTTCTCATGGCGACCAGATGACTATGAAAAGCCTACAAAGCAGGGCTTGAGTGCTAAACCGTAGTTTACTTGTGTTGATGCTATGACAATTCAACAGAAATTCAACAGAAACAGAATTCAGCAGAAAATCACGAAGCAAGAAACTAAGCAAAATCTGGCAAAGGGAAGTCTTGCAGAAGCAAAGGTTGGATGCAGCTGAGTTAACACATCCAGTGGTGTCCCACTAGGATTTTGATCAAGCTTCTGGTTTTGCTGGTTGCACAGAGCTGAAGAAAACAGGGTTAAGAAGAAGCAGTGCAAAGCAGCTGGGCTGCCTTCAGCTCAGTACATCACAAGATGGGCAGGTCTGCCCTGGAGTTCTAACAAGCACACTTTCATGCATATTGTTACGGCAGGATAATAGGGTTTTGTCTCTAGCTGCTATGGCACAGCTTCTGTGTGCCCCCATGTCAAATTTACTTTCTTCCAAAATGAGGTAAAATACCACCTGCCAACTTCACAAGGCAGTTCGGGGGCTTATTTAATTAATTAATGTTTGTGAAACTCTTTTGAGATTCTCTGATGAAAGGAGCTATTAGGCATCCAAAGTTTTAATTATTAAAAGGCTTTTCTGTCAGTTCCCCATCTGCATTGTTTGCTCCTGGTGTACGATACGAACAATATATGATGGAGAGAAGGAATGGGGAGCGGGTTAATATATGATGGAGAGAAGGAATGGGGAGCTTGTTAAAGCCCAGTTCTAAACAGTGATACTGACAAAGTTTACAAGCGATGTATTTTTTTTTTTTATTCAAAGTTGGGCACCCTTGTACTGTTTGTGATTAATAATATGATATCTTTCAAGCTGATGTCCTGATTTCACGCTGGTATAATTGGCATTAATCAACCCAAGCTGGCAAATCTGATCGTTGCAGCTGACGCATGCTCGGAACATGATTACTTGAATCGCCTGCATTGTGTTAATATTCTTCTTTACTGATTAGGAATGGGGGAGAAATTTGATTCAGTTCGCTTTTAAAGGTGAACCTACCTAATTCACATTATCTGAAACAGTACACAAAGTGAAACCCACTCATCCATACAGTTTCACTGTTATACAAATTTTGCAATGCAGTTCTCCAGCTGAATAACAAGGACAATAATGCATTTATTAAAGTGTGTGCATGAATGCATATATTAGTAAACACCACATACAAAAATACATTATGGTGGTGGAGGTGGTGGGAATTGCTTGCAAAAATGTGTGTATCTGTCAAAACAAAACAAAAAATGTTTAGTGGGAGAAAGTTGCACTAAAATACCAGCAGATTCTCCTGAGCTTTTTTATTGTAATTCTTCTTCTTTTTTAATCACAGATTGCTGCAGAAATGTAGAGAACTTGAATTTAAGTGTTGGGGAACAAGAAAACAGAGATCTGAAATGAACAGATTCATCCATCTCTGTTCCTGACAGATGTGCTTTAGTACAGCCTTAGTAACCTCCTTGCTGGTCTGAGTGGTTTTCCAGGGTTACTATTTGAAACACTTGATCTGCCACCTATTCCTGCAATTTTTGCTTTTAGCAGGAACCCATGCTGACAATTACAGACATTGAGATCTGCTTCCACGTGGGTGGGGTGACTGGGGGAGGGGAAAGGGGCGTGGAGGATACGCAGCACCGGAACAGGTGCCTGGTCTTGGATGGCAGTCTCCCACCACCTGTCTAGCAAGACTGCTGCTGAAGCCTTAGCTTCTAATGCCTTCTCCTCCTTCATGGTCCAGTAGCAAGGCAGGGAACAGGGTGTTGGGATTTATGGAGGTTTTTCTGTTTTGTTTTAGCGCTTATGAGCTGGATATTCTTCACAGCTGTTGTCTGTTCTGGCTGCTGATTTTATTATATAGTACTGCTTGAATATTATTCTTATTTATGTTCCTGCTATTGGCTGCTTTGAGTTTTCTAATGGAAGAAGAGTGGGACAGAAAGACATTTTGAATAATAAATAGCCTTTATTTACTATATAATAAATAACTAAATGCTGTGCCCTACAGAAAACTGCTTCTGCATTTGATCACTTTTTGGGACTAAGATTAGGAAAATAAAGACAAATTCAAATGCAGTTATAAAGTCTAACTATGCAAATTAGCTGTATGTGCTACCCATCCTCAGCTAAAATCAGAGTAATAGCTGAATTTGTGACCTGAGAAATAACGTATCTCAACAGAGGCACAAATACATACTTTTCAACCAGCAATAAACTTGCAACAAGTAAGTCAGTCTTCTTATGGCATGTTAAAACTAGAAATAAATTTCCTATTATCTTTACATGTAAGCAAGAGGCATTATCATAGATTTCATTCCATTTAGGCAAAAGGTGTGGCCTGTGGGAGGGTGTGTGAACTAGGGAGAGTCTTGGGCCAAATATAGAGGCCTGGAAGACCACATTTGACCCCTGTTTTAAGTGATGTGGACAATCAGTTGTGCCTCTCAATTAAATAAAGCTCCAGGTATGCACACACCACATGTAAAATCTTTTAGAATGGAGCGTTTTGTGTTAATATATAAGCTGATTTTGAACATGCATGAACAACAATGAAAAAGCTATGGAAAGCTATGGAAACTCCACTTTCTTAATATAAAATTCAGGTCAGTAAACTGTCAGTGCCACATATGAACTAATGGAAGAATTTATCACTTTATGGTCCTATGGATATTTCTCAAAAACTGTTGGCAATCAAGTCAACTCAGAGCTTTGTTTGAATTATCAGCAAACTTCTGATCCCAGAGTCTTGTCTCTTTATACATGAATTCATCAGACAATTTGCCTACTTTGTATTAACAGCCACTACACTGCCCAGTGTTTACAATGCTGGAAATATTTACAGAATTAACAAAAGTTGTCTAGCTGATAATGGGAGCATACCGCCAGCACTGATATGGACTCATCATACTTCCAAAACATGTTTTTAATAAATTGCTTCCCTCTTCGTGGGGGAAAAAATACAAGTTGCTCCGGGCCATTGGCTTAGGTGAGGGCTGTCCTATACGTCTTGTCTAGATTTTGGAATGATGCATTACCAGTTAAGAGGAGGTGGCATTTGTCCCTACATAAGCACTGAAGTCATGCGGCAACAAACGTTTGTAGTTAAGCAAGGTACATAGCAGGATTTTGGCTTATTGCATGGGGCAGCTGCACTGAAGCAATCTGTCGGGGTAGGTGATGGTGACATGGTAAGTCATAATAGTGGTAACCTACCACCTCTCCTATGGCTGCAGGCCTGTGCGTGCTAGTACCACTGAGCTTGCAAAAAACCAAGCCAAAGCAATGGGGCCAGAGGGGCCAATCGGACTTTGATGGGGTCTACTCCAAGTCCCCCTGCTAGAGGCAAAGAGGGACCCTTTCGTAAATATTATTGAAGTGGGGACTACATTTCCCATCTGGCCTGGGCCTATTACCAGCTTTGCATTGCCCTGCATAGACTCACATCATTCCATGCCATCCAACATGTTGAGTCACGTGATCTGTGTGAGATCATGGAAACCAAAAGACACACCTTTTCAGGGCCATGCTCTCATGGCGCCCAAAAACAGGTGTTATAGAATACCACATGAGATCGCAGGCCCCCCAAAAGCACTTTTTTCTGGGCAAGATCTTGGCGCAAAATTGTGGAAGATCACAACAACTCTAATGGCCGCCATGCTCTCACGGGGAAAAACGGGATGTCCCATTTTTTCTGGGACACTTGTGAGATATGTCATTCACCTATCTGAATATACGTGCTCATGTTACATGAAGTGTATTTAGCTCTAAGATGCCACAGCCCTTGAGATGTTTGCTTTTGCCACCTCCCTGGGCTGCTGATCCTGAGACAGCTGAGCACTGGAAGAGCTGTGCCTTCCTCCCTGACTAAAGAGAGAAACATGGGAAGTTGCCTAACACTGAGTCAGACCATTGGTCCATCTTGCTTAGTACTATGTACACTGCCCAGCCGTGGTTCTGTGGGATTTCAGGCAAGAATTTTTCCCAGCCTTACCTGGAGACACTGGACCTTTTGCATGCAAAGCAGACACTCTGCTAATGAGCTATGGCCTCTCCTAAGGCTACACTTCAAAGAAAGACGTACCCTTGCAGGGTCTTACATCAGTGCCTGGCTGAGTCAGGGAGCTTAAAAACCAGCCCCCCCCTTGGGCCTGTTGCCAGTAGGGTCGCCATCTTATCAGGAGGTCTATTCTACACAATGTCATGTCTTCAATGTGGCAGCACCTACGTGGGGAACTGTGCATGGAAGGCAATGTGGGAAAGAAAGAGCAGTGTGGGAAATTTTCATTAACCTGAGGGCTGTGTTCCCTTGTGGGCAATGCTCCAGAGGCCACATGCCAGCAGTAGGCGTGGCCAAATGAAAAAGTGCAATGGGCTACATTTCAGCCACATCAGAGGTTTCTACACACACATATACAGCTTTTGACTGTTGACCCCGCTGCCCACCGTTGCTTCTCAAATACAAAATGTGGAAGGATGGGCAGCAGTGACAGTAAGATGAGTGGCAGAGTACCTGGGGAATTGGTGTGTGTATGAATGCCTTGGCCTACCATGACCATTCTTTTCTCAGAGACCCTCTGGTGGCCAAGCTAATTGTAACTGTGCAGAAAGTGGCGGAAAGCATGCAATGCAAAAAGGCAAGATCCATATTTTAATTTCATTTATTTGCATATGCACAAAAGCAGACAGAAGCCTACAAACTGAACCTTGATGCTGGGCACACATTTGCAAAAAAACATCCATTTCCTCCATGATATACAACATGGTATTTACTTTAAGGGACTACATTGTTAAAACATACAGCCGAGTCATTGATATCCCTTATATACAACATATTCAAAAATAATACCTTAAACTCTGGCACCTGCTGCTCAGCACCTATAAGGAAACATATTTTTCAGGATATGAAAGGTAAAAATCTTTTAGGAAAACTGGCAATATCTCCCAAGAATCTGCAAGGTGTCAGGAAGAGTGTGCCATTTTCTCACCGATAATCTGTACTTTTATCTTGCATGAAACAATTTTTCACACAAAAAAAGTCTGCACTTCCTTGTACTTGAGAATGAAAGAGAATTAGAAATAGGTCCAATTTTCTTCTGAAAAGCAGGCTTCTTCTGCTTTCGATTGGCCTTTCTCATGACCCTCTATACAAGACGACAGATAATAAATATAATGATTTGTACTGAAAAGGGAGCTGGAAGGATAATGGTCCCAAACAGTGTAGTCTTTTATAATGTTACCATAGTAAATAATAGCAGGACCATTTGTATGGCTGGAGTTAAGGTTGTATCTCTGCTTCTCTTTTACGTCCCCCACCCGACTTCCCCCCTCTCCATTGCATACCCTGTATTTATAAGTTTGTAATCTCATTTTGTTCATTTTCTCTGCAGCTGTAATAGCCAAGGTGCAAAATGGAAATACCTCCGCCATTCTTAAGCGATCATAATTTATGCACAACCTATTAGTAGCAATGTTGCCTGGACAAATCACATAGCAGTATTAAGCAGCACATTTCTATATAAAAAAATTAAGGCAGAGTGCTTGGATTTAAGCTGAAAGCCCATTCTCTGTCATTATCACTGTGACTGGGTAGGACTGATTCACATGGCTGAAAACTAAGTCCAGCCACTCAGCAAATTCATTGGACACTATACTTGTCCACATGGGGAAATGGCTATATGATCTCTGTGTTAATTGGCCAGGTAGGTTTTCAGTACACAGTGAAATAATTTTCCCCCAAACCTCCTCGTGGCTATAAATGTATATGCCAGTAGCCCCTGAATCAAATAATAAATGCACACAAATCTGACAGCAGAAATTGCAATATACCAGCAGGAGAGCGTTTCAACTTGTGAGGTTGTTACTGTCCAGAACAAAGGAACCTCAAAGGGAGGCTCCACCATGAAACTGCTGAATTACAACTCCTCAGGAAGTTCAATATTATCCATTTGGGTTTGAATAAAGACAGTGGTTTCCTGTTGCACTCAGGATGTGATTTACTTGGCAATGTTAACTGACTGTGTTATCACCAGTCTGTTACTGTAAACAGGTTGGTAATAAAATGAACATCTGGCACTGTTAAGTAAATTCCACTTGTAGTCAGTGGTGGCTGGTGCTCATTGCTCATCAGGCTTGGTGGGGCAGAAGGCAATGGGGGCATCAGGAGGTGGGAACCACAGCCAATGACAGGCAGAACTGCCACCATTCCCTGATGGTAAGAAAACAGGGGTTTGCTGAAGGCAGACTGAGGTACTGGGGCAGTGCCCCATTGATTCTAGTGGACCAGGCTCCAGTGACTGTAGTGGTGTAAAGGGTTACTGATACTATTTTGTAAACATTTAAGCTCTAATTGAATTGTCACTGACTGTACTTTTTGCAATTCCTTGCGTTCAATTCCTACTTGATGTGTTGCATGTATCCTTTACACCCTCATGATATATACACCTTCCAAACTGGGACTGCACTTCATGCATCTGACAAAGCTGATTCCAGACCATGAAAGTTGCCACCATAATAAAACGTGTTAGTCTTCGAAGTACCACAAGACTTTTTGTTGTTTCTGCTGCAGGAGACTAGCATAGCTACCCCTCTGAAAAATAGAGCCACCTGATGGAGCAATCAACCACTGGCCAGAGGAAAAAATGTTTGATTATGTAAATTGGTCCTCAGCGGATTGCTAATAAATCTCTTCTCAAGTCCAAATACAGCAATTACACACTAACTACATTAACACAAAGGAAGTGTTATTGAATGCAACTCTATGCACTGCCCAATATTCTCACCCTGAACTGGTGATCTCTTGCAGGAATGAAAACTCTGATTTGTACACTGAGCTCCCGCACTAGCAGTGGCTCTTGGTTTATTTCATTAATAAATAGGAATACCATACGCACAAAAACATGACATGTACACATGCATTAGGTCCTAAAGTGAGGACCTGTTTCTTGTGGTGGTAATAACAGACATTCTAGAGGGAGCACAAACAAGGAGGAACCTGAAGGTAAAACTCTTACAGACCTGTGCCATGCAATTCTAAGCATTTTTACTCAAAAGATGGGCTCAGTGCGTTCATCTAGATTAACCCCCAAGTAGGCATGAATAGGATTGCCCATGAGAAGAGCAACCCAACCCTGCCAACACCAATCCTCCATGCTCAGATCTGCCAGCAGGGGAGCCCCATGCCCACCCAAATCGCTGCCACAGGAGCATTTCAGGGGCGGGGCAAGAAGAAGAAGAGGAGGAGGAGGAGGAGGAGGAGGTGGTGGAGGAATTTGGATTTGATATCCCGCTTTATCACTACCCTAAGGAATCTCAAAGCTGCTAACAATCTCCTTTCCCTTCCTCCCCCACAACAAACACTCTGTGAGGTGAGTGAGGCTTAGAGACTTCAGAGAAGTGTGACTAGCCCAAGGTCACCCAGCAGCTGCATGTGGAGGAGCAGGGAATTGAACCCGGTTCACCAGATTATGAGTTCACTGCTCTTAACCACTACACCACACTGGAATTCTGACCCAGCCTGCTACCATCACATGATGACAACAGGCTTGGACCAGGCCTCTTTATGGTATCAGTGCGGGAATTAGCACACCAGCACATCACCTTTTCCCAACCTCCCAACCTTCCACCTGGGCCAATGCGATCAGTGGGACTATGGATGCAATATTGGCTGGACCACTCCATTAAGCTCTACGACTACCAAACAGGGGCCCTGTTCAATTGTCCCCTTAGTCTTATTAGCATAAGACTGGACAGTTAGAATGAAAGAATTGTTCCACTGATGTCAATAATAATTTGTGTCTTACAAATGATACCCTATTGTGAATCATCCTAATTTTTATAAATACCACAAGGGGACTTGTGTCATTTTAAAGACTGATAATTGATTGTAGTGTAAGTTGTTGTGCACTAGAGCCTGTTTCATCAAATGTATCCATTTGCAACTGTCCAACCCAGTTTATCCCTTAGAGTGACAGCAGATTAATCTGTAGATTACCATTCATAACCATTTCTATATGTCATACTTAAGAGCTATGTCAGATATTCAGAAACCAATCAGACACATTAACATATACATTTTAAAAGCTTATTGTGTTAAAAACCATAATACACTTTTGGAACAGAAGGCTTTGAGTGTACTGACCATATAGAATAGCACAGCTAGCTAGCTAGCTAACTTGAAAGAATATTGAGAGCATTGAATCAATGTAATCGTTTATGGAAATGACAAAGGGATGGTAAAGTAAAAATGTTTTTGTAGCACATTCCCACGTGGTGTTATAAAATGCACTTTCATGTTCACTTGGCCAAATTATTCCTCATTAGGAATGACACAGAATTCCATACAATGAAAACTTTAATTTGAAAGGTTGGGTTCCAATGGGTTGGACAAGTTCCAGAAACAAACAGTTTATCTATGGATAGCCACACCTTTCCAATAAAAAACATGGTACCTGAAACTAATTCCTAGGCTGGGAATTTTTCAAGGAAACAAACCACCGAAGTCAGAGGACATTGATAATTCTACAAAACCAAAGAGCTAGCTAGTTTTGCAAATTACTAAATCTCATAAATAAAACTGCAATACTGGTGGCACACCTCCTAGATCTTTCATGAGGCCTCCTACAATAAAACAATGTAAAACCTTCAGCAAATTAAAAGAGCGATATGCACAATAACCGTAGGATCAGATTTTCAAAAAAGGTGATTTCTACTCATTTTGTGTTTGTTGTTAAATGCACATACAGAAGTCTGCCAATCCTGCTGCTGGCAACCTGAGCATATAGCATTTCTATTTCTTTCTTTATTTAATAGGGACACAAATTTTAACAACAAGAAATGTTTGCTTCTCTGGTATGAACACCAATAGTTTTAACATAAATGATGGAAAGAATCCAGGCTGTGTTGACATATTTTATGAACGTTATGGGATGCCAGATTGGAGGTGTACATCTGTGTGGGTTGGCCAGTCATCCCACTGCCGTCTGTGTATCTGTGTGCTTAAATGAATTAGCTATTATAAAAACAGTGCATAAACAAGTTTAATGTTCTACCCTTCACTTTCCTTCTTGGAAAAACTATCCAGTTTTCTATAAACCTAATAAAGAAAAAGAAAGTTGTCCAACTGATATTTTTTTAAACAAATAAATACTGATCATTAAAAAGCTTGAAAGACATATTATAAAAATAAGCTTCCTAGGCTAGGTAAAGGGCAGTTTTGTGTCTGCATATTTTTGTGTTTCAGTGGCTGGCTGTTGTCACTTGTCCTGTCATTATTTATTATATGAAGACATTTTGGCCAATGGTGACAGAAAGTGAAATTTTAAGGCAAAAGGTTACCCAAGGTGATTATAGTAACATCTTTGCCTTTTGACTTCCTGTTACAAAAAAACCAAAACTAAAAACTAAAAAAAAATGCAAATGGTGATGTCTGAAAATTACCCACACCACCTAAATGTTTCCAAACATGCAGTGATGTCATATAATGAATGAATGAATGTCATGAGCTGAGAGGATCCTTAGTAGAATAGTAGCACAAGGCATCATCATGGTGGTTTATAGGATGTGGGATAAGGTTTATTTATAAATGAATGAAATTGTGACATTGGGGAGACTACCATGCACACCAATATTTGGTTGCTGTTGGTTTACTTTGTTGATCAATATACAAACTGTCTTAGGTATTTTATTTGGAAGCAACACACTATGAACAATGGTATGTTGTCTTCTTGGAGCTCTGGTTAACTCAAGGTCTAATTGAACTGGATAATCTGTTGACCTTATATTTCAGTCCTGTACTCTGGGTGATCTTGCTGTAGCTACTGTCTTTCAGCCTCAGTTTCCCCAACTATAGCATGAAAGGAAAATCACCTAAAAATACGATGGGGATTCTCTGCTTACTAGGAGCAATACATGTTAAATACAGAGTATTTAAAATTTGGTGAATGCATATGCCAACACCACGCATTTCCATTCTAATATGCAAATAAGCATCCAGCAACTCACTTTTAAGAACTAAGTTTTGAAGAAATATAGCCATTGTAAGAAAAGATTTATTAGGAGAAAAGCCCATGGGCTGACTTTTATATTTATTATTTTTCCCCTTGGATTAGCAACAATAAAACAATTTGAACTTCATTTTAAAGCTAACAGTTTGTGAGCTAATTTAGAATCTGAATTCGTTCCAAGCCTGATAGCCTAAATTTGCCCCAGATGGACTTTCAGTTCTGTTCAGATTGCTCAACAGCCATTTGTAACTAAATCTACAGCAATGGGTTGGCACAGCCTAGCTGTGTGCTGGGGTGTGTGTGTGTGTGTGTGTGTGTGTGTGTGTGTGAAAACAGCACCTATAAATCACAGTGCATTAAAAAATGTGCACGCATTCCTTCCCAACATCTTAGAGAATCCATTGTCCTGCAGATAAGTATACAAATAAGGGGCAAAGCATCACTTAAGTTTGATATAAAAACACATATTTTTTTTGGAAGGCAACCAATGCAGGCTTCACACTGTACTTTATTTCCCCCTAATCTGACTGACTCACAGTCTTGTGATAGCGAGATAAGCTAGGTAGGCAAATTTTTACAGAGTTGCAATTACTGAAATTGTCATTACGCTGCTCACTGTAAAATAAATATAGATAGAAGTGAAATTATGCACAGGCTAGGAGTAGAAAGTGTTTTGCTTCTGTTTGCTAAATTAATCTCTTCCTAAATGGCTGCAGGCCAGGTAGGTTAGCATTTGTGGTTTCAAAGGTTTTCAGCGCTTGCAATGAGCCATGAAATTACTGCATGCTGCTGAAAATGGCAGCTGATGAAAGGAAAAGAGCGAATCCCAAAGGCAGAAAGACAGGAGGAAGCAAAATTACAGGCAGAAAGTCTGATTTTTGATGTTGCTCATTGTGAAATGTACACCCAAACTTTTAATAAAACATAAAACATTAATAAACCTGCTAACAATTCCTTACAATTTCTTTTGAAGTCTTGGTATAATTTTCTGAATACTTATTAAAACAGGCAATGATTCAATAGTAGCCGAGCGCTTTCTGACTGCCTGATGTGGTATATTGGTGCACCTTGCTCGCGACTTTTGAAATTAGATTTTTATTGATGTTTTTTAATTGAATTATACCCTGGATTGATGTTCCCTGTTAATAAAGTGACCCTAAACTCTTGAATTGTTGCACGAGTTTAGCTAATATTAATTTGGATAGCGAAGTGTAAAAGACACCATGTTATCGAGTGCCACTCTCCCATTCCAGATCAACTAAAGTTTGGTTGGGTAAAAGACAGCTGGCTTCGGATCAACATGTCACTAATAGCTACTTGGCAACATCACACCTTGTGTATGGGACTGGAATGTTGACATTACTCCTAGAGGTAGAAGAGGCATTACTTTTTAACCAAACATGACGCAGGATTAAAGAAGAAGGACCCTGCACCAACAGGGATAACATTTTCTTTGGCATGACTTTTTATTTGTTGCTGATCACATATATACCTAACCTGTGTCCATTAAAATTGCATGGATGTTTGAGAATTACCTGGTAACTGCCATATAACGGAGAACCTTATAATTACTGCATCCTAACAAAGAATGCATTTGCTGTACCAAAAAGGGATGGGTATAAAATGATCACAGTCTGGAGGATTACAATAAGAAGCTTGCTGGGATCTAGATCCTTGAACTATTGGGATCTTAGGCTGAAATCTCATGGACCCTTACTAGGAGATGTGTGACTGAACTGAGACTTGCCTTGGACTAGTTGTCCTTAGGGTCACACTGTTCAATCTCTTTGGTTCAAACAACAAGACATCAAATCCAATTAAATGAAAAGTACTTGGATTTGGTCTGACTGAAACCATTGCCCACTGACCAGAGCAGCACACAGGTAGATCAGAGTGCATTTGTAGATCTACATGTGCAATAAACTGCATTTCCGAAAATAGCCTCTGTGCACACATTACAATCTTCTTTTTTAAAAAAACCAAAACAAAACCCAGAGAGATTGCAATAGGTGTTTGCAATCTGGCACAGGCATCCTTTTCACTCCTTCAGTAGGCACATTCAATGTATGCACATGTTGGTAGTGGTATGACATCAACAGGCTTCTCCCCGCTAAACTATTCACCGAACGTTAGCAGGGGGAGAGGCAGAGGCTACTGTTTCAGGCGTTCACTGAATGTGCATGCTGAGTTAAGTGAACTGGGCTACAGGGCTGGTCCTCAAAAGAAGAACGAAAGACCCTCTACAAGTGTACAGTGGATTGTGGCCTATGAAGCAAGCAGCCTAATCCTACATATAAACCAAAGGTCTTACAGGTACACTATACTTTGCATAAGGTTGAAATTTAAGTTACCTTAAACTCAAATTTTGGGCTCAGCTGCTTTGAGAACTGAGGGAATTTAATAAGTGTATTATAATCAACAGTGTTAGAAACTGAGATATGAAAGCTAGGAGCTAAACGGCACCTTAAACCTAGGTTATGGGTACAACAATGGAATGTCTAGGCGCACTTTTTAAAAAAAATAAAAATACAAAGCTGAATGTGAATGAACTGCAGCTAAAATATTATGCTCATTTTTCACATGGTCTAGTCCTTACCCTGGGTCTCTTCTTCAGTTTTCAGAGAGTAGCTGGAAGTGGGAAGGCAGAAAAAGGTCCTCCTTTCCTTCCACTCTGCAGTTTTAATCTGAAATCTTAGGTGCAGTACTGCGCCCAGAGCTCAGAAACAGTTCATGCTAATAAAATTCCCTGTCGCAAAATGCACCTAGAACAATGGGAGTTTCGAACACTGATAATCAGAATTTATGCATTCCAGAATTACAAAGAAATAACTGCATCCTCCTGCAGTTTCAGTTTTCTTCTCTGCCCCCAAATAAAACAATATCAAAAAGTCTATGACTTCAAACTGACTTCAGTGTACCTACGCACACACATACACCTGCACTGGATTGTGGCCTCTAGCTACAAAACATTAGCACAAGTGTGTTCTATGAGTGCAACCTGTGCACAGGATTGTGCATCAGTTCATATATAAAGTTGGGCAGACAGAACAAGGATTTTGCATTTGGTCTTCAGGTGCTGGAACATGTGTTTTGCATGAACAAAGCATGTCAGATTCAGCCCTGGAATTACCAGATATAGTATTTGGCAGTCCTTTTTTTCTGAAAAAATGCTTAGGGGTACTCTCATTTTCCTACTTATATTGAGATACTGCCCCTCAATGAGGCCAAACTTAGATTCACAAAATGTTTAGGGGTATGCGTACCCCTGCGTACCCCCAGAAAAAAAGCACTGATATTCAGTATTGGGACAGGGAATGACCCCTGCACCAGTCCTTGGGGAGTCACTGCTTTCTGAGTAGGCAACATTAGGTTGGACTGACCAATGACCTCACTCTCCCCTTGCCCCTTATAACAAACTTGCCCAAATAGATAAATCAAAGCAGCAAACACAGACAGAAAATGTGGTATTTCCTAAAATGTTTCATATCATTCACAAAGGTTTTGTAAGGACTTGACTTAAACTTCTGCTTGGGAATTAAGAAGAATGTGCATTCAGGATGCACCATGGAAATCAAGATAGGTCTCATTTCTTCAACACCACAAAAATATGACCTAATTTTAAATAGCATCAGAGTGGTCTCTTGCCCAGGTGCTTTTTTATCACAGAAGGGAGAGAGATGTTGGAAATAATTTCTGTACAGTTGGGGTGTTTTCATGATGAATTAAAAAGGGAAGGGAAGACCCAAAGAGCATGATTGTTGAATCCAGTAAATGTGGAACTTCAAAATGCAACAAAACTTGCACATCATCTTCTCCCTTCCTAAAACAAATGCTTTCATCAACTTAGAATAGCTATTTAGTTTCCAGATTTTCCCGAGTCATAGCTGGTTTTATGAATTGCACTGTATTTTACAGGTACGAAGCAAAGTTATAGGAAGGGGGAAACGAAGGGAATTAGTAGAAGAGTTTAGACCACTCTGTGTTAACAGGTCATACATATGTACACTACACAAGCCAGAAGAAATATGATGCCCAACTGGAATCATAGGCATGTGCCATACGTAGCTGGAATGTTGTTATCCAAACATAATTTTGATCATGTGCATTTTGATAATTGGAGAAAAAACATTGGCCATAGAGCAATTTAAGCATATGGTGACATATTCCTACTTAATTATCAATTCAGTCATATTACACAGCATTTTCTGGGCATCCAAAGCTGGAGATTATGCCATTGTAAATATTTTACCATGCACATTATTATTATTATTATTATTATTATTATACAAAAATAGAAGCAGCAAGTAAATTGCAAGAAATAAAACAAATTCCCCAGGGGGGAAACCAAAAGAAAATTATGCAACTTATGAAAGAAAACTACTGCATGAACATAATTCAAGTTCCTGTTGAGGAGTCACATATTATACCTACCATAATCACATTATTCATGATGATACAGTGTACTGTATGTAGTCCATGCTGCATAAATCTATACAATGTAAAGACTAAAAAGAACGTGCCATTTCATTATATTCATATGGAAATGTTATTGCAGCGAGCATACATAAAACATGGATACATCTAGTGTGACGGGGGAATTTTCCCCCTCTGCTTTGTGGTCAAAGATAACAAGCTGTGTGCGTCTATCTTTTAAAACAAAATAATAACACATATTCTTTTCACAATCTGTATTTCAAGTGATTTGATTGAAAGCATATTATAGCTTGTGATACCAGGTGAACAATGCAGGCATGTACTAATCCTCACATGTATAAAAATTACCATCAGGTTTATTGCATTCCAAAATTACAAGGACGAGATAGCCATGTTAAGTGCTTGGTAGATAGTTAATTTTGAGGCTAGCTTCAGAAAATGCTTTCTGCGTCTGCTAATTTTTATAGCCAACTTTTTTTTAAGTTTGTGATGGAGAAAAAATCAAAGGAAAAAAGGTTCTTACCTGATTCATAAACATTTATGGTTGAATCAGAAAAAGGATATTCTCTTTTGTTTTGTTGAAGATATTTGATAGGGCTCTGCTTAACACTTGATTTAAATTACAAAAAAAGTCAGGAAGAATGAGCAATTATATATGAATTAAATAGATGATGTATCTGCAAAGCCATCTTGTTCCCTCGATGCTCTGTTCTTCTATGTAGAAGAAGAGAAATATCTTAAATCTACTAGGAAATCAGTCCTGCATAACACAGGTATGAATCATGCAGATAGTATCAGCTGTGTTCTCAATAGGGAAGATTTCACTGTGAGCTGTACTCAACTTAGTCCCACTAAAATTAATGGACCTACATTAGTTATGTCCATTGATTTCAGTGGGTCTGCTGTGAGTATGACTAACACTGGATGTAACTTTATGATCCTAAGCCGGTTTATTTGAAAATAGTTCCTTCTGGGTTCAATGGAACTCACATTCTAAAAAGACTGTATAGGATGGCAGTCTCTATTTTGTCCAGTTTTGGCTCTCGTTCAGCAAATGGCATGGCATGGAATGGCACCGCAGGATGTATGAGCTAATGCTACTGGCAACTTCAAAAAAATATTGTAGATGAATATACTCTGTCTGTGATCTTTATTTGTTTCATTAATATGTCTGTACATATACAGGAGGCAAGTGTATAGCATACCTGGGCATAATATAACTCTTACAACAACAAACAACAAAAGTATGCTCTTCCTTCATAGCACCATCCAGGGTGGGAAAATCATGATAGTTATGATGGGGGTTCGAGCAGAGGAGGCAGAGTATAAAGAAAGCAACAGGGACACGTAATCCCACTCCCCAACAGGCAACACAGGATAAACCACTTTGAGGTTTTTTAGAATCAAGTGGGGCATGAATTTTAGGAAAGGAAAGAAATGAAATGAAATGAAGACATACTTGGCTGCTTAAGTCCAGAGTGATTGATATGTCATGAAAGTCCACCAGATGGCCACAAGGTTCTCATGACCACCACACACCTTAAGTGATGTACAGGGCCTTCTTACACCATCTATCCATAATAATATTGGTAGGGTCTATCCATTCATATGTAGTAGCTAGCCTTGCAGAAACCAGTAAATATACAATTCAGGGGTTTCAAAACTATTTCAGCATTCTTCCCAAGGAATAGAGTTTGGGGTCTGGGTTTACCCTATGACCCACTGGATAAGCTACTTTTATTAAGGGTTGAATTTAGTGTAACTTGTACTTGGAATAATATTCAGTTTTTAAAACTCTTGCACTGATATTCTGCTGCGGACTCCCCTGAGTAAACTGGTGCCCGTGGGTGTGCTTGGATACAAACTCCAAAACCATTCTACAGTTTGGGGTCTCTACTTTGCCTTGGATACGCCACATTCTTTCAATCTGTTCATTTTGGCTGGTTATTTGAAATCCTACCTGCGATTTCAATCATTTTAGGTTTATAGAAATGCAGTAAATTGACCAAGTCATGTTATTGGATTTTTTTTAAGGTTTTGTAGGAAGATCATTGCCCATCATCATCTGGCTATTTTCCCAACCCAAAAAAACAAACACAGAGAAAAGTGGGTAACATACAAGGAAGGATTGGGTGCTGTGCTTATTTCATCCAAGTATAACTGAAATGAGGAATGGTGGTATTATACATAACTTTTGTGTGACATTCAGAGTTCTTATAGTGATATAGAACAATCTTGTTTCATCATAGCAAAGCACAGAAGAAAAAAAGATTAGTGCTCAAAGGACTGAGAGTCAGTTCTTCCCTGTTCCAGTACAGAGATTCTTATGTCTGTTTCTGTACTTTTGCCCATGAAAACGGGGAAGGTGGAGAATAATAAGCCATACAGCAAAAAGCTTATTGACCACCTCTCACCTACCTTTGTCATGTGCTGCTGGTCATGAATTTGCTTTTGCTTCTTTCCTCACTCTGCAACCTGGGAGCTATTTCTTTTTTTAAAAAGTGGCTTGTTCTTGAGGTGACATTAGAATTGCGTTACATTCTAAAGCTGTCAGCAAGCTGCATGTCTTGCAGCCAAATCTGATTTACTATGTGATGTCACTAGGAAGGCTATTCAGAGGGATGGCAAGAAGCATTGCCCTCACTCAGAATATGCTAGGAATATGCTTCCTGGTGACATCACATAGTAAATCAGAGTTGATTGTCAGACAGTGTTACAGAGCCAAATTGGAGTAAGCACAGAACTTTCTGGCATCACTCCGAATGAGTGAAACTTTTCCTCCCAGTTTACAGCCCCCCCAAAACAAATAGCAAGATGGGGGGGTTTGCATTTGGCAGCAGGTGACTGTTTTTGTACAATACACATACACTCTTCTGCTCAGTCCTATTCATAGGTGTGAACTGGTCAGAATTTGAGGAGAAAGCCATATAGACTCCCTTGCCTGACCTATGTGATTACTCAGTAAAATGTGTGCCTTAGATTGAGGAGCTGAGTTGGCTATGAGACCAGAATAGTGGTGGTGCAGGAGGTAACTAATGGAAAGTGAGCTGTTTAGACTGCCTCCTCTAGGTGCCTTACAATCAGTTCCTAATGTGAAAATAAGACCAACTTTGGCTGTAATGGGTATTTTTTACACATTCTCTCCTGGATCAACAGTATTCAGACATGACACAAAAGTAGAATCGACACTCAAAGCCTTTTTTTGTGTGTGTCACTTGTGAAAATAGTCCCTAACACCCCAATACAAAATATGCATATACTTGGAAGTGAGTGCTATTGACATCAATGAGTTTTTACAAGAAAATGAGTTTAGGATGGGCTGCTAATCATGTTAAATCCAAAGACTTCCACTTTGGATTACACTATTAGAAATCCAGAATCTATTTAAAACAAGCAATTAACCCCACTTAAGTCAGTAGAATGGGATCAAACCAAGATCAAAGCAGGCCTTTAGAGATGCATTTACATCTTTTGACATTTTATTTTCAGTCATGCTTAGATTAGAACTAAGCCCATCCCCACTGCCAAAAGCTGCACAAGATAGGTGTGTCATTGGGTTAACGTAACCAGTGCCAGAGTTTTCTTGACACTTCAAGTGGCCCCTTTCAACGGAGGAACAGACATTTAAATGGGAAGTCCAAAAAGAACTTTAGCATGCGGCTCAATAGCTATCAATTTACAATAACATTTTTTGAAATATTCACACTAATTAGAAAGGCTGTGAAAATGGTTTATGAAGATGGGGCTTCTGAAAAGGGTGGGGGTGGAACACTCACAAGCAGACAGGGAGTTCAACTAGAATTTCAAATTGACTTATTTTATGATACATTATTTAATAAATGTTAGCATAAATTTTTTAAGAGTTCATTTTGCATGCCATTATTGGGCCAAATGGCCGACAAGTATCAGAAATTAAAGAAAGGTGCACCATTCATTTGGGTGAAAAAGAAAAATCAAAGTCAAATCTTCATCATTACACAGAATAAAGGTGTCTGATAACTGCCAAAATTATAAATTTCCTTGACAGCTAATATTTAAATCAAACTCTTTTTAATGTCACCCTAAGGAACTTGGTCTTGACCCAGTTAAAAGTATTTTTAACTAAAGCAAAACTTAAGACCTGGTAGGAAAAAGGGTGGGTGTGTTTCTCTTTTCAATTAAAAGAGTTCCACATGAAAGAGTTTGTCTTAAGATAAAGTCTGAACTACAATGTCTATCATCCTAACTATGATCCAGGTTCTGATTTTGAGACACAAAGTTTTACACCATTCAATCATATTTTTAAGCAAACCAGCATGATTTACACTTCCTGAGCTAATATGTGGATCAGAAAACAATTAAACTTCAGGTTTTTGCAGTACTCTTGAATGCTGTGATACAAAGTGTACCAAATTATTCCACTGTTCCACCCTAAGAAGAATCAAAAATAAGAAAATAATAATAAAAAACTATAAGCAATAAAACTCACGGCAGCCCAGACATGGAAGGTTCAAGATCCCGATTAAAAGGTTTTTAAAAAAACAAAAACAAAAACTGCAAAAATTGAAGAAACCATATAGATTTCCCAGGGTTTCTAGAGGGAATGCACATGAAAATAAGTATTATAGGATAAAATGAATTATCAAAAATGCATATTTTAAGGTAAAATGCATGCAAAATGGCACACCAAAGCTGTGACTTTTCATATGGGCTTTTTTTCTTTCTTTCTTTCTTTCTTTCTTTCTTTCTTTCTTTCTCTTTTTTTAGAAAAAGAAAGATTGTAGAATAACGTGGAAAGAGTGCAGAATGGGTTTATGAATGAAGACATGTGAAACTGGCATGAACTGGAAATAGATTAATCCATTGATCTGTACCCTAAAGTTGCAATTCTATTCTATGGTCCCAGGGCAGAAATAGAAGGCAGGCCAGGGATGGATCTGGAGTGGCTTTATATCCAGCCCCAAATCTGGAGGGTGCCAGAGGGTGAGAAATACTGAGAAAGGTGGACCAATGATCTGATTTGGTATAAGGCTCCTTCCTACGTTCCCCAAATACCTGAGGTTTCCAAATATCAGTAGTCCCATGTACTGTATGCATCAAGATTAGAGGTCACCAGGGCATGGATAACTGTGATCGCACTGTGGCTGTCTAGGAGAGTATGGAGTTAGTGTACCAGCCTGAGCTGGTGAAAGGTGCTATATGATTAATTTCATGCAATTGTATGTACAGTCACAAAAAGAAAGTGTTTTGCTGTGTTTCATTGATCAAGGGCTTCACCTCCAAGTGAATTTGATGAGAAGTAATACCCACCTACTAACATACTGTAATTCTGGGTATGCCTTCACACCTCTGCTCTTTTATTCCATTCATGCCAGAATGATCTGTGTACCAGCAGTTACTGTGCATTTGTGGAAAATCAAAGCTTCACTCAGTTGAAGGGTAGAGAAATCAGAACAAATTTGGATAATAATAGGTTATGCATAAACAATGTCAGATCTACCTAACTAAAGCAGGCCCTATTGTTTGTGTGTGTGTGTGTGTGTGTGTGTGTGTGTGTGTGACTGTATATGTCCGATTCTGCCTCCATTATTCATCTTCAGTATATTTTCTTTGCAGGACTGGTTGCTTAACCATTTTCAGGTATATGCATTAAAGTTTAATAATTTCCTGTTATTCTATAGAAGTGAAATGCAGGGTTATAAGTGAGATATCAATTAACATAAGAATCAATTTAATGGTAATTTAAATAGCTAACTTACAATTTTTGCATAATTAAGTGGCCTGTGGGCTTGAAGTCTTAATCATGTCTAATTAATTTAAAGGATGTTACATTTTATTATCACTGAAATGTCTGACAGGTGATAAAACATTTAGGGTTGCAGTCACAAACTTTTCTTTTTTTTTACACACGCTACAATGCAAGTAGACAGGTCATAGAAATTCCTTCTCTGGTATCAAAACAGATATATGAATATTTAGAGAAAATGGGGTGATATGGTTTGTAACAAACTGAACCTTGGCACAGACTGGATAAATTATCACCAGGGAGTTTCTGAAGGTTTGAAACCCCCCCCTTTTTTTTAAAGGATAGTTTTTGAAAACTAAAGAAAATAGTTGTGAAATAACAGGTATATTCACCTCTAAAATCAGGATGGCTGTGCTCCTTGTAACCCCAAACACTCTTATCTCAAAGCAATTTCCACTGAAAGAAATTGAATTTACTTTTGAGTAACCAGATTCAGGCTGCAATCATATACCTGCGAGTACACCATACTGAACTCAATGGGACTTATTTCTGAACAGACATGTATAGACAGTTGGGGACTGACATGATCAGAGGCTGGTAAGAGAGGTACAGACAAAATATATTCAACAAAGGTAATAATTTTCAAAATACCACCACTGCCAATCGTGAGGAACCCTGTATCGAAGGCTCCACAGGGCCGAAGAGCACTCCTCAAGCCCTCCCCTCTGGGAATGACTATCCAGTCAGGACTGGAACCACCACAAAGTGATGCTACCTACCCACAACTTGGACAGCCATTCCAGGAGGATGCTAGAGGATAGATTGTATTGAAAGCCCTGGAGAGGTGAAGAATTAACAGAGACACATTTCCCCTGTCACTCTCCTGACAGAGGTAATCATACAGGGCAACCAAAACCGGTGCCAAAACCAGGGCTAAAACTTGATTGAAATGGATTTAGAAAATCAGTTTCTTCCAACAGTGCCTGGATCTGGTGCATGACCACTTGCTCAGGAATCCTGCCCAAGAAGGGGAGATTGGCAACTGGATGATAATTACTTAGATTTTCCAGATCAAAGGAGGGTTTACTGAGGAGTGGTCTTACCGCTGCCTCCTTCAACCAGACAGGGACCACTCCTTCTCATAAGGAGGCATTAATCACCTCCCTGGCCCAGCCAGCTGTCCCCTCCATGCAAGTTTTTATCAGCCAACCAACTGAAACTGTGAGGAAACAATGGTGTCTCACACTCCTGCTGTGACAACCTCCCCTCTCCTGGTCTTCCAGGTATGAAGCCGGAGCTGACATATCTCAGATTGCTTGCAAAAGACCCAGGAGAGGAGGAGACTTAGGCAGCTGTGGGGAAGCTGGGGATGTTCATTCTCCACAATTGCCTCATAGGGGCAAGAACTACCAAAGATAAATGCTGTGCTCATTAGAAGACCTGACACTCCTGGGCAGATCCTGTTTCTTCTCATTAAGATTTAACGTCACTTAATCAGTGTGATTTCTTGCTGGCTCGCTCCTGACACCTGTGCCAGATGTCCCCACAACCCTTGCCACTATTATACCCACAGTATGGCACTCTAGTTGCTGCCAACGCCAATCACTCGCCTACCTCACCTAATCCCGCCCCTCCCTTTAAAAAACACATAATTGTTTGGTCCACAGCAGCAGCACTTTTGAATGGGAACTGAATTGGCAGTTGGCTCACACCCACAGTGGCTTCTCGCCATATTTGATTATGCAAAATGTAGCAACAGACTCAGCATATCAGGTCGGACATTGCATTTTGGATAATCTAGCGCAGCAGGAGGTTGCCATGGATCAGAGCTGAACACCACAGCTTGGTTCCCATTGCAGAGCACCAGCAGTGGCAGCAGCTTCCATCCCCCTGGGAAACATGTTCAGGTTGGGTTGAGGCAAGTGAACAGCAGTATGCGTGGCAGCAAAAGCACATAGCGGCACCAGGTGGGGACCCAGGTTGGCGCCATGTGGGGCCCATCAGCAATTGAGAGCCCACTCAAACCTAGCCCTATTCTGACAACCCACTGAGGTCTGGCACTGGCCCTGGCGGGGCATATATTAACAACACAGCAGCAGCAACAAATCTAAAGATGGTTGGCAATACTAGAATTTTCACATCACTTTATTTTCTCAGCCCCTATTCAAGGGCCTTCTCAACACTGGCTCCGGCCTGGTGGAACGCTCTGTCTCATGAGACCAGGGCCCTGCGGGATCTGATTTCTTTCCGCAGGGCCTGTAAGACAGAGTTGTTCCACCTGGCCTTTGGCTTAGAATCAGTTTGATTCCCTCCCCCTCTTTCTTTTCCTTTCTCCTCCTGTGAAGAGGCTGCATCCTAATGTTTTAAAGTTGTATTTTAATCTTGTTTTTTAAATTGTATTTTAATCAACTTGTTTTTATTTTTGGTTGTTAGCCGCCCTGAGCCCGGTCTTGGCTGGGGAGGGCAGGGTATAAATTATTTTTATTATTATTATTATTATTATTATTATTATTATTTTAGCAGAACTAGCACCATCCTAGGGATCTGAGGATTGGTGTCTATCATTTCTGTCTATAAACAATGCTAAGAAGGGGCTACTTAATCCTTCCATTGTCAGTAAGTTTAGGTCAGCAAAAATAAAACTAAATCTAGATTAAGTGATGTATGCATTGTAAACGAAGTTGGAACCTAGGGTGCTTTGTGATGTATTAAGAGGCAGGCTTGTGTCTTTCTTTGGAGCCCCACAATTGGTGCTATGTGTGGGAAGCAGGACCTGTCGTGTACCAGGCAGGGGTGGGGGGAGTAAAAGAGAATAGAAAAAGGCAGATATTAGAGCCCAAGTGACTGGTGTAGCAAGACTTTTCAAAATGTTGGCCACAATATTGGGGGGGCATTTGGTTTCTTCTTCTGGTAGGAAAAAAATGCCCTGGGCAGGTGCATGGGAAGCTGGAAGAAGACTGGTATTTTTGATGTGCAAAGGAATTAGCTATTAGTATTGAGAAAGAAAACAAACTACAGGCCTTGCGACTGTGTTTCAGTACAATCCCAGTACTCCTACTGCACTTAGCTCAGTCCATGTGGTTAGTGCAAATGATTTGAGAATATTATTTAAAAACCCATAAAACATTACATAGCCTCCTAAAAGGAAAGAGAACACATGTATTGGCCTGACGACAGCTAAAACAAGGAGAGAATGCAAATGCAAACGCAAACCACATTTTGGTTTTAGAAAGATATGCTTCTAATCGTGTTCCATTATTATCGCCGAAATTACAAGTTCTTTCTGCTTCCATTGTATTCTGCCACAGTTAATAATTTAAATGTAAACACATGAAATACTAATTTAATGGCAGACTTTGTAATTACAAAAGTACCGTGAGTGTTTGTTTTTGTAAATGTATATGAAGCTCTTTTGTACCTACAGTAATTAGGGTGATCAGAAAAATCTGGGAATTATTCAAAAGGACAAATACGAAAAACAAATTTTCCTGAAGGAAATATGCAAAAGAGGCCCATCTTGGGTGGGCTTCAGCTTTCACAACACCTAAATACACCTGGGGAAATGGCAGGTACTAGTTATATATTTATCCTTTCTCAAAGCTTTGTGCCTGTTTCAATGAAACTGTTCCCACCAGATTCTTCAGTTCAAATAGGTTGTTGGTAGTTCACATGCTCCTGTTACAATGCTGCATTTCCTGGCATGATTGTCATTGTCTCTCCTATTGCTCCCACAGTGACCTGGGCATTTTTACAAAAGTGATATGGCTCCATGGATTGTTTCCAAAGATTCCAGTCATCAAGGAATCGTGTGAAAGAAGCCTTTCTAGATCCATAGGACACCCTCATGAAGAAGAAAGGCTATCAATGACTACTAGCCATGATGGCTACATTAAACCTCAAGGATCAGAGGCAATCTCTCTCTGGATAGCAGTGTGTACTCAAATGAGAGAGGCTTACTGCCCTCATGTTCTGCTTATGGGCTTCACATAAAGATCTAGGAGGCTGTGATAGAGGCACCCCATGCCACTCACTAGAACTGCAACCGACACAAGATAATACCATCAAGGCAACTATCTGTAAACAATAAATGTCCATAAAAATGGCAAAAGTAGTTTTCCCCCAAGTAGGTTTTATCTTAAACAATTGCAAACACAGTAATAAAGAGTCCACTTGTGATATACCAGTGGTTCAGTGTTTGGACGTTGTTCCAGTAATCAGATGTTTCGTCGCTAAAGAGTTTCACGACTTAAAGCAGGCGTATATCTGTCCCCACCTGCATGTTTCCATCGGGAGGAGTAAAGAAAGAGGATGATGTCCTTCAATTTGTCTTTCATTTCAGACAATGTCCTTCAGGAGGTATCACCACCCTGTTCACTGTTTTGTTATACTCTCTAGAACTGGCCTTGAAGGAATGGAAGCACTGTGAAATAGTGCCTGCCATTCCCAACTCATATAGGCTGTCCAGCAAGATGTCATCATTAAATGTATCAAAAGCTGCTGAGAGACTGAGCAAGAGCAACAGGGTCACAAGCGCCCCTCGCCCACAGCAGCGAAATCAAAGCCAATTCATTTCTGATATTGGCCTGAACCTGGACCAGAATGTATCTAGCTAATCGGCTTCCTCCAAGAGTGCCTGTGCTGGCACTATTATCTTGAAAACCTTCTACCCAAAGGAGAATTAAATATTAAATGTCCCCTTAAATATTAGACAGACACTGTCTCTGTTGTCATTTTGTCACCTCCTGAAGTCCTTCCAACATGCCTTTTAAGTTGAGATCGCTTCCAGTCTACGTCTGTATTGGAATTGTGTTTAGATGTTTTAAATGTCCTGTCATTTGTGTGTTTGTCACCCTAGGCTCCTTTCAGGGGAAGTGTGGGATACATCACCACCTTCACCATCACAGCAACTGTGCAGAAGCTGTGATATACCTCTGGGTCCAGGGTAAGATGATGATTATGATGATGATTTTAGGTACACCCTACCTTTTTCCCCTGACAGAGGGTATAGGAAGTCCACAGGGAGGACAGGCAGGCACCATCCCTCTCCAGCTGCTCTTCTCAATTCCAAATGTAGTGCAGAGCCATCAAATTGCTCTTTGCCCGTTCCAGAGGAAGAGTGGGACAAAATAAGAGTACTGGGAATGTGCTAACATCCCCCTGATCAAAGGGCTCAGGGAAACCTTGAGATGATGAAGAAAATCAAAGAAGTACTCAAAAAGATGAATGCTATAGTAATGGGTGACTTCAAACTTTCCCAGGAGCATCTTAGCCAACTTTAAACCTTCAGTTATTTCTAATCAATTTCATTCCTCCCACCCCCAAATATTCTACTGTCTCCAGGAACATCTTCTCGTTCTTTTGCTGTAAATGCTTACAATAATGATTCCCTGAACAAGATGTCTGACAAGCATGCCCTTTCAACACATCCAAGAAATCTAGCATCTAAACATCCAGTCAAGCTGTTTCTGCCTACTTTTGGAGCTCTTCCAGCAAGTTAAAAATTTCCCAAGATACTTCAGAAATGGAGTTTATCAATCCCAAGAGGAATTCTGGCAATCCTTGCTCAGAAGTGCACATCTGCTTATTGGTGTGGAAACTTGATTTTGTCTAGTATGAGATTAGGACAGTGCAACTAGACTATGGCTATTTACCTTTTAATGAGTGCCCTAAAAACACAGCAATAAATCCTCACATGTAGAACAATCAGGTACAACTCTAAATATTTAGTGAGAATTACCAGAGAGTCACCAAAGGATGAAATCTGGGCTGGAAAATACCGACAAAAGAACTGAATGAGAGACGTTACATACCATGAGGACACGCTCCAAAGAGCTTGAGGAAGACACAAGAAGAGAGAAGGAAGAGGAGGAGGATGCCTATCTTAACATTTTACCATCATTCAGTAAAAAGAGATGAAAGGAACAGTCGAAAGTGGTGAGCCAGAATTAATAAAGGCAAGAAAATAAGGCATGAATTTGGAAGAAGCAGGGAAGAAAGTACTCTTAGAATAGCGCTTTCTTTCAAAAGGAATCATCCTATCTAGCATAACAGTCACATTAGCAGTTGCAACAAAAACAACAGCTACAGGAATCTTCTGTTTGTGCGGTGTACCATATTGAAGGATTGAGCCATAAATGATCTTAAAACTAAGGAACCCAACTTGTAGGTGTACTAATGCAGATGTAAGTTCTGTTGTGCAGGACTGAAGCCTTAGCTGGTTTGTACCCTAGGCTGCTAAAGTAGAAGCTGTTTTTAGAGGATTTTTTTTCATCTAATGTGGGCAAAGTCTAGGATAAGCATAAGATATGCCTGTGTCTACAATGCGACAATCTCTTCTGACAAACACAAGACAGAAGCATCAGGGATTTTCTATTGAGCAAATGGAAACATTATTTCTAGAGTAAGTAGAATAATTTTGTTTGTGAAGAGTATTTGTTTTCATGCCTAACAAAGGGATTTAACTCCTGCTTTATGTGAGAGACAGAACAAAGCCTTACCTAAGCAGTCAGTACCAATTTCGACAGCATTTGTATCAATATGTACAATAGACATGAAGTACAACTGGGACTTTTCCCATTAATTCTTCTGTGGTGGTATATGCAGGATACACAGCCATTCACCCACAGAACATCTACTCCTGTTAGATATGCTGCCTTCATTCAAGGATTTGAATAGTGCAGCCTGCAGTAATTGGGATTTCCTTAAAAATATTGAACTGTTTTCACTATTAACTACTATCTTGAAAATCCTGAGGGCAGCGTTCCAAGAGCTTTGATTTGCCCCCAAAATGATTTGGTTCCCAGAATGTTTCAATTTCTGGATTTAGCAACTCTGAGCTGTGGTGCAGAAAAATATATTTTTTAAAATCTTTGAAGCTAGGCACAGAGAACAGCGAAGTAGCTGGCTAGAAATTGCAGTGTGCTTTATTTTATTTTTTTCTTCTTCCCCAGCCTCCGGATTGCAGCCCAGCAGGCATACAAACATCGAGTGGGTGCCAGAAAAACACAACCAACACACTAGATATCGGGATTTAATTCCCCCCCCAATAATAAAAAAATGACTGAAAAAATGCGGCTGCTGGTGTTCGTTTGGTAATTATCTGCTTCCATATTATCTGCCTCTTCTCACCAGTGCTGATGGACACAGCCTGCTGAGCTCTGCTTTCCGATTTATAAGTCCTAGGTATGGACAAAAACCTGTGTTTGTGCAAGAAACATTTAGAATAAGCGAAATTCTCTTTTCCTTTCCCTGCACTTTCCCCACATCTTGTCATCTTATCCAAGGAGGATAAACCAAGCAATCTAGTGGCAGGTTAATAGCTAGAGGTTGATCTCAGTTCTGCTCTCTTCTGGCTAACAAAAAAAAAGAAGTTATAAATATCAAAAGAGGCAATACTGTATTGTCCTGCAATGCAGTGCCTCCAGTGTTGAGACACTTTGTTCATCCCTGCCCTCTAGTGGTAGCCCTCAGTAATCTGTATTGTGTGGGTTAATGTGTTTAGGGAGGGCCTCGATATGACCAGGGAGGGACTACAATTGGCCTTCAGGTATCTTCCATTATTTCCCATGGCTAAAGGTGGATTCTTTTGGAGTGGGGGAGGGGGATATGGGCCATAACACTGCACCTCCATGGTATTCCTAAAAAAACTGGTATTGCCCAGCTGAAAGTGCACGGTGCAACATTTAATGTTCCCCAATATATTCCATATTTTGGGAAATGTACATATGCAAGGAACGTACCTTTGTTTGTTTGAACCATTTATAAACTACTTAAGACCACAGTTTCTAAGTGGTTTACAATGAAGTTACAAAAGAGATACAACGGATAAAATAATATAAAATTATCCATGAGATCAGAAAAGCTTACTTGAACTGTTGGCTGAAATTCATAGATATATATATAAAGAAAAGTCTGCACCAAGTGCCTGAAGTTCAACAAAGAGGGTTCCTGCCTGATGACAGCTAAGAGGGCTTTCCACAGCGTTGGGCACGCAATAGTGAATTCATTCAGTGCGGCTGTATTAATCTATGGCAAATAAGAATTCCCCACTGGTGGAAATGGGAAAGTGAGAGTAAAAGAGCAATCCCAAGTGTGGCATTTTATATATTAGCTTTCTCCAGCTTTTGCCCTTTCCAGATGCTGTAGACTACAGAGCCTATCACCCTAGTCAGCATGGCCAATGGTCAGTGATGATGGGAGTCCAAAATATCTGGAATACACCAGATTGTCTCCAGATTATATCAGCAGAGGATGGTCAGAGCAACTATACAGGATTTTCAGTATAGTAGTTAATAGGCAACCCCAAGCGATTTACAACCAAATTAGGAGGGACATACCAGCACCATTTTTCTAGGGGGAAAACACACACTGATCTTGATGTAGAAATGTGATATAGTATTTTATTTGTCACCTCTTCTCTTTCATCCAGTATTATCTAGTAAACCAAAATATGCTAGTCCTACCCACCTCCCGTTCCACATTTTATTGGCTTCAGCTTGTAAAGACAGAGACGCATGAGGGGTATTGTCATCAGATAATCTTGGCTTATTAGAGGATTTCTGGGCAGAGAAAGGAGAGACCAGGACCAGAGCTCCAATAACAGTGACTTGGATGCTTGGATATAGAGATGTAGGCTCAATCATGTCAATGCCACTAGATTCTCCCCTCTAAAGTCCGGTCTGCTTTCATACAGCTAAAACATACAATAAAAATACTATAGAAATTATACAGCAATTACTGTAGCCTCTGTTTGCTAAACACTCAGTTGTCATTCTTTTGGTGTTCTGAGAATCCTGCAGGGATGAGAAACCTGTGGCTCTCTAGATGTTGGTGAAGCCCAACTCCCATCAACCCCTGGTAGCATGGACAATGGTCAGGAAGAGTAGGGAATGCAGCCCAGCAACACCTGAAGAGCCACAATTCCCTGCCTTATGGCATACAAATCAATCCCATGCTGGCCTTAGGTTGGAGAGCAATTTTAGCTGTGTGAAAGTATCAAATAAAGCAGGACAAAAGAGCAGAGAAGCAGCACCTGAGTATGCCATATTGAAGTTGAATGGCAGAAAGTGTTCCATATAAAAGCAGAAGATGTCGACAGCTAGAGCAAGCACAGAATCTTAAAATATTAATGTTGGTAAACATTGATTTGTTTAGATTTAATGCATAGGATTAAGGACTCGTGAATGAAGCAAAAGACATCAGGCTGTGCCTGAAGGTAAAATGTGGTTTCCTAGTTATGAAAATTTAATTTGACTGCTTATGGTATAATTGCTCATATTTATAGCAGCCTCATCCCGGCAAGATAACAGTCAGTCAAACGGACAACATGCTTCCGCCCCCCACAACAGCTGTGAACTATTTTGGTTGGAGACTGTCCAATTTTTATGACCTATCCAGAGTAAAAACAGAAAGTTAGCAATCCTGTACAGCATTTTTGTGTTACAATTGCCTATTTCATCTTATATAAGGTTCCATGTGGAGGTCAGATATTTTTCAACTCAAAATTGAAAATCTTGTTTGTTGCTCATAAATGTTGGGGTCTCATTTTCATTTGTAGGGTTTTTTGAATGCTCTGGCAGAATAGAATACCTTAAAACGGATGCAAATTAACAATTTGCCGTAAAAACACTGATTATTTTGACATCACTATTAACCTTTTGACGCAGATGGCACTGTGGGTTAAACCACAGAGCCTAGGACTTGCCGATCAGAAGGTCGGCGGTTCAAATCTCTGGAACGGGATGAGCTCCCGTTGCTCAGTCCCTGCTCCTGCCAACCTAGCAGTTCGAAAGCACGTCAAAGTGCAAGTAGATAAATAGGTACCGCTCCGGCGGGAAGGTAAATGGCATTTCCATGCACTGCTCTGGTTCGCCAGAAGCGGCTTAGTCATGCTAGCCACATGACCCGGAAACTGTACACCGGCTCCCTCGGCCAATAAAGCGAAATGAGCACCACAATCCCAGAGTCGGCCACAACTGGATCTAATGGTCAGGGGTCCCTTTACCCTTTACCTTTATTAACATTTTAATATATGAAATTTTACCTATTTTCTTGAAAAGCATGTTTAAAAAAAGACATGTCTCCATGGAATAATAGAGTTGTGGAGCTGGAAGGGACTGTGAGGGTCATCTAGTCCAAGCCCCTGCAATTCAGGAATTTTTTGCCCAATGTTGGTTCTTGAACCCATGGCCAGAGTTTCATGCTCTACCAACTGAGCTATCAGGCTGGAATTCAGCTTATTCAAATGTAAGAAGTCAAAGTGCCAATGAGGAATCTCAGCCACCCATATAGACAAGTAGTGGAGAATCTGGTCAGGATTTGATCTACAGCTCCCCTCTTCATCATTGCTGTTAATGGAGAAGTGATTCATTGACACATTAAAAGTAGTACCTCAGTGCCACTGGTCTGCTTTGGAGTAGTGCATTGCTATGGTGACCAATTACACACTGCCCCAAAAGAAGAAGCCCATCCCCACAAAACTGGACATGGATGTGCATAAAATTTGCACATGATAATTTTATGTACAGATGCAAAGTTAGAAATAATTGCTGTGATTTGTAGAAATACGTACTGTTCATTGTACCACAGTGGTGACAACTGTATCCACAATGCCATTCACTTCTATGGGTAGCATTTCTGCATGCGTCATCTGCAGTTCAGACATAAGCCAGAGTGGAGTTGAGGTGTATGAGCTAGAACAGGCATAGGCAAACTCAGCCCTCCAGATGTTTTGGGACTACAACTCGCATCATCCCTGACCACTGGTCCTGTTAGCTAGGGATGATGGGAGTTGCGGTCCCAAAACATCTGGAGGGCCGATTTTGCCTATGCCTGAGCTAGAAGCTAAAAGGGGCGGCAGGTTGAAGCCTGTGAAGGAGAGACATGCTTGATTTCTGCTTGAATCCAAGGCTGTGGCTATGGGAGAAGGAATACCTTATTGGGGTGTTAATGCTGTGAGCCCTTCCGTTATAGGCTCAGTTTGTATAAATGTGTAAATAAACCATAGATCACAAAGACACCACAGTCTCCGCTGTTCCTCATTCTGAGGAAACTGAACCCTGGGTAACTGCCTGGAACCCCCGGTATCTTGCACCGCTCGGAGATTTGGGTGGTGTGAGACAATACATATAGGATTGTACTTACATAGTTGTAAGCCCCACTGAATTCAGTGAGACTTACTTCTGAGTAGACATGCATTGATTTGTGGTGTAAATCAGTTATGTGGAGTTATTAACTCCCAAAGACACAAATAATGTATCAGCTCATTCGAAAATCAAGAGATCACTTCTAAATACCATGTCAAAATCCTAACAGAAAAGCAGTATTAATCATCTCTAACACTCTTCTAATCCTCTCCTTTTTCTTTTCTTTTTAAAAAATAAGTCCCCTTGTTTTCTTATTCCCATTTCCCCTCCATCGTTCTTGGCCACTCCGTAAACACCATTAATAACTGATACAAAGAATCAGGCACATGCATATAGATAAACTGGGCATGACAAAATATCAACTTGCAGCTGCTCAATTGAATGCCGTATCTGTACGAGTGGTAATTACTTTTAATTTAATTAGGACTCCTAGTATTGTTTCTATCTCATAGATTACATTATAACATGTAATGTGTTAAAGTAACAAGGCAGAGGAAGGTGGGGGAGAAGCAGTAAATATTACCCCTTTATCTACAATGTCATAGTTCAACTTGTCTGCAACATTGGTTATTTGTTTGCAATCACCATTTCATAAAACACTTTGGAGGGATTCAAATGTGATGGATAAATAAAATAATAAATAATTTGTGTTCATTCACTATGAGAGAGAATGGAAGAGGTTTAAACTGAGTTAGCATGAAACAAATGTCCCATTGCACATTCATTGAGTGAATCTGGATTGTTTTAGGCATCAACAACTGCCCAAATCAGAATCCACATCACTTGCAACATTCTCAAATTTCCTCTTCTAACTTTGAAACATTTCTTCTTTTCCCTAGCTTCATAGCAAAGTGTAACATTTTAAGAATCACAGAAAGAAATATCCAGAATATAGGTAACACTGATTCATTGGACTGCTTCAAATGGCTAGCCTGGTTTTATGGCAGCAGCCTCTTCATCAGAGCTAATGATAGTAGTGGTTGTGATCCTACTATGCATTCCCAGTAGCAGGGATAAAAGCACAGCAAGAGCCACATTAACTGCTTATTTGGCAACGTGTGTGTGTGTGTGTGTGTGTGTGTGTGAGAGAGAGAGAGAGAGAGAGAGAGAGAGAGACAAACACACACCACCATTCATGATGTGGTTGGATGAGACACCTCTCTATTACCCGTGCATGGGAAGTATCAATCAACATGTGCAGATGGCTGGAATGCTAGGATGAGACTGAACTATTCAGTACACAAACATTCATCTCATATGAATGGCACAAGCTTAGAAACAGATGTTTGCCTCTTCCCCATTAGAGCATCCCTGAATCCAGTGGTCAGGAAACTTAGGTGTAAACATCATGTTCACTGAGCATTCATTCTGACTTTCTTGCACCAAGCTTATGCAGTGGTTAGGATATCATGTCCAAACTTTAATGACCATTTGTTCTAATTTGTTTATGGTGTGGTTATATGACAATAAGCATTCATGGTGCTTAATCAACCATTTATCCCCCACATTTTGGTGTATTTCCCCATCACTTTCTAACTACAAAATTCTTGTGGTTTTTTATTTATTTGTGTGCTAACAGAACACTTTAATCGACTTAATTTTGCAAGCTTTCAAAGTTTCCATCCTACCACAAAATAATGATAGTCTGGATGCACTCTCATCTGTTTACATTAGAGTGTGGCAATCTTTGGCTCATGATTAAGGTGTAACAAGTGGAAACCTGTAAAATAATATCACAGTGATTTTAGGAAACTCATCTTTTACTTATTAAAACCCACCCTTTTTTATTTTGAAACACATTCCTTTCGGTTTTAAAAAGCACTGCTTACTTAATTCTATGATTAAATAAAATCAGTATTAGAACAATTTCCTACTTCATAACATCACATACTTTTTAAAAACTGTAATTGTTATTCATTATCTATTTTAAATATTTATTATTGTTATTTTACAGTAGAATCAACATTAAATATGAAAAATCTTTTTACTCAGCATTATTTCTTGTTCATATTTTCTTCTTTTTTCTTTAGCTATTTCCTGCACCTTAGAAACTTGTTTTGGTAACTTAAGCGTAAACAAAAATAACCTTTTCTAAACAAGATTTATTGAAAACATCATTAGTTTTCCATTTTTACAAAATTTTACACTTTTTTCCCTTTGAAAATGCCAGGATGTTTTTGCTGTATTATTTATTAAGGACTCTATTTCATCAACTTGCTTTTTAAAGAAGCAGTAGGTTTAACTAGCTTCAAATTTAAAATAGTCTGCACCTTATAAAGCTGGACATTTCTTTCTTTCTATGGTGCTTCTTTTTCATCTCTCTAGAGAATGAAATCTATCTTTACTTTTATTTCTGCATCCATCCCTTCCAGGCGTGCTGCCTGTGTTTTGGCCACTTTTGCAATTTGCAGGAAATATTCTAATGGATATCTGATTTTCATTTTTTTAAAAAGTATATATATTAGCCCTCTTCCAAGAAAATTAAAAATTGGACTATGTGACTTCCAAGGTAGTAGAAAATTGACATTGGGTAGTATGAAACTGAAATATATAGCTTTATGGAGCATAATTCTATGCCAAGTCAATTCAAATGTGTTTGAGGGTGGTAAAATGTTCCAATACAAAGCCTGTGTCAGAAGCAGGGCACTTGTCGAAGTTCTTGTTTTTTGCTTGAAAATCCCTGAAAGGATATTTATTTAGCTTAACGCTGGATGCAAAAGCATATCAATGAGAACATAATTTTTGTGGGACAGTCTTGTCACAGAAGTTTTTCTGGAAGGAAAAATGTAGTTGGTAAGTGGGTAAAAGATGAGGATATTTTTCACTACTGTGCAGGTGACAATAAATGAAAAGAACTAAGTTGTAGATTTACTTCTTTGTAAATTCTGCAATGAACAGTGAAGCTAGGTGGATTCCAGCCCCCCCCCTTTTTTTGCAGAATGTCAGTCTTATTCAGAATACTGTTCTGGCACCACCTCCAAAGATAAGATGCATTTTCCACAGGCCAAGAATAAGTTCTTGCTTTGAGAATGCTATTCCCACTCACCCCCTTTCATTCATTCTTTCTTTGGTTCCTCTGCTTTCCTTCTCTTTTCCAGTATCATGTATGTTAAATAAAACTGCAATCCTGTACACAGTTTATTTACTTAAAATGTTTTATGCTGCCTTGCACAGAATGTTCCAAGGCAGTGCACAATTAATAAAAATCATTAAAATACATTATCATTAAAAATCCAATTAAAACAATAAATTCAGCCATATCCACGACTCAGAGAGAAAGAAATAACTTCAACAGAAAACAACAAGCTGGGACAAAGCACTCCATAGCCAGAAAAGACCTCAGAGAACAAATACAATTTTAGCAGGCACTGAAATATCACTGTCACTGCCTGCCTTACCTCAGAAGGTAAAGTTGGTGCTGCCACAAGAGAGATATACAAAGCATTGTCATACATATTGGCAGCTTTAATCTTGGGTTTAGTCCATGCATCACAGTAGAAACATGTTTTCTGCTGAAGAGCAGAGGTTCTTTTTGGATTTGGAGCATAACGAAGACACAAATGGGGTGAACACTAAAGATTTTATTAAACAGCCCAAAGAAAACTATGAAGCACTGAAATTATCTTACGCCCTTCTGGCTGCTGGGATTCCCATCAGCAATAAGAAGAAGAGAAGAGTTTGGATTTGATATCCCGCTTTATCACTACCCTAAGGAGTCTCAAAGCGGCTAATAATCTCCTTTTCCCTTCCTCCCGCACAACACTCTGTGAGGTGAGTGGGGCTGAGAGACTTCAGAGAAGTGTGACTAGCCCAAGGTCACCCTGCAGCTGCATGTGGAGGAGCGGGGAATCGAACCCAGTTCACCAGATTACGAGTCCACTGCTCTTAACCACTACACCACACTGGCTCTCTCAATAGACATGACTCCTGAAGCTGGCTAGTATGCAACACTCTCCAGAAAGATTTGCATAGAGTTTCTACCAACAGAGGTGTTCTCAGGGCTTATATATTGTTGGAATTATGTAAGCCGCATCTGGCATTGGGTGGGAACACATCAGTTTCTCATCAAAATGAAAGGCTACTTCACCAAAATGAAAGGCTACTTGGCGGGCAGTCAACATGGACAACTTCTAAGACTAGCTGACACACCCTTTTGCAGGTGCCAGCATATCAGAGCTAAAGAATCCCACACAGTGCCATCAAAGCCTATATATCTAGCTGTGAATAGCAGGCTTGAAACAGAATTAACCATTTAAAGGCCAGAGGCCCACATGATTTCTAGATGCAAAAGGAGCATTGCTGGATACCACCTAAATCTCCTCGAAATAACAATAGTCTTCCATGACAGTCCAATACAACATGGGAGCCACTTCCCTGGGTCTTGTCCTAAATTATTTGGGAGGTGGAATATCATTTCTCCATCTCAGCATGTCTGCTCCATTTACCATGTGGAAGTGAATCCCATACTATTGCAATTAACAGATGAACTGGGCATGGGTGTTTTTTTGGGGGGGGGCGTGCTGCTATAAAACCTAGGCTATTCCTCATATATTCTCTACCTAGGGCATGGACTGAAGGCGCAGGATGCAGCCATATTGCTGAAGCTTAGCAGGTCTGAGACTGGTCAGTGCCCTGATAGGAGATTGTTAGGGAACTGCAAGTACACTTTCTTGAGTTCCATGGTGGAAGAAAGGCAGGATATTGTTATAATAAATAAATATATATACTGCATTGTATCACATTATATATGGTACAGTTGTTGATGATAGTAATTATGGTATTAGTATGGTGGTGGTAGTGTTATCTTTGATCCACATTTTTAAGTTAACCAACCTACCGGTAATTTGCATCTCCTTGACAAAAGCACACATCAGAACATAGCTATTTTTCAGATTTTGCACTTCTTTTAATTTTACAAAGCAGCTGAAGGGGGGAATTGCAGTGGGAAAGCAATAGGCAGAAGTACTGGTACAGGCAACTTCCTGTTTGCACAGGGGTTGTGTTATAGGTCTTGTGCACACCAGTGGTCGTGCATAAGCCCGTTCTGCTGCCACCCCATTCCACCCCCTTCTGGAGCCGAAAGCCAGGCGCATGTTGGCAGTTGTGTGTCAATTGGATGCATGCAAAATGGTCACCACCTGTATCTCTCTATTGTCCATTGTTCCGCAGAAATTCTTCCCTGTCCCCCCGTTCACAATACTCAAGGCACAAAAGTGTAAGGACCCATGTTTGCCAGGAAATGTGTACTTCCTGACTCATGCAATGTGTCCAAGAACAGTGCATGATGGACCACTATTCCCATACTGCAGATGAGAAGGCTGCAATAATAGTGAACCACATAAGGTTACACACTGAATTTATGGCTGCTACAATTTGAACTGGTAAATTCCTGGATTAGTACTCATTCTCTTAGCCACTATATTACACTTGCAGTTAAAATAAACTGCATCAGGTTGTTGTTAAGATTGCTTTCAAAGTGAGCTTCACTCGCTCCGGAATAAAGACATAACAAAATACCACAACTCTACACTCAGAAGTCCTTTTTTGATGCCATCCCTCCTTTTCTTCATCATATCTCTGTTCCTTTTCATATATATTGTGATGCTGCCTGACCCGAGGACACAAAAGCACAAAATCCTTGCAGCTTCCCTTTGGGTTTGTTTGATTTTAGCCTGTTTGGCGACACAGTCAGTATCGCAGCTTCAGACTCGCCCTTCATTGCAATCCTAATGGGCAATTTCAGATTCATGATGAAGAGTAAGACAAACAGGCAAATGGCCGTAAGCACGCAAGCTTGAAGGGGCTTCGTTGCCAGCTCATTATAGCTCCACTAATGAGATTTCCATCCAATTTGTGGGATAGCAGAACTCTACTCAAAAAGGGGGATAGAGCCACTGATACAGTGGGATTACTATGCCCTATTTTTAAAAAAAGAGAAAGGAAAGAAATAACCTTTGTAAAATTCTAAATTCACTGAGTTAGTGCAGTGTTCATATAACACTAACACAATGCATAAACAGTTGTTGGATTATTTACATTGCTTTCATCAGCTTAGCATAATTGCTAAAGTAATGGAAACCTCATATACCCTACTTAAGCTGCAATAAAAACACAATTTATGCACAATCTTCAAATAAAATAAAGAGCATAAGTTTTTTCTTCTGCCATCTTGAGCGTAAACAGATGCTGTTTATCAGAATCAGTTTTGAGATTGGTAAAACGGATTGAAGAAGAAATGGAGAGTGTATGATTCCAGCCTGTCTCAGCTCATGAAGAGGTAGTCCCCATATGGCACAGTATCCATAAACATTTAAAGCTATTTCCCGATGCTCCACGATTTTTTAAAGTGAGCCTGAAATATATGCTGCTTCAAACTCATAGCTCGTAGAGAAGGAATCCAGAACTGTTCCCTCCAGATACTATTATTTCCATCACCCCTGGCCACTGGCCATTTTGGGTAGGGCTGATGGGAGCTAGCATCCAACCACATGACAAGGACACAGGTTTGCCATCCATATTATAAAAGCTGTGTGGTATTCTTAGATATCATATATAGCCAAGAATCAACAGAACTTGGAACTCTGCTTGCTGGGAGATGTGGCCAGAGGTCACATCCACACCATACATTTAAAGTACTCTTATACCACTTCAACTGTCATGGATTATAGTGGGAACTGTAGTTTGTTAAGGATGCTTAGAATTGTGGGTCTGTGAGGTCAGCACCCTTTAACAAACTATAGTTCTCAGGATTCTTTGTAGGAACCCATGATTGTTAAAGTGGTATAAGAGTGTTTTAAATTGAAGATGTGGTAAGCAGGCAGAAAAGAGAACTTCCTGGATCTAAAAAGAAACCCAGCTTTCACAGAAGTTGTGCCTGGGTTCTACCACTGTAGGCTGAAGAGCATGGGGCCTCACATGGCGAATGCTTCCACCATAGAAGAAAAATATCCCAAAGAAAACTAGATATCAGAGACAAGGGTCCTAGCCTTCTTTCCGACACTTACTTGTCTACATGCATGGCAATATTTTTATGCATCGATATCATTCAGTCTTGGGGTGTACTAGTTAGGAATGTGTGAGAAATTTGATTCAGTTCACATCTGAAGTTGAACCTACCTAATTTGCACTTTGCAAAACAATATGAGCCATGCTTTAAAATTGACAACTGCTCCTAATTTTTCAACACAGTTCTCCACTCTGGTAATGTGAGCAAAAATGCATATACTGAGGTAAAGTGTGGCATCCGTTAACCTAGAAGCTTCAATGCTCCTTTGAGTGGTTGTTTAGTTTACTTTGTGCCTCTTTCCGTTAATCCAACAAATGTGCTGCTGATATCTCTCTCTCTCTCTCTCTCTCTCTCTCTCTCTCTCTATATATATACATATATATAAAGCTATAGGAGGTATTTTAATGGTTTATTGAAAATCTTTTCACTATTCAGCTGGATCTGTCTTACCAGGCCCCTAACCTGAGTGATGTGAGTTATTAATTAATATAGATGCACAAAATACTTCAGCAGATTATAAGCAACAATTTTCAGAACACCTTAGTAACTTATCATTAATTTATAAAACCTGTAATTTTCAAAGTCACAACATGTTTGAAATATTCTTTCAGTCACAGATTTGTTCAGTCAGTGATGACCTTGGGAAATGATTAGGGCTTTGTGTTTTTAATTGCCCAGGTTAACTGTTGTGTTTCTCCTCTACAATCTCTGATGTTACTTGTTTATTCAAAATCAGTTTTATTATACTGATACCTTTCAACAAAATGTTGTCTGGTTAGCACACACATCCAAGAAATCAACTGATGTAGGATATGTTCTAGCACATAGGGAGGAGAGAAAGCAAGTTTTTTCTATACCTGAAGATTTTGAATATTAAATTTAAGTGTCTCAAATATTTGCACATAATTGATTTTAAAGACCACTTCTCTGATTGTCTATGAAGAATAATGTAGGGTTGATGTTTTTTAATGCTGTCAAATAACAACCTATGTTTATTTTCAAAGAAGGACTGCCCTCATGAGGCATTTTTTAATATTTGGGTAATGTCCATCATATCAAGTTTAACATTATTTTCTTAATGTGTATAGCTCTGCATGAATCTGGACTTTTCAGTCTGTAAAAATGAATTTTACTAATTTACCTGTCTTTAATTCATCAGTGTTACTTCTGAAGTTTGGAAAGAAAGACAAATTTTATTGTGGAGTATCACTTTAAATTCCTACCCCCATTCAAAAACGCTTTCAGTGAAGTAAAGCAAGTAAATTTTAAAGTTGAAAATAAGACAATCCTGGGAGTAAAAATCAGTCACTTATCAGTGTACTTCCATGTGGCTCATTCCGAATTCAGAATTTGGAACACAAATTTAGAATATTGAACGTGGCATTATTCATTACCTGGCACTCAGTCACTCAAGGCAGTTAGCCAAACAAGCTATCTCTCTACATACAGGTGAACCAACATTTCTGAGAATCTTAAAAAATTGAAAACATTCATAAATCAAAATAGGAGGTTTTCTATGAGAGAAGCTAAGAACGAGCCAATTTTAAGTATACTGGATGTGAAAACAAGCCGGGTTTCCTGACAAGACGCCTCCATTTGTGCCGACAATATCAATTAGTGACTATAAAACAGACTTACCAAAGATGATATTTCAATCAGTAATAAGCTTTCTAGATGCAAAGACATACTTTCTTTTCTCTGCTTCTGTCTGAGAGTCTAGGAAGGACAATAATGATTACTGTAGCTGGCGGATGGAGGAGAAGCATATGGGATTAAAAAAAATAAGGTTGCTTATGAAGTGACATTTCGAAAACTTCCTCAGTTCTCCAAATTGAATCACAAACTTTTCTGCAATGATTTCTGCCAGGTTTTGCATTTGTTATCCAAATGAAAAGAAATTATTTCCCTCACTTTGTTCTCATAACTATTATTTCCTGGTTCTGCAAGGGCATGATTTGGGGGCAGAGGTCCAGGGACCCACTCAGCAGAATGAACATGAAGGACCCCAAACCCAGCAGGATCCTTCACCTCCAATATAAGGCCATTAAGTCCAGAATCTACAATTACCTAACTATACTCCTAAGTATCTTGATGATACACAATGTTTTCCTATGGAATATGTTTAATTCTAGACCACTATGCAAAAGTACTAATATTCTGGGCACTGAATAGTGAGGAAAATTTCAGGTGATTGCATCATAAATAACACAAATATTCTGTTAATATTTCCACCTGTCTTTATTTTTCTAATGTGTGTGTGTGTTTTCTGAAGTGCGAACTGGTGTTCCAGGTATATGTAGCTGGTGATTTTTGTCATTCACATTCTTTATCCATATAAGAAATGTTGGATTGCCTCTGAAACTTATCATACACAAATCTCAGTGCTGTAACCATATACAATATTATCCCAAGAGCCTTGCTAACAGGAACCTGAGAAGAAGAAGAGAAGTCAGCTTATTCCAAAAATCTGCTGACCCACAAACACAGTCAAGCTGAGGAACAGTTTGGATGTTGAGGGAAAAGGTCCTAAGATCCATCTTTATCCACCCCCATTTTCTCCCCAAGGGAACCCAGAAGAGAGGGATATTCTTTTATCTAAATTCAAAGTTTTCAGGATATCAGTCACGCTCCACACCAAAGGACTTTTATGGTGACAAACAGAATATTGTTGTCGTCTAGTGTTTGTAAATTATGTTATCTCAATCACATATATAAGTAGAAATATTACACAAATAATACAATTCATGTGTCACAAATAAACAAGAACACCAGCCTCCCTAAGTTCTGTTGTTCCTTTTCAGGTTGTTACCATAGAATCTGTCCTTGAAGCCTGATATTTCTGCTGGTCAGTGAGGAAAAACGGAATCTTCTTATTTCACCTCAGCATCACAGCAGTCTTCTAAAAATGGCGGATGGTGCCAGTAGCTCAGGAACAAACTTATAGCCCTTTATAATCTAAAAGAACTTAGACAAGAAACTCGTACTGTTGGGGAAATGCATAACTCTTAAACAATTTAAAGGAAACCTCACAACTAACCTATTCTTAAGGATTCAAGGCCTTACAGAGAGGAGAGAGCAGGCATGATCCGAACGGCACTGAGGTCATGCACAGAATGGTGGCTGCTCTCTGCTTCAGGGGTCTTGCAAAACATGTGCAGAATCATTAAAGTGATATACACAAGTGGGTTACTCATGCATGATCAGGTCAAAAAGACTACTGTTGCAGTAAGTGCAGATTGATAAAGAGGCAGGAGTGATGCAGTCAATTTCTGTGAGAACCCAAAAACTGACTGCACCATCTTGCCTGGAGTGCTTTGGGAGCAGAACTTTGCTGCAGAGGGATATGCTGATTTGAGCTGAGAGCTAATGTGTGGAGAGAAAATGAGAGACACAGCTGAGGTTCCAAGTGGAGATGCTGAGGTCTAAAAAGTGAACCTCTAGTTCTTCTAACACGCTTTTTAAGACCATTGGGATCTCTTAATTTATTATAGGGATACCTTGGGACCTTAAAAACATTATTTTCATTCCTTTCACCTCGAAAAAGCGTCTTTTCTTTCATCCTTCCCCTGCCCATGTGTCCCTTTAAACCTTTATTCCTATTTGCATCAATAATTATTTCTGGATCTAATAGATATGGAACTGTAAATAGTGAAAGCAGAAAAAAGGGGATGAAGAAGAGGGAAATAATGTTGACCAGGATGTGTATAATGATTAATACTCAGCATACAACTTTTCTCAAGGATGGTATATATAAATACCTAATTTTGTGCCATTATCATAGAAATGTTGCCTAACCTTAGCTACCCCTTACTTACTTATGGTCTAATTATCGTGATTTTAACCAATGCTTTTCCATTCCAATAATGGCCATATCTGGATTTATCTTTACTTTCAGCGTCGTTCATATCACTCATGCAGTGAAAATGGTAGCAGGAATTTAAAGTTATTTTAAAAACCATAATGGTTTTTAAAACAAAAAACACACAACAGCATTCAAAACAAAAATAATTTTCTTTTCCTGAAAAATTGTGATTTAATTCCATTTAAATTAATTTCACTCTGTAACATATTTCACTTCAAGGATCTCTCAAAGGCTCCTTCCCCACCCCCCTTTTTTTTACACCCAGCCTGGTGATAAAAATTAGAAAGCAAATAAATGAGATGAGCAGCAGCAAGGAAACTGGATGCCTAAAAGTGCATCAAATATAATTGGAAGAGCAGAAGAGAATGTTTAAAGTAAGTTCAAGAACAGCGATAAGGCTGGAGGTGATGTTATCTATTGGACAGAAGAAACCATTAACATACACCAGAGTGTTTTCAATCACTTAATCAGAAAACCCTTTTCCTGAGCACTGTTTCTTGTCCATGTGCCACAGACAAACATAAATATTTTGGATTTCCTGCATCCTTCAGTCTGATAATAGCCTCTTAACTATAAGCCCTTCCCACCTCAAAGACAAAGCTAAAACAAATGATAAAGCAAGAAAGATAGAGATGATTTTTATGCCAGATGAGTTTGTGAATACTCCACAAAGGATCTACTGTGACTTTTTTGCAACTTCCCTTTAACTTCAACTCAGTAGACAAAAAAATGGGGCAAGAAAATGACTTAGGGTTCACTAATGAAGCTGCTGGGCTATATTACAGTAACACTGCAGTGGTGTCAAGTTCATCTGAAGCAGAGTTTCCTTGCCCATCACATACGAGATTCTAAAATGTCAGCATTTCATTTTAACACGTATTTTTATTCTCTTTATTCTGTCTGACTGTCTGCCTCCTGACTTACACCCCATTATTCACCTGAAGCTCAAAGCAGCTTTCATAGGCTTCCTTGGAGGTATTTCATCCAGCTAACTTACCTGCCCAAATTCTAAGATGTGATAAACTTACTCCAGTGACGGCAATGGTTGCGGTGAGGGTGCCTAGTGTCAAGTGCGTAGTATGAGATACTGCCACTCAAGTGTGCACTAGAGTACATAGGCAGCTACCAATGCCGTGCGAGGATTGCATAATATTGCAGGATGAGCACTTCTAGCAAAAAATAATAATGTTTTATTCTTTTGGAGGTTTCTTGTGAATGTATATATAAATATGCATTTTTTTAACACTATGTCACTGTGAGATTGTTTATGTAGTAAGAGACAAATAAATGTAATTATTATCAGTGATAGAAAATGGGCGGGATTCAAATAATGAACCTGCCAGTGGAAGTCTGCATAAGGAATGCTGCTAGTACAATGACGCTATCCACCCTCGCCTCCTCCTCTTGTGGTTGGGAGAATCTCCCAGTACAGTATGGGGGGAAGGAGAGGGCAGATTGTTCCATTAGGCAAGCAGAAATCTGCTTAGCGCTACTTCGAATTCCTGCCAATATTTTTACTGCTAGTCTACTAAGCTGGGGAGAAGAGGCAGAACGGAATGTGTAGGTCTTACATTGTGCAATAGCCAGTCCCATAGGCTGCCCACATTTACCACCTATGCCACGGGCTTAAACACTTCGCTAATTAATGAATTTGATTTCTAGTCCGCAGGGCCTATAGTGGGTAGCAGCAGTTTAAAAACATCCCAAAGGCCAGTCACACTTGGCCAAATCCATTTTGGAGATAGTAGCATACTGGATCAGGGAGAAGTGGAAATTGGCTCAAGAATGCTTCCTTGCATTCCTATGCAACTCCACGCTAAGGAGCTTTATATTAAGTTACAATACAAACTTCTGAGGTTCTGGGATCCAGTTCAGGCTACCAAGCTAGTAACTAAATCAAATATAGATAAGAGCCCACTATACTTTACAGCCAGCTGGGATGAATGCCACCAGATATCTTTAAGATATAGCTGTGAAAGCAAGATCATCGATAGCTAATGAATATGAGCACCTCTTGCATATGGGGAATATATGTTTTCAGTCTGCAAGTTGTTGGCAACGTAACCTTCTCAGTAACCCCAAACAGTGAGGAAAATGGTTTTGAATAGGGCATGAACTTCGAGGAATGGAATGATAAAAAGACATCAGTCCCAGTACTTTCGTCATCAGTTTACACATTTGGCAGAATCCAATGCTCAAACATTTCCTAATTCCAGTTTGAATGCTCCCTAATGATGGGTCCAGGAGTTGTTCTGCAAAGTTTAAGACTTCTCCCTGGCATGCTGGTATACAACAAGTTTTATCCATGTTAGGATGTTTCAATATGCACCTAAAAGATGGTTGTTGTTGTTGGCGTCCACCTGTCTCAAGAAACAATAGAGTGCACTTCCACCAAAGTCAAACCACTGCAAGCCAGAGCAATATGTCTGGCACTTATCCAACCGTCTTAGGAACTCCACTCTGGATTTGTGCTTACTCCTTAGCCTTTTCTTCTCCCGAAGTAGACCCACTGAAATTAATTGACAAAATGATCATGAATGACTTAAGTCCCTTTGTTTGATTGGGCCTGCTCTGAGAATGATTTAATCTGACACTGTCTATAGACTTTGGGGAAACTGTGGGATAAATCCGCCTCGTATCCAACATGTTTAAGTCTAATAAATGCATGGAGAGGTTAAGACCATAGGCAGGCATGGCCAAACTTGGCCCTCTAGCTGTTTTTGGGACTACAATTCCCATCATCCCTGACCACTGGTACTGTTAGCTAGGGATGATGGGAGTTGTAGTCCCAAAACAGCTGGAGGGCCAAGTTTGGCCATGCCTGCCATAGAGTAAGCTGTTCTGCCAAGTTTAGCTAGGTCAATTCCCCTAACCTAGGGAGGAAGGGTTATCAAACTCTTATTCTCTCACATCAACCATGTGAACCCTACAATAAGGAGGTCTAAGCTGGATGCTCCAAGCTTAGACCGTGTGGCTTATGCAAGCCATCTTTTTATTTCTTTACAAATAATTTAGAAACATTTACCATTTTGGAACCTAAGTTACACTGACCCTTTATTTATTTATTTATTTATTTATTTATTTATTTTTGCTGCTGTATAGATAAGCACATGAATCTGAACTTTGAAGAGTTTGTAAGTAAACCATTTTAGCAAATGTGTGGTTTCTCTGTATGTCAAGGTTAGCTGGGAACTTGGAAGCGACTTACAGTAGAAGGGGTGTTTTAAAGTCTATATTTCCACACTTTATTTTGCTGTATGCTTTTAAATCTCTGCCAGGGCTCTCTCACTATAGAGCATTTGCCTCAAACCTGAATTTAGGCATCCAGTGAATTCTCCTTTTTATATTATGCCATAGCTATTATTTCCTTTCACTGAATTAAACCAAGAAAAACCTGAAAAGTAAACCCTTATAATATTGTGCTAAAGTATTCCTAGAAGACCCTGGACTCTGGACCAATCATCACTACTTGCTTGTATCTGTTTTATATTTCCGCAGATTGTTGGATCTTTGATCTAGTTTAATATTTGTCATGGTTCCCCCCCCCTTGGGTTTGCTAATGGGTTTTGTAGATGAAAGACAAAGATCTATAACTCTATTAAAGAAAAATGAGAGGGGGGGGAGAACAACTAACTTCCTCTGCTCCTCTTACTTTTCCTCCTCCCATTCAGTTATTCCAACCACAGCTTACCTGCAGCATAATCACTTCAATCTGTGTCATACAGAAATACTAGATACCGTATTTTTCCGTGTATAAGACACACCTGTGTATAAGCCGCCCCCTATTTTGGGGGACTCAAAATTAGGAAAACGCACTATGCACTATCCATGTACAGTGGTACCTCAGGTTACATACGCTTCAGGTTACAGACTTCACTAACCCAGAAATAGTACCTCGGGTTAAGAACTTTGCTTCAGGATGAGAACAGAAATCGTGCTCCAGCGGCGCGGCGGCAGCAGGAGGCCCCATTAGCTAAAGTGGTGCTTCAGGTTAAGAACAGTTTCAGGTTAAGAACGGACCTCCGGAACGAATTAAGTACTTAACCCAAGGTACCACTGTATAAGATGACCCCTTATTTTAAAAATTTAGGAAAAAATAAAAGTCTTATACATGGAAAAATATGGTATCTACAGGCACAAAGCATACTTACCTGCAGATACATGAACTGTCGCCTAAAGGCCCCCTTAAATGAGGGGGACTATTCCTGAAAGGACAGAAAGCAAGGGGAGAACTGCTTAACCTTTCTACATCCCTTTGGTGAACCATAAATTTAAATATTCACATAAGGGGGAGTATTTGGGGAAGAGGCATAGCAGGCAGAGAAGGGGTTAAATGCCCGCTCCATCCACCCCCACTGGAAGTGGCTTTTCTTCATTTAAAGGAGTCACAGGGCTACTACTCACACATGGGTGTATGTGTAATGTGTAGTTTGGGCTTTAGACAAAAGTAGTTATTGCTGTCTATACCTAGATTGTTGTGCGTGGTTTTTATAATGATTTTTTGTTGTTTGCTTGTTTATTTGATAGTTTAAGTAGCTAAAATAGCCTAATGAAATAAAATATCCTGTTAGATATACCACTGTCGGTGTCAAAGGCTACTCAAAATATTGTGTGAGAACACAGGTCAGAGACAGAGTGAATGCTTTGCATGTTCTAGGTTCAGCCCTTGGTCAGATGATATCAAGCCTGTGATGATACAAAAGACCCTGCAAAATGCACTGAGGAGTCACTGACAAGCAAGCAGACAATACTGGGATAGGTAGATTAAGTTATCTTAATCCATGTGCCAAGAAAACCGTAGTGGGCTTGCAGAGGAAACTTAGTCTTGAATATTTATGGCAGAACTGGGAAACCTGTGCCTTGCCCGATATTATTGTACAACTCCCCCCACAAACCCTGACCACTGGCCTTGCTGGCTGGGACTCATATGAGTTCAGAGTCGAAAGATATACATTCCTCATCACTCCTCTGGGGAAAGGGAGAAGCATGGTTGCAGGATGGACCCCAGGGACACTTCTTTCATGTGCCCTTGCTGTTTGAAATTATTGGGTGTACAATCATGACAAGGCCAGATTATTTGACCAGTTTGCAAGATTGCATTACATACAGCAGAAGTGGCTGGAAGGTTCTTCTTCCTGCCTGCTCTTACAGGCTTTATTTTTTGCTGGCACAGGAATAGGGCGACCAGATGCAACGGAGAACAGAGCTCTTGTACCTGTGCAAAAGGGAATTTCAGCAGGTGCGGATTGCCTCAACCCTTCATGACAAGCTGCACCTGCCAACTTTCCCTCTTCTCTACAAGCATTCAATCCAGGATCCCTGTCTCCCTTTCATCTGGGCACCCTACAGACAAAAGCACTGTATCTTCCCCCATCCAAGCTCTTGGTACTTTCTTTTCCCTTATCCCTATGCTAGCGAATGTCTATTATCAGAAACAACAGAAGTTGTGACAATGGGAGTAGTCCATATGTACACAGTTGATACAGTGTTTCCCTGGGTACAAATGGGCTTTGTCAGTCATTTGAATAATGATGGACCAGAAACTGCAATTTGTGCTCAAATAAATAAACGAAAGCAGGATATGGAAAATAAAGTGAATCTAACTTCAAGCCATCTTCATAAAGAACAAACACAACCTACACCTTTTCTCAAGTTTAATATCTGCCATTTCTGTTTGTGTTGTTCTGTTGTTAATTTACTTGCTGAAATTATTTGATATGTAAAAAATAAGAAGATAAATATTAGCACCCTTGTAATAAGCAAGCCTATTTAGATTACATTTTCTCCAGTTCTGATTTTGTAGCACATTTTACACAGGATCTAATGTGAAATAAATCATAGCACCACTGTTAATCGTGAGCGATTCTACAACTAGGGGTGCTCAGGTTTCCTTCCTTCCTGAGAAGTAGGCATCATCACTTTCAATGCCTTGTACCGACCCAGCCAATAATTACTTAAGTCCCCCGGCTCACGTCTCTTTGTCTAACATCTATTTCTTCTAAGAACAAAAACTGCTAGCTGATTTTATACCTAACTAGGGAAAGCACAGGGTCTTCAAGGGTGGATCTTAATGGACTGGGGGCAAAAGTCTTCAGTACTGATTTCTGAATACCCTACTAAGAAAAATGGCACTAACAGGTATGCAAAAATATCACATATTCCTGATGCATCGTGACTTAAAGTTCTTTTTCTTGAACCAAGTAGAAAAAGTTCGTCTATCACCAAAAAAAGAAAAAGAAAAGATTTGCTGCCAAATTTCACAGTAAGGATTCTTGAACAAGCCTCAGCCGAGATCTCATCTTTAATTCAAAACTCACTGATATTTATGTCTGGCAAGACACTATGATATATCAATGTTTGTAGGGTACAATATCTGGACTATAAAACCTCAGCAGAAACATTTACATTTTTAGGAAGGAATAAGCAGATGTATGCTAAGGCTGTTTGAATGTGGCAACATTACTAACATTAAGAAAATTCAGGTTTGGGGTTATTTGGGTTTTCTGAAAAGGAAAGGGGAAAAGGCAGTTGAATCACATTGGAATCTCAAGACAATTCCAAGATGAACTGACTTGGAGAGTAAATGACCTCTTCATCTCAGTGATAAAGTTCCAGCCAAAATATTCTCTCAGCCTGAGACGTGATTCATTAGAAATATGTACATGGTGTGGAGCTCGACTCTCTATCTGGCAGAGTCCGGCCTGCAGACTGATAAGGAAGCAAATGCAAATGTCCTGATAAGAACTGAATGCAAATATTTATGATATGATATTCCCTGGGAATTATGTGGAGATAAAACAAAGTGTATTATTTTCCCGCTTCTCTTTCAGGTTTGCCAAAATGCCCTTTTTTGCTTTCGGAATTTGCATTTCTTCAAAATTGATTCGGCTTGCGTATTATGTTAAGCTATTTGTTTGCTAAGGATGGTAATTAGTTACTGTAATTACAGCAATGACAGTTGCTAAATTGTTTTTAAAGCATTACAGTGAGCCTGTGCCAGAAGATTGCAGTATTTTTTTGGATTTAAGCAGAGGCTGGAAAAACTCCCACTCTAAGGCCAGCGTGGGATTTTCGACTACAAAGCTGCTTTTCCTGATTGAAATATTTTTTTTAAAAAAAGAAATCATTAATTTGCATTGATTGTAAGTAACTAACTTTAAATTTTGGTTTATTCACAGATCACAGAAATATTAGTGATAGTGGGTCCTGTGGGAAAGGAGATACAAGGGGGACTCCCATCGTAAATAAAAGTGAAAGCTGATAGCAGAGGGGGAAAGGGTCTAACTATTACTTGGAGCTTGTTAATTAAACCCTTCAGTCTGGTTTTTTTAGATAATTTCTTTTTTTAAAAAAAAACCACACAATTGTAAAATGTCTGATTCAAAGTCATTCCTGAACTTTTTTTGGAGGGTCTATGGCTAATATGAGATAACAGAAGGGACAGAGTGGGTAGAGGAAGGAGAATCTCTTCTAAAGAATGCATTAAAGTTTCACACAAGGAAACATTACTAGCAGCCCTTTGCGGTGTGACATCATGCATACAACCAATCTTTTGCAAATCATACCTAACGAATGAACATGGAATGTGTCATGGGATAAACATCTACCATTGCCCCCCAGAAACCTTCTCCAAGGACCACTGTTTATTCCTCTTCTTCGCCGTGCTTCCTCTAACTCTGGTGATTTTTTGACAGCAGGGAGAGCAGGTGGCTTAGCAGTGGAAGCACCCCAGGCAGGAGGCCTTCCTGTTCCAAGACATGTGGTCCCAGGAGATTAGTTTGCGTAAGAGTGTGGATGTGATTAGGGATGTGCGCGTGCATTTGTGTGTGTGTACATGCATGTTAACCCTAAGGCTTTCATCCATCTCTTCCTGTTTCTCTTCTCCGCCGCTCCCCTATAATCTCATTCCTCACAGTATCTAGGAAAAGACATAATAAACACGGCCAAAACAAAACAAGCAGCCTGCTTTGCCCCATCGCACTCTCTAACAAAGACTGCCTACCTGAGCAGATACACATATATCCATCTCCCACTCTGCCTATATGTCTCACCACTTCTTTGCATCCTGTAATTCTTCACAATCCCTTTCCCCACACCCTTCCTCTACCACCCACATCTATTTGCATTTGCATTCCTTTTGCAACACCTTTGCAACCTGTACATTTTGCTGTGCCTGCAAGCAGCCTGCTCGCCTCCATGTGAGCAATCTGAAAAGTGTTTCTTTAAAGGGACCTTTGCTTTTCCCCACTTGCCAGCTGAAAAGGTTCCCAGAGCAGCTTACATCAGATCGATAAAAACAATAATAAAAAAGACAGCCCATGCCTTCAGGTCTTACAGTCTAAAATACACATGGCACAAATGAAATACAGGGCATGCAGGCAAACTCAGGCAACAGGTCCCAAAGCTGCTAAGTTTTTCTAATGACCAGCTTGCATAGAAACAGTCCGGGGAAGAGGCGAAACCCAGTGGGGGTGGTCTTTCAGTTGGGTTGAGGGAGTGGGCCCTACTGCCACTCCTCTCCCTTTGTTGCAAGTCAAATGGAATGGGAGTTGGTTTGAAACTTTCAGTAAAATCTGTAATAAATTACAGATTGTGGTGTTGTTGTTTCTGTTTCATTTTTAAAAGTGGGCAAATATTCATTGCGAACTTCTTGGTAGTGGCGCCCACCCTGTGGAACGCCCTCCCATCAGATGTCAAGGAAATAAGCAACTATCTGACTTTTAGAAGACATCTGAAGGCAGCCCTGTTTAGGGAAGTTTTTAATGTTTGATGTTTTATCGTGTTTTTCATATTCTGTTGGGAGCCACCCTGAGTGGCTGGGGAAACCCAGGCAGATGGGCGGATTTAAATAATAGTATAGTATAGTATAGTATAGTATAGTATAGTATAGTATAGTATAATTATTGCATAGTGGGTAAGAGTGTGAGCCATTGTGCAGATTTCAACCCATTCTTTAACTCACCCAGTGGTATTATGCTAGTGACTATTCTTTTTAGCCTCAGCCCCCTTTCTGAAAAATGGGGAGAATAATCCTAGCCAAAGTTATATGGCTGCTGTGATCCTTTTGTTCTAAGGATTACTGAGATGATGTACTTGAAATCCTTTGTGAGCATTTCCAACATGTGTTTTATAAATCATCAGGCTGCAATCTTAGGAATACTTACCAGAGAGTAAGTCCCACTGAATACAATGGGATGTACTTCTGCGTAAACACACCTAAATTCACACTGTGGGATGTGCAAAGATAGCACAATCACAGTCATATTCCATGGCTTTGGAAGCTTTTGCATAAGACCTGATGAAAACTGGCAGAAACTTACCCAATAAACCTTTCTTTTTATATTGCAGAACAAACAGACTGACCCTATGCTGGACTAACAGTAAAGCTGTGTCCATAGGAATTGACAGGGTCATTCATTCAGTGCCACCACCCTGACTTATGCATTCATTCCAGAGCAGTGCTACAACAGTGTGATGGAGAAACATCCTGAGCCACCATGCAAATATCAGTAGGAATGAAACTGGTCCTTTGAGTAGACAATGCTGAGATGCTAAACCAAATAAGCACCAGCCCCCCACATATCACACTTGTGGCCTCTTACACTTTGCACAAAAGGAGGTCAAAACAGAGCACAGATTAATATAAAATTATATAATATTAAATTAGGGGAGAGGCCATAGCTAAGTTGTAGAGCAGATGATTCACCTGTAGAAGGTTCCCTTTTTCTTTTCTTTTTTACTGTGTTTATTTATAAAATTATTTCTGACTCAATTTTTGGCCCCCAAAGGAACTTAAAACTAGCTAACTTTAAAAACTCATTGTAAAGCTTTAAAGCAGGTGCAGGGAACCTGTGGGTCTCCAGATGATGCTGAAATACAACTCCACCTCCCTTGCCATTGGCCATGATTGCAGGGGCTGGTGGGAGTCATATTTCAGTTAACATCTGGAAGGCCAAAAGTTTCCCCCACCTGCTTTAAGGGCTTAATCTTCGACATTTCCAGTTAAAAATATCAGGTGGCAGGTATTCGGAAAGCTCTCTGCCTGAGATCCTGGAGAGCTGCTGCTATCCAAAGCTGACAGTACTATACTAGATGGACAAATAAGTGTGCCTTGGTAGAAGGCAGCTTTCTATACTTCATAAATCTTACCCTATTATGAAGAGGATGCATACCCTCCAATATGTTGAGTCGCAAAACCGGGACATGTGTCTTCCCATCCGTGGTCCCTCATGAGTCACATGACCTGTGCAAAATCACAGATCCTAAAAGGGGAGGAGGGCAAGACTGCAGCCCTGAAAAAGTGGTTGGGGGGTGAGATCTCGGCACAATATCATGGTGCCCCCAATGGCCAGCATGCTCTCATGGGGAAAAACAGGATGGCCTGGTTTTTCTGGGAACACTTGCGGGGTATGGAGGATGGACCAGTTTGCATTTTTTTATATATACAAAGATGAAACAAAGTGCAGTTTGCACCATTTTATGGTTGTGCTGTTCAAACCACAGGTACAGATTACTTTCCTTAATGCTGATACTACCTTCAGTTTATATACTAATTTCCTGCCCTGTGACAGCATCTCTCTCTATCCAACCTGATAGGTTCAGTTCTTATTAGTGTTTAATAGATTTACAGTAATATCCCCAGCTAAATAAGGAATTGCGTGCAAATAGCTGCTCTGAGCACAATTCCACAATACAATCCACCAGCCAGGGCCTCACATATCTATAGACTCAACTGGATATACTGAACATCACCTTCCTTGTTGTATGCAATCCCTGCTAAAGTGTTAACTGGCACTGCTGAGAGTAGTTAACTATGGCTACATGCAAACAGGTTTGGACTGTGACTATGCTGTGTAAAATTACCCAATTCTGAAATTAGGAGTGTTTTATGTTGTGACTGTCAGGGATTTCCTTAAATATATTAACATGTCAACAAGTTTTTGCAGAAGACGTAATCCTGTAACCATACATCTACAGCTGTTAAATACAAGTAAACCTTTAACTTCAGTCTAAGTTTATATTAATTTCCATGTTGGGTTGGGAAGAGATGCTGGCCTAGGAAGCTATATGCAACTTGATCTCAACATATAAGGGAAAACAGGTACCCTTAGATGACTGTGATGTAATGATGGCAGCAGATTATAACATCAAATGAATTTGGAAGTATTTATGGTGATTTAAGCAAACAAATGCTCTCCGCTATGAAAGTTAAAGATGATTCCCATGTGGCCCATCAAGAGTAGGATGAATGACTCTTAATCACATTTTGAGATATTCTCCAACTGCATCAAAGAAAATTCATTCTGCCCAGGTGTGCCTGAGCCTCTTTCCCTAAAACTTATGATGGTAGCTGTTAGATGGTAAATATAAATTAGCTGCTTTGGATCAAAGACCAGCTGTAATGATGGGGAAAGAAGAATGGCTACATTCATCATATCATATATAGCAGATGGAGTCAGAAAATGACAGTATTTTGCTAAGCCAATGTAGGCATGGGAAGAAACAAGCAAACAGATATTATGTAGTTCAGCCCAGACTACTACACAAGCCTAACAGACAATTTGCTGACTCTTAAAAGCTAGTTATTTTGTTGTTGTAAAAGGGCTTTGTAAAATGTATTTTCAAAATCTAAAATGTTTAAGCAACGATAATTTTATTTATTATATGATTATATATAGTCAAATATTTTTAAGCCACCTTTCATGAATACAGCCTTCTCAAGGTGGCTTAAATGCATAATGAATATACAGTTTTATCAGTAACAGTGCTTGGAAAGTTCATTTTTAAAAGGAATTAGTTCCAGTTCCAGGTCTCCACTTCCAAAAAATAATTTGTTCCAACCCTAGTTCACCCCTTCCAAATGAGTCCTGCATTGGAGAGGGTTGGACTAGATGCCTCTTTGGGTCCCTTCCAACTCTACAATTCTATGACTGTATGAGAAAGTAACCAAATCTGTTTCAGTTTAATTCACAGTTCGTTCAAGTGGTCCTCAGTGTTGTTTTTCAGCCTTCAGAATTTTACAAGCTGCTCTGCTTAAAGTATAAAATAGACTAAGAAAGCACCGAAACCTATACACAGTGTAAATGTGAACAATTGTTTGTTTATTCCCCCCCCCCAACAATTGTGATCTTTAAAACGTAAACAGCTACATCACTTTTCAGATAGGTTAAAAATGGTAACTGCAATGGCAACAATTAAACAGAGAGTAAGTGTGAAGAAACCCAGAGAGAGAAAGAGAATTGAATTTAACATCTCCCAAAGTTCTACACAAAAGACACTTAATTCGCCTTCAGTTCACCTAGAAATAATAGGATCTACTTTCAGGTATAATTCAATATTTTTGAATTATTTTGATGAATTTGTTTATTTGCAGCATTATTATTATTATTATTATTTCCATACTGACCTTCATCTGAAGAAATAGTTAAAATAATTGTAGCAGCGGCTCTGTCTATGCTTTGTAGTTGGTGCTGCAGCCAGATGCAGATTGGCTGCAGGTGCCGAGATAACACAACTGCTGCTGCTCTCAGCTGCTGGGGCTGACTTGCCAAATGGTAAGAGGCTCAGCAGGTGCAAGTTAGCAGGACAAAGGGGGTAGCTGTAGATGGTGGTGAGAGGATTACCTCCTCTTACCTCTTACCTCCTCTCTCCTGTTTGCCTCCTTGCCACAAGCAGCAGTCCTTTGGTTCCTGATCACATGCTACATTGGCCCCGTGTTGTTTACTCCGAGCAGTGATCAGTAATAAATGCTGAAAAATAAAACATAAAATTGTAAAACAATCAGTGTAAATAAACCAAATACAACGCAATGCAACAAAAAAAGCAGCAGCATACACAAGATAACCTTTGGTTTAAAGACAGTGACATTATTACATTACTGCTATGTTGGTCTGGGGCAGAACCAGGATGATGGGAGCTGAAGGTTCCCCATCCCTGACTTACAGTGTCCCACACCCACAATGTGTGATGGAATGTCATTGCACTGTGCATCTCCCATAAGAACACAAGAGCCTGCTGGATCAGGACAAGGGCCCACCCAACCCAACAAGGGCCCCTCCCACATTTGTCTCCATTCCCATCCCACGCAAACCATCGCTGGTCATGAAATAAAAGTTGCTATTTTAATCCTGACATGATATTTTCTACATTTTGTCCACAATGGAGCTTTTCACATGATTTTTAAATACAGCATCCAGCTTGAAGAGGAGCCTTACACAGCTTGCAGAGAATTGAATTTCTATTGGAGGTTCACGCTTGATAAGGATATAGCTAAAGCTCTAAAACTATTCTTGCCTCTTGGTGGAAGTCTTACGTTTCCTAGCTGAATGAACAGGTCTACACAACAGTTACCTATGTCACATTGTTTTTAAAATTTGCCTGGCCTTATTTCATCAGTGTTGTTTTTAACTGTTTTTATTTAATTTTATCCATCATCTTGAGGCATGTGTGTGGAAGCTGATTCACTAACAAATAAATAACATGAGGGGAAAATCAAGAAAATTATGCATGCCATAATTCAAAAGTCAAGGCATCACATAGAAGAACATTTGTATGGATAGACCTTTTTTTTTTTTAAGGTCACATGCTTGGAATTTTGAAAGCAAAAACAAAAACATGCACACGGCTCTCTCCTGCTTTTTGTAAACATCCTTCTGAATATGATGGTATTATCTGCCCATCTACTGAAAGCATTAGTCTGGAGTCGCGTGATGCATCTAGCAGCTTTTCCTCACCATCAGTTGCCAGTCATTTTCATCTTGTTTTTGCTCATCTACTTCCTTAGCATATTTCCTGAGACAGACTGCAGAAAGACCTTGTCTGTTTTGAAAAACTGGAAGACTGAGTGGGGTACTTTACCTTCTTTCAGTACCCTTTTCTCAGCCTCCTTACATTTCTGGCTGCCTGGTTTGTATTTATGGCTAAACATGGCAGTATGGTGTCTGCGTATGCGCATCACACCTGTGTATTTAACATTTACTTGCATGTATTTGGAGCCTGTAGGTCCTGCCAGCACCACTGACATCCGCTGTCCCTGGAATCAATATTCCTGATCATTATGATGTATTTTCCCTCCAACCAGCTGTCCCTCTGGGTATCGTATCTCTTGTGAAAGCAAGGCACAAATCATCTGCTTTGCTAGTTAAGTTAAGGTTACCAGACATCCCTGTTTTCCGGGGACAGTCCTCGGATTTACAAATCAGTCCCCTGACAAAATCCATCCATTCCGAATGAAGTTGAAAAGTGTCCCCGGATTCATTGAAAAAAATCTGGTAACCTTAAGTTATGTCCTACTTTAAGCAAACAAGCACAGACTCTCTATTCCAAAAAGGAACTCACTGTTCGCTTGCTCTGCTCTCAAACTGTTCTAATTGGCTCCAGGAAATCTCACATGACCAGGGCAACAGGTGCATTCAAAACGGGGAAATAAATTTTCATTAAAATCCTGAGGTATGATCTACAATTCAAGTCTCAACGCATCCCTGGCGTGCTCTGGTCCATGGGGTCACGAAGAGTCGGACGCGACTAAACAACTAAACAACAACAACAGGATGTTGCAAAGCAATCAGCAATTGCATGAAAGCAAAATGTCAACTGACAGCACTCTCCCTTGTTTGCCATATTTCTATCTTTGAAAACTCCACTAGTGTTTAGGTCTTTTGCTCCCTACGAGGACAGCGAATCTTAAGCCCACTCAATAAATGCTTTCTCACTCTTATGCAAAATAAATTAACCTCATCAGGCTGTAGAGTCATTCAAAGTTTTATTAGTGAATCACTCTGATGAGGACAGAATAGTATGAAAATGCTTTGGCAGACCTACAGTTATTAGCAGGGTTCTTTTGCACTGCTAAAAATCTCTCTCTCTCTCTCCCTCTCCCTCTCCCCACCTCTATCTCACACGCATATAAAGGATAATTTTTATACTTCTTATAAATGAGGTCTGCGTGGTATTTTATGTGAGCAGTTGCCTGCAACTGAAGCTGAATCTTTTTCTTGTAGTTCTTGGCATTCATCTTTCTGGAGAGACAATGGATTGCACCTGTGAGTGTTAAGTCAAACCGCTGGAGAATCACAGGGCACAAGCCTGAATCATGGTCAATTATAATACAGTAACTACTTCTCAGTGGTAGAGTACACGCTTTAGATGCAAAAGGTTCCAGGTTCAATCTCTGACATCTCCAATGGAAAGGATCAGTTGGCAGATGAGATTAAAGACCATGGAGTACTGTTGCCAGACAATACTGGCCTAAATAGATAAATAATCTATCCTCATTTAAGGCAAGTTTCTTTATTCATATTGGTTCCTGCCAACTTAGCTCTAGGGTCGTCATGTGTTGTTGTGTGGAACTGCAGGGGAATCATGGACATTTATTATTATTCTGGCCTAACATCTGCTTTTTACAGGTTAAGTTAGAAATGCATACTTTGCTAGACAATATGCAAACTGAACCACAGGTATCCTTTAAAATTCACAGTTCTCCAAACTTTGCAATGCAGTTCTGCAGTCAAGTAATGTTTACAAACATGCATATACAGTACAGTATTGTGGTAAAATGTGCATTAAAATGCATATATTAGTGAAAATAACATTTAAAAAGCAGTATATTAGGGGAAATTGCTTTGCAAAATAGTGTCAAAATGGTATGCATTTATTAAGGGAAATTCACACTAAATTTATGAGAAATGTTCATGAGAACTTTTTTCGCAAACTGCTGCAGGGGAAAACTTAATTTAAGATTGGAAAAATGAGAGACCAAAACTGACAAATTCATCGACCCCTAGACCCAGGTACTAAAAGCCAATACAAATAAGATACAGCATTCATACGCCCTAAAATATGACCAACTACTTTCTTGGTTAAGTTTGGTTATGGTAGTTTTTGGGGTATTATTTGTGCATTACAAACATTTGTATATTACATGGAGCTCCCTAGGATCAGTGGTTAAGGAAATAATGACCAGCGTAACATCAAGCATCTGTATCGTTCCAAAAATGATGCATTCAGTTAAACCTGTACTGCAACCATTGGTTAATGCCAGGTATCCTAGCATTGTTAAGGTGGTGTAATGGAAAATGACAGTTTCACATATTTTTTCCACTTTATATATTTGCAAAATTGAAATTAGTTGCTTAACTTACACATATGCATTGCCTCCACAGCTACTTTGTGTCTGATTAACAATGTCACTCCATAGGTTAACAGTAATCTAAAGTCATTCAAATGTTTACTGGGTGGTTTAGCAATGGTATTTACTAATAGCTCCTCTTTTAAATAGGGTTATCAGGTCTTACTTTGCTTTCATGCTTTGTGTCTTTTATCTAAGAAGTCCTTTTTAGGCCCACCACATATGGGGGACACACACATATTGAGAGGCCCCTTCCATGCCCATTTCTGATTACTAATCAACTCACATAATTTGTCATGAAACAACAACTTATCACACATACTCAACATATGACATGTTTAAAATAAGTGGCATTGCAGCGTAGGTTAGCACCAACTTCTCTACATCCATCTCGTGTTCAACGAGAGGCTGCAGCAAGCCATTTTTAACAACGTGTTACTGATTCCTGAGAGTACATTACTGATAGTAAGACCAGACTGTGCAACGATCGTTCCTTTGCAAAACTTAGATCGCTGCAGTCAGAAACTGGGCTCTGCTATCCTTATTTAGCACTTGGAATGCTGAAAGTTAAGAAACATCATACTGAGATTTAAGCAATGTTTAAAAGAACAAAAAAGGTCTGAGTCATGAAACACATTTATCCCCTCCTATTAAATAAGGCCTAGTTGCTGCTGCGGTAAGCCTGTGTTCACACCATATGTGTTAAGACACATTAGAAACGTGTTTCTCCACAGAATCCTGCGAACTGTAGTTTAACCCTCACGTAGCTACAATTCCCTACACCTTTAACAAACTACAGTTCCCAGATTTTGCAGGGGGAGGGGAGTCACATAAATATATGGTGTATACACAGCATCTGGGAGCTGTGGGTTCTCACAATACCCTTTTATAAAAAGAAGTTAGTTCAACATTTAAAAATAATAATAACCAGCATACCAGGGAGAAGGTGGGGCTAGACGCTTTCCGATCTCTTGTAACAACTGTTTTCTATATAAAACCTTATCATTAGACTAATAATATTTCTTAGACCCTCAATCCTTCAGCTCCGTCGGAGCCAATCACTCTTCCGCAGCCTTGTCTACCTTACAGGACTGATGTTGTGGGAACAGGACGGGGAATCCATGTCAGTAATGCTATCTTGAGTTGCTTGGAGGAATGAGTACATCTTTGTTAAGGGCCCTCTTCAGGTCTCTCTTAAAGGAGCCATGTGCCAGATACAGTGGTACCTCGGGTTGCATACGCTTCAGGTTACATACGCTTCAGGTTGCAGACTCCACTAACCCAGAAATATTACCTCGGGTTAAGAACTTTACTTCAGGATGAGAACAGAAATTGTGCTCCTGTGGCGCGGCAGCAGCGGGAGACCCCATTAGCTAAAGTGGTACCTCAGGTTAAGAACAGTTTCAGGTTAAGAATGGACCTCCAGAACAAATTAAGTTCTTAACCTGAGGTACCACTGTATATAGTTGGCAACATATACATTACACCTCAACAAGTGCTTTTTTTCTTTTAAAAAGAGGTGCCAGAATTCATAATGGCAATGGTGCCCACCTGAGAGGTGCTGGAACTGCACTTCATGCTATTAATTTTTGTACCTGTTTTGTACATCTGTTAAAACATAATGATTTAACAAAGCCTATATTGAAACTATGGATCTCCTCTCCTGGCTGCAGTAGGGGAGAAGAGATGAGGGCCAAAAGCCTGAGACTCCCAGTGGCTCCTTCACATAGTGAGAAAGGATGGTTTCCTGTTCCATTTGAACGAGGCCAGAGAGAGAAAAAGAGGCAGTGACAGAGAAAGGCCTGTAGGAAAGGCTTGTGGACTAGAAGATTTTAATATGAGGGCTCAGCCAGACTTGTGTTTTCCCCGCTGCTATTGCCCTTGGGAAAACTTTTTATTTACCACTGAATGAGAGCAAACATCACTTGAGTTTTCTCCAGATATACATTTGCTCTGATTTAGCACTTTAAAAAGCGGGTTTTCAAGGGGAAAGCGGTAGGCAAAATTGCTCTGACCCATGCGTAGAAAGCATGGGAGAAGCAGAAGTGTGGATGACGCACCAGAAAAGAAAAATAGAAAGAATCAGACTATGCCTAAACTACTTAAATGTATGTAAATAGACTGAAGATGGGTTTTTTTTATAAGAAATGGGGGAAAGATAAGATATAGATAAGGAAATAAGAGCATTCCATTGAAGGCAACACTTTCCCTCAAAATGCATTTTATGCACTCTGGAATAACTCTTGGGCAGTGCACTGGCACTAAAGAAATATATTGGTGTTTTAATTTCAGGACAGACATATTCAACAGTAGTGTAGTTTCAGCTGTAGCCCTCTGGCAATCACATTTGTGTTATGGTGCAACAGCAATGGGTTTTATAGGAAGCCATTTTGGTTGTGTTGGAAATCAATTTGCAAACCTGCTTAGTCTGGACCTGGGCAATGTGGGTTCCCTTTACAGCCGGTCAGATAAGGTCTCTTCCAGGATTGCTGTGATGTGGACAGAGAAGGTAAGAATAATAAATCACATTAATTATGATGAAATAAACACTCCTAGTCTTTCTTAGAATTTCAATACACTTTGGGTTTTAGGCCTGGCCTGAAAAGGAACACAGGATTGGTAAAGTGAGAAGTACAAATGGAAAAGAATATTAAGCAGATATTAGAATTATCTTCAAAGTTGCCTGAGCTTTTTATTGGCCTTGAGTATATATTTCAAGAATATTGAAGGGGGGAGCACATTAATACACCAAACTTTAATTGTTGTTAGTTTATCCATGCAGCCCAGCACTTTTTTTCCCCTTCAGCCTGCTCCAGAAACGTTTGTTCACTTGTTACAAACCATGTCACAAATCTTCAGTGCGGCAGCTAATATTTTACAATTGATCAAATAAACTGGGCTATGTATTCTAAATATGTGACTTAATGAAAACAACTGAAAGATTTATGCTCCATTTAATGTACTTAGCTGAAGACCCAGGGGGATTGCCAAAGGAGATAAAAACTGCAGTACGGGTTAATGCTTAGTTATCTTTTGGTTAACTCTTATAGCTTAGTAGTCAAAGGACATGAAAGGAAAACCTTTGATAAAAATTAGCCTATTTGTAAATTCCAAAACAGGCAGCTGCCTTTATGTGTAGCGCACTGTAGACTTTTATACTTCCAAACAAGGGGTTGTAGCAAAACTTCTTTTGCCATTTATGGACAAGGACAATATTTTTATTGGTTTGGCATCCTAGGAGACAGGGAAAACTTAAAATCAATTTTGTGAATAAAAAAAAGCAACTTATCTGAAACTATTAAGTAAAAAATGATTTTCTTAAAAAGTTTTTCCATTCTTTAAATTTATTTATTATCATCATTTTGAAAAAGAAACATAATCATTGGAAAATAATAATTGGAAAATAATTAACATACATCCTTCCATAATATGCTAATGTATCCATCACAGAGCAAAGTCAACATATTAATAGTTGCACACACACTAAAATCAAGGTCACAAAGCAAAGGAAACATATTAAGGTTAGGTTACAAATCCCTTAACTAGTCAAACACCCTATTATTATTTGACTGAGGTCAAATATTGTCAAAGAGACCTTGAGGTCAACAATATTCTTGTGTAAGTATATGTGGCATTATTATCTTTTTATTACACCATGATGTCACATCCAACGGCACAAAGACCTCCTTGTTCTGCAGCTTTGCAGGAATCAAGATCGCACACCCGTGTGCACACATATGCCCTGCCTAAAATTTTCTGCTGGGGGTTCTGATCTCTCTCAATTATGTGTCACAGTCTAATTTCTTCTACTTACCACATGTCATCACTGCAGATGTCATTGAACAGGAGGAGTACAGGATTCAGAAGAAAGCCTGACACCAACATATATGTACATGCAATGTTTAATTACGGCAGCTAAGGTCACAGGCGGTAGTAGTGATACTAAAATGGCATTCTTATTTCTTATAGAGCACAGCACATCCTTTCTCAAAAATATGTACTCCTGACATATAGCATGGTTCTATGTATTGCAAAGCCGCTATGCAAATCCTCTCTCACCCCTTTTCAAGCTGGAAGCAATGGGAGGGAAACGAGTGGAGGAGATTTAGTCATGCCCAGTACAGTGGTACCTCGGTTTACGAACATAATCCGTCCCGGAAGTCCATTCTTAAACCAAAACCATTCTTAAACCGAGGCATGCTTTCCCTAATGAGGCCTCCTGCCACCGATGCCCTTCCACTGTTCAGATTCTGTTCTTACACCAAGGTAAAGTTCTCAAACCAGGACACTATTTCTGGTTTTGCGGAGTTCATAAACCAAATCGTTCTTAAACTGGACTGTTCTTAAACCGAGGTACCACTATACTAAACTTCCCACCAATCTGGGTGGGGGACTGCCAGGGCCCAGGGCAGCTTTGCATACTGTAAATCTACGCTGTTGCTTGGAGTGTCCCTAATGTGTCTGCTTTTTAGCCCTACCAACAGAGCTCCAGTGTCAGTTGAACCAGAACTTAGGAGGAGCCAATAGCAGTTGTCAGGAAAGCTCCACCATCAGATTTCCCTTTCTGGTATTAGAGCAGTGTATCACATGTCAGATTGGGTGGATCCAGTGAAACCTGTCCTATGAAACTTGCAGTTTGGTATTGCATGATTCATTTTTTTAAAATACTAAATTTTCAGTGAGGGTTACTAAGATTGGTTCAGGGATTAAATAAAACGGCACACAGTTTGAAAGCATCGGTGACCAATTACAGGTTGGCTTGATGTGATACCACACACAGAGGGCATGAAAAGGAGGGGGCACTCCAGGCTTCAGCATCTTAAAAAGTGATGATGCATCCTACCTACTCAACAGCTGATTGTCTAGAACCCAAAAGCACTTTCAAATTAGCTGGCAGCACCTGGGGAGGCTTAGGAGGGGCACGAGGAAGATGCCACTATTTTCCATACAGTTTGTGGATTCCAATGGAAACTTAACTGCTGTTGCAATAAGTGAGACACAGTATGACGGACATCAGCTTCAGTAACTCCCTGACTGGAAATGTGCCTCCAATATCCACCTATAAATCTCATGAAGCTTTGTCAGGGGTTTTCATTTTAATATTTGGTTGTAATTGTTGTTATGCATATGGTGCCTGGGTGTACATTTGGTTGATTCCTAAAAAAACAAACTAGATAATAAATATTACCTATTGCTGATGGAATATGTATGCACGAATCATTGCACAAATTTATACATGTGTTGTCAAGTGAGATTACACAGACTCCAGGGGTCACGAGCGGGACTTGTATCCAAAAGAAAAAAGACGAGTCAAGAGGGCGTGCTGAGAGGTTTCAACCTTAGCACCAGTCCTTCTTCTTGAAGGCTAAATGTCAGTAGGGCTTGGAGGCATTGAAATTAATCCAATCACAATGAAGGAATAAAGACAAGGCATCTGTACCTCTATTGACTTTTCACGTTTGTGTGATAATTATTGTAACATTTTATTAAAGGCCACAGACCTTTTGATGATAAATACATCTCATTACATGGAATTTTTATACGTAATCATCCCACAGATCTTCGTGTAATTCAGTGGATGTATTTATCATGTGTTAATCCTAGCATAACAAGCCTTTAACCTATTTAACTTAATTGCAGGCGTATCATATGATTTCCTGGAAAAGTCTTCTTCTCTTTTTCTCTCATCCTCTCTTATACACCAGAAAAGTTTTATTGCTTTCTTAACCCTTTTGTGAGACCTGATATTTTTCTTTTTCCATGCTCCCCTTTTACTTTCTCTAAATTGAAGAGCTACCAAATTCAGTTACTAGCTTGGCTTTTCCAGAGCTAGAAAAAGATTTCAAATTTCTGAGCACCAACAAAAGTTTACCAAGAGCAGAGAAGAAAAAGAATACAAAGCTGTTGTTAATATGGCAAGAAACAAGCATATATGGAACAGCTACACTCTCTAGGAATTCTCTATAAAAGCCTACATCAGAACACCAACAAACACCACATGTTCTTTCCTTCTTCATCTGTCTATTCCTGCATCTTGCACAGAGCACAGACTGAGCATGATATATCATACTCTAAGATATGGTATGTTCTAAGAAAACCAAAACATTTGCACATTGAAGATCTGTTAATTTCAGACCTTTGGAGCCACTGACTTCAGCTCCCAAGCAAAAGTTTTCACACTGTATGTGAGTTTTAAAAAATGCGCTTAAAATATTGTGGTTTTAGTGGGTTTATTAATCCAGCTCTGTAATATGCATCTGTTAAAATAAGAGCAAATAAACAGGTTCCTCCAGAATCATTTTGACGGCCAGGGGCAAAAGCAGCTATAATGGATGCTAGTGAACAATCTCCCTCAGAAAGGGTTTAGGTATCATTATGAGACTCATCTGCATGAGTAGAAATTTATTGCATCTATTATCTATTGCAGGGGTGAGGAACCTCAACCTCAGGAACCAGCCTCAGAACTGAATGTAACCTGTTGTAGAAAGTTAAGAGTCCCACCTACCGTTCTGCCTCCTTTTGCCTCTCGCCCTGCCCACCAATGGTTTGTGGCCCCTGGAAGACTACCCATGAGGGAATGCGGCCCTTGGAATTAAAAAGGTTTCCTACCCTTGATTCTGTCTCCTATCTCCTAACAGCACTATTTGCCCTCAGCTGTACCTCCTGTCCCACCCAGTTCCCAGAAGTAACAATCCAGTCCTTTGAACCAAATATTCTCAGTAGAGGCAGGGAAAGTCACTGGGAATAACTCAAGCCAGATACTACCAGAAGCAAATGCAGGCGTTTGATTTACAGTATTTTTGGATGAATGGGATAGTAGTAGTTTTGTCTCATTTATATGCAAATTATATGTTATAAGCAAAATGTAATAATATAAAAACAAGGCTAAAATAAAATGAAGCACCAGAGAGGATTTAAAATCAAAATATTATATAATAGACAAAGGAAACTTTGTTCATGGTTTGCCTATGTCATAGATCTATTTGGGTACTTTATGCAACATATCAACCCACTCTTCCTCAGTATCAACCCACTCTTCCTCAGTATCAGCATGTTTGTGATCTTTCCTGGCACTGCTTTGATCTTTTACCTCTTTTGTTAAGAATACTAAATTAGTAACATTAAACTGAGCTGTAATTTAGCATTTCATTTTATACAAAGTGAAAGCTGAAAGCCATCAGGTTATGAGTGGTTCCATACATTTAACCATTTAAACCAAGGCCGTGGCTTGGGGGGCAGAGGAAGCTATTAAGATGTCTACAGCACTTAGTTCTGTACACAGCTGTCATGCTTTTAATGTCAAACTTAGTCACTAAGGTCGGGGTGAGACAGAACTGGCTAATAGTGCCACTTCTTCACTCTCTCCAATTACAGCAATGGGATGACTGAAAGCAGCACAGAACTCAAAGTAGGGCATGCAGGTATTTTGGAAATGGGTGTCATAATAATGTCTTAGTTATAAAATAGGGGTGAGAAACCTGTGTTGCTACAGATGTTGTTGGACTATAACTCCTGTTATCCCTGACGGTTGGCCGTGGTAGCTAGGCATGATGGGAGTTGGAGTCCAAAAAACAACAGGCTTACCTGAGAGCCAGTGTGGTGTAGTGGTTAAGAGTGATAGACTCGTAATCTGGGGAACCGGGTTCGATTCCCCGCTCCTCCACATGCAGCTGCTGGGTGACCTTGGGCCAGTCACACTTCTTTGAAGTCTCTCAGCCCCACTCACCTCACAAAGTGTTTGTTGTGGGGGAGGAAGGGAAAGGAGAATGTTAGCCACTTTGAGACTCCCTAGGGTAGTGATAAAGCGGGATATCAAATCCAAACTCTTCTTCTTCTTCCCTGATATAAAACCACTGGGAAATATTACCTACTTTGGCTATTTAGGAAATTTTGTGATATTACTTGACATAGTGATAAATGTGACATAGATTATTGTCAACAAGTGGTGGGCAGCTGCTGTGTTTGAAGGAACCTGAGTGCCCAAATCCTGCATTCTTCTGCCCAAGTGTAAAGAAGCTCACAGAACACATGTGATGAGATACTATTACAGAAATTGAATCTTCAGAAGTTCCAGCTCATAAAAGCATGCTCTGGATTGTTAGATGCAGTGGTGCATTCACACTGAGAGATGTAAGCCACTGAAGCGCAACACATTCATTCAATCACACCGTTTTCTAATATTAAATAACAGAATTTTAAAAAGAAATTACTGAACAACCTTGTCTATGGATAAATGTGTAGTTATAATTCAAGGAGTAGCTAAGTTAACCAGACTGCCTTCAGGGTGCAGTAGCGGAAAAGCCCATATATACATTTATGCTCAAAAGCACATCAGACATTTTTCATAATTCGTGAAACTATAACCTTGATGAAAATATTTTAGCACATTAGGCAATATTTGAAAATTCAGAAGAGGTGCTCAGATGGCCCCTTGGAATTCTCTACCCTTTGAGCACAGTTTTGGGGCACCCTCCAGGAACAGAATCTGCAAACTACAAGCCTCCCATTGCTGTCTATGGCAGATGGCTTTCCATAGACGCTTGGATTATTTTCTCATCCTGCTGCTAAAAATGGAAAATGTTGGTTTATATGCATGAAACTGCATTGCTGGATCAAATCCATGCCGTTTAGCAAACATCTAACAGAAAATACTGCAACAGCTTTCCCCTACGAATATACTGATCAAAGCCATCAATACACTGATCTGAGCAAATCTACGTGTAACTGAACCCCCCCCCCCCCCGTTTCAGTGGAGTGATCTTCTAAGTACCTAGAATTACTGCCACATCCTGAATGGGTGCAGTTTCTACTCGTGTAATTAAACACACTAAACTTGCTATGCAGTCCCACTGATGGCAATTGAGTTTTCAATAAGTAAGTGGTGTTAAATTTATAGGTGATCTTTTTGAGTCATATTCTCTTAAATCCTTTCAGCAGTTCAGTATCCTAGTTTCTATTCCTAATGCAGTTTTTGGGGAAATTCCATTCATAGAATAGAGTATGACTTAACTAGGCTTAACCAGCATTTTACTAGGCTTTTCTAACAAATAGACTTGGGATGTGGGGGTTGCATAATTTACTTCTAGCTACTAAACTTTTTTGTTGCTATAAATGAGTGGTGTGCTACTACACCAAAAGAATGTGAAATGCAATATTTAAATAGAATCTTATATGTAATATTGATTTACTGCGGTGGCTGAAAACGCTTTTCATCTTAAGGGCCAGTCCTTTATGGGCAACCTTTCAGGGGTCACATGCCAATGATGGGTGTGGCTAGAGGCAAAAGTGGGCGGAGCAATGAATGTGACTATTACCTTTTTACAGTAAGTTACATTCCAGCCATGCAAAAGACAGAGATTTTTACACCCACCCTCATCTCTCCACCCTCTATCTAGGTCTGGCATAGGCAAACTCGGCCCTCTAGATATTTTGGGACTACAACTCCCATCATCCCTAGCTTACAGGACCAGTGGTCATGGGGTGATGGTAGTTGTAGTCCCAAAACATCTGGAGGGCCGAGTTTGCCTATGCCTGATCTAGGTAAACAAGAGGGATCATCACAGTTCACAGACACATTCCAGCCAGTCGAAAGCACCCTGGAAGGTTGCAGAGCACAGCCAGCAAAGGGTATGTGGCCCAAGCTGGATAGAGGGGTCCAGAGAGCCGTGGGACTGTGGCTTCCCAACCATGATTTATTAATGTCAGCTAGATCCACACATGACAATATGAAGACTAGCAGAAAAGGAAGAGAACTCTCTTCATCCCTGTCAACCTTTCTTCATCTCCTTAGCTGGATCTGAAGAAGGCCCAGATCAAATGCCTTGTGCATAAACATCCAAATTTGCAACTATGTGCAGAGACCTGTAATGCAGGGTTTCACTGGAATACTCTTTCAGAAACCCCAGTATGGTTGGAGATAGGAGAAGATCCTATATTCAAGTAGAATATTAAAGAGAGACAGATACAAACATTAAAATCAGTGCTTTTTTCTGGGGGTACACAGTACCGTAACAATTTCCCCCCGGATGTTAAAAGTGTGGTACCTACTGTAACAACTTCATAGTGAGTATGAGCACCTTTTTTAAAGAAACACACAAACTGATTAAAATATATTCAGTGATAAATACTATGTAACATCCAGTTGTGTCTGTCAACAAATGGAGCAAACTTCCCTCACAAAACAAGACTTCTCCTTCCTTTCTTCTGCCCTACAGCCCACAGTAATCACCTCAAATCTGTTCTGAACAGTCTGAGATCAAAAGCACAATATGAGTGCCAGTAACACCTCAACAAAAACCATCCCAAGGAGTTGTGTTAAAAAATAATTGTAATTCTTGTGAACATAGAATTAAATGCTTTAGATAATTTAGTAGCACCTATTTATTTAACAGCAATTCAGAATAATGTCTGTTTCTAAATATTTTAATTCTTGGTTCAAGAAGCAACATGCTAGCTGTGGTAAGGACATTATGATGTGGAAGGAAAAGAGCTAATAATTAGGGTTCACAGAGCATATGGAAATAACATTAGGAAAGTCAACACTACTGGATTAATTCTAAAACATCATACCTATTGGAAAGAAAGCCTACCACTGCAACATTAAGGGCTTTAGCTAATAGGTGCTTTTTAAAAATCTCTGTCCAAGTCAGTATATACATATGAGTTTCCTATTGCCAATCCATCACAGGATTTCAGTTTCACATTAAGAGTTGATTTGCACTCTGTGTAAACCCCATTTATCATGATGACAGAAGCAAAAGACCTTCATGGTTTGAAATTCCTTCATAACTTTTCAAAGACTGATATAAGATGCTTGTAACACTTCAAAAATTACTACGAAAAGAATTATTTATTTTGCAAGGAATGACTTATGGTGAATGAATAGATATTTTCTAGTGGGACAATATTTTTCGTTTGGGGAGAAATAGCTATGAAATGCAAGTGGTTGAATATATTCTTTTAACCTGACAAAAATATGAGGCTAGGCTTATGGCCCACCAGTAATAAAATCAAGACCATCTGCCATATAGTATAGACCAGGTATTATCTACCAATGAAATATAGAATCTAAGGAGTTAAGTCAGAAGAATATATATTCATTTTCAAGGCTATCCAGGGCATCCACCTAACAAAGAAACTTACAAATTCAGTGCTAGCGGAATGGTACTGAATGGATAAACGTGGCATACAGAAGGTTTCAACAATGGTTTTCAAACTATGTTTTGCAGAACCCTTGGGCAGCTGAAGAAGAATCTTTGTGTATTGTAGGACCCCGTGTCATTTACACAGGGCAATGTGAGGCCCCAATATGTCTAACTCAGAGCTTTCACCAATCTGGGCCCCTCCAGATGTTTCTGAAGTACAGCTCCCATTAGCCCCAGCCAACATAGTCTGGCTGTCCAAAACATCTGGAGGGCAGCAATTTTGCGGGTGTGTCTTCAAAAGCCAGTAGAATGCCAATACACATGGGGTCTCATGCATTTCAGCAGTGAGTGTGTTCTATAACAGTGGTGCTACCAGTATAAAAAAACTTGGCCTCTGTGTGCCAGTAATTATCAGGCCATGGCAAGGCCAGAACCTTGGAACCACTCACATACAATCTCTTAACGGGATTCAGCCTCAATTTGTTGGCACTCATCCAGCCCACCACAGCATCCAAGCACTGGTTCCGCTTGTGCATAGCCTCTCCTGTCTCAGATTAAACAGAGAAACAAAGTTAGGTGTCACCTACTGATGATACTGTGCCCCAAATCTCATGCTCATTGCTCTCAGCAGCTTCATATCGATGTTAAATAGCACTGGGGATAAAACAATGCCTTGTGGTGCACCACAACTGCATTGCCAAGGTGTAAATACATAGCCTTCTCTAAGATTGACCATGCAAGTAGGAACAGAACCACTGTAAAATAGTACCTCTAACCCCCAACTCACAGAGACTGTCCAATGGTGTCAATAACTGCTGAGAGATCTAGAAGAAGAAGAAACAGGGTCACACTCCTTCTTGTCTTTCCCCTGCAGAGCAAGCAAGGCCAATTCCATGCCAAAACCAAGCCTGAACCTAAAACTGGACAGGTCCAGACAGTTGGTTTCCTCCAAAAGCGCCTGCAGCTGAATCACCATGATCCTCTTTGAGCATCTTGGCTCAAAATGGGGTATTAGTGACTGGGAGATAGTTGCCAAGTACCGCAGGGAAGGTCCCCCCCCCCAGGAACAAATGTACCACAAACTCCTTCAAAGATTCATTAACCAACCCACCTGGCCACCCACCCACTGCCCCAGCCACTTCCATGAAAACAGCCAAGATAGGCAAGGGTCAAGAGGGCAAGTAAAGGAGGAACAACCATAAATCATGGCTCCTGGTTGTTCCAGTTACAGCACCTCTATCTACTGCGGATGGAGCTACAGCATACTTTGCCTATTCCTGCAACCCAGTGCTGCTGCTGCTAAAAGAGAAGAGAATGGCCATTAGTCATGGATGGTGGGAACTAGTCTAACAAGTTCTGGAGGCACCACATTGGTTATCGCTGCACTATAGAAGGATGGGTAAAATAATGCATTTATTTGGGCCAATCAGTGTTCACAAGCTATTAGTGCTAGCAGTCATTCAGCTTTAATGCTTCTACATGGTATTTGGTGCTTTAAACGTTTGGGTGCTAAAAGGAGTTGTGTGGTGGGTTTAAATCATGTATTGGAGGAGCTACAACATTGCTATGCTTGCCTTTGTTACTGTGTTTATTATTCCTTCAACATTATCAGCAAGTTGTTGAGTGAGGGGAAGATATTGGTTTGCCTATACATTTCTGCAAGCTGCAGGATCCTTCCAGGAGGATCATAGAATCACCTTGCCTTGCACATCTGCTCACATCTAATCTAGTGGTATGGTGTCCTAGTGCAGAGTGATCTTTTATTTTATTAATTCAGGGTATTTATGAATCACACTTCCTCCAAAGCAGCAGTAACCACAAGAGCAAAATATATCAAACATCAATAAAAACCAGTACAGGCTACAAATTAAATAACACAGGCGTTTTAATATGTCTAATGTTCTTATAGCCCTTGTAAGAAACTTTCTCCCTTGAATCACTTGCTGCTTGAGATACCATTGGACAGGGTAGAGAAAGCTTGTGAACTTGTACATTCTCAAAGTTTTTGTGCCGTCAGACGTAACTCCTGCAGTACATAACATGAAACTTCTCCTACCTTTGTAGAACTTCAGTGACCCCTGAGATCAGTTCCATTGCTTTTAGAAAATAAAAAAGAAAGCCGTTTTGGTTTAATTTGCAGCTGGATCACAAGATAGGCAGTTATTGGAAGATAGCTTTTTAATGGTCAGGTTATATAATACAGTCTGCAAGAATTTATAGCTTATAGGTAGAGAGGCACTATACTAAACATTATAATTAGGACTATTAAAGTGCTTGATAACTTCATTTGTTTTTCCTTCTCTGATGAACTGATAAATGCCCCTTGGGTAATGTTTGAGCACTTGGGGGGGGGAGAGATTTTTGGTGTTTTGTTTTTCCTCTTTATGGAAAAAATAACATAACTCCTAGGTATTCTTGCTAAGCAGCATCCAAATCCCAAACAGTGCCAGAGGGGAGTTATGAAATAAAAATGAATGGTCTTAAAGGCGTTGGGAGTCTCTGGGGAATAAATGATAGAATTTTCTTATATTTCCTGTATATGCAGATAACAAATACATTTAATGCAAGAAGGAAATAGAATTTTAATAGAATTTTTAACTAAAGATCTTGAAACAAAACTAGACATACATTTTAATTGAATTTCTGGCTCAAATTACAGCAAACCATTATAAATCATTAGGAATCAGTTTTAAAACTGCTTTCACTTTTAGCCGTATTACAAACACAGAGGTAAGCTTTTACAGCTACAGATAAGTGTTAATAAATTACCCGAATTTCAAAATTAATGGCTGCCCGGCTGCTTTGGGGAGATATCATTGTGTTTCATGAATATTTTGATTTTGTGATTAGATCAAAATGCACTGAATTCCTAAACAGTCATAACTAAGGTCTGCTGATCATAAACTGTTCTTTTTTTAATAAATTATATTCCTCGCAAATCTGCTGATATGGAATAATTAGAAATTGGTTGCCTGCATTTACTGTAAGATTTGCATGACTTTAGATCTCCACCTACTGATCTAGTGGCTGGCAGGAAATGTACATTTTGTACATTTCTAAATATACCTTGCCTGCAGAGATAATGGTTTATATTGTGATGTTAAGAAGGTTTTTATTTGCAAAAAACAAAGCGGTGTCACTTGCCAGTTCTGGAAGACATTGATTAGGCTGTTTATGTCATTCCTATTCAGAACTTATTATTTACAGCTTTTCTGTTTCCATTCCTTTGTAAGCGATAATGATCTGTCTCTTGTAAACTGCTTAAAGTGTGTCTATTTTCCCTCTTTTTAGCAGGTCTTGAAATACATTTTATAGAAATGTGGGTATATTAACATGGAATGTAAATGGTGCAAAATGGAGCATATTAATCGAACACGGTATCTGTCAATATGATCTTTGAGTGTTATACAAAATATTTAGAGTTAGAGGGAAATGGAAATTGCTCATCCATTCTTCAGCATGGAATACTTGCTATCTGAATGTGACCCTATGGAACATGTATATGCTACAATTAAATGCACTTTACATTTTAGATGCTGTTCGTGTAACATGCACATAGTTATTGTTTCCTGCGGATTTCCTGCAAAGCAGAAAGCATTGTCTGTTATATTGAATCCACTACTTAGAACTTGGGGTTTTGGGCCATGGTTTTTGAATTGTTTTGAATACTGAAACGTATCGTGTATGGCTTGTGTGTGTGTGTATGTGAGACTATGCACTTTCAACAGCACAGAAAAAGGCCATTGTCTCCTTTGTGGTAGGCACAGATGGTGGGAATTTATACAAGTTTAATTACTAAAATGTTTCTTCATTGTCACGAGCCACTGTCATCACTTCTAGGGCACTATAGCCTTGAAGACACATCAAGATTCTATTCTGGTGTGATAAGCTAAATGTATCCTAAGCTTTACAATTTGCTGTATTCCACGTACTAGGAAAATACATTTTTGAATTTTTCTGATTATTGGTGCCATTACTCCCTACTCTTCCTACATTTGCTGCTACCACCTACCAGTGGCGTGCAGTGAAATTTTTTCCTAAGGGAACAGCTAGGGTCAGAGGCACCAGCTTGCGAGGGTGATTGGGGGGCGTTGTGAGCGTGAGCAGCATGCCTCCCTCCCTAAGCCAAGCAAAGGCTTCCCAGGCTTTGAGAAGGGGGTGCCAGGCCTCTGACAGCATGCTGGACTTTGGGAAGTCGGTGGGAGGGCTCTTGGACTGATCAGAACATCGTGCCTCCATCCCTAAGTCTGGCAGAAGCTTTCCAGGCTTTGGGAAGGAGGCTCCAGGGGAACATTAAGGGGACTAGCCTAGTCTTCCTAGTCCACTGACTGCACGCCACTGCTACCTACTCTTGCTAAGCAGAACAGTCCCAACACTCCAGAGTGAACCCAGAATAACCCCACATACTTTCAAAAGGTTTGTACAAGATTGCACAGGAGTAGTTGGTTTCTGGAAAACAGTCTAGCAGCGTATCACAAGGGACAGTCCTATTGCACTATTGCAATGTCAGCACTAGTGCCACCATTTTCTTCTTGTTAGCGTGCCTTAGGGTGTGTTTTTAAGAAAGAAAAGGAGAAAATGTGGAAGGTAGATGCTGAACACCAGCTGCTCTACCGCCTGGCTAAGGTTCCTCTGCTGCTCTCAGATACTAGAGATGTATCACATTCCTTTCAGTCTAGCTTACGACTGTCATCCTTTCTACTCTCAGCCCCAGGAAGAGCAGCTGGGAACTTTTAAGTCCCACATAAATACACTAGTGAGGGTGAATGCAGATGACCATTTACCACACGGCAGCTTACCAGCTGATAATACTGACGCAGGTTTCTCCTGTTCTAGCACATTCCTGGCCCCTTAGGATGCAAAATCTTATGCTCCTCATTCTTCTGAATCAGGTGCCAAAGAAGCAATAGCATGCAGTGCTATAGGAGTATCTTTGCTGCCTGGCAAAGGTTGAACCATATCCACCCAACTTTAGAAGATCAATTCTATTCTGCAGTAGACTGGAAAGCTGCCACCGGTAGCACAATGAGCCAGCCAGAGCTTATCCGGGAGTCATGTTTACACAGGCTGTCAGCAGACAACAGCAGCCAGTGATGGGTTAAACAGGCTGTAACTTTATAGCCAGATTTGCAAAGAGATGATGTATTTGTGTGCCTTTATCAATTACCATAGTCTTGAGCGGCAGAGCAACTCAATAGATGGGCTACTGTGGACCAAGCTTGCCATTCTTGGTCCCATCCATTCCCACCAAATGCATTTGATGCAATCGCATAAGGATTAATGAAGATCTTCAGTTATTACATGCGTTTTAATATCATCGTACCAAATCCCAGGTCAGTATGTGCTGATTAAGCCCTTTGGGGACAATGGCTTGATTGCTTTTGCCTCTGCATGCCAGTTTGCAAAAGCTTGTTACTAAAAGAACTAGGTAGCTTATTCTCATTTAATATCTTACCACTCTGTACAAACCTGGGTGATGCGGACTGAGCTTAACAGAAGTAGAGTTTAGTATTTTTGTTCTTCCCTTGCATATAGCCACATGATTCGTTTCAGAATCCCCCTTACCCTTTAAGTTCTGAGGCAAGGGCACTTCCAGATGAGTTTTTACTGTGAAATACTTGCATGTGGGTTTGTGTCTGGTTTTTTTCATCATCCACACAACATCGCTGGCATCGAAATATGACCTTCTAAACATCTGCACAATCATAATACCTAAAAACAACAACAACCCCCAATCCACTTTTCATTTCAACCTTCACAGTGTGAGCAAAATTATGAGTAGCTCAAGAAAGTTTGGAGTCCCAGAAAAGGCCATCCATGATCATGAACTATTGAAAATAGCTTTCCTGATATTGCATCCATCTGGTAGTGAAGCCTATGAGAACAATCCTTTAAAAATTCTTACCTGCTTAAATTCCTGGTTGCAATTCCACAGGACACTAAATAACCTTTTAAATCTATCTTGACATAGGCACTGTGAGTTTGTTTATTTGTTTTCATTTGCAAGCATTAAGGGCATGAGAAATAGGACTGTGAAGAAAGGCGCCCTTAGGCAAGGTTCCTTAAATGCAAAGACCATTTAAGTCTGACATCACATCCATGCCATACATTTAGGGTGGAACCTCGGGTTACCTACCATCCTTCTTATGGATGCTTCGGGTAACGAGCTCCGCTAACCCGGAAGTAGATGCTCCTGGTTGCGAACTTTGCCCCAGGATGTGAGCGGAAGTCGCGTGCTGGCAGCGGAAAGCCCATTAGCGAAGGGGCCACTAGGGGCGCATCAGAAGATGGCTGACAATAACATCTCTCCGACCCACACAAGGTAATTTGGAGGCTGTGATGGGAGTAAATAGCCTCCCTACCCCCCCCCAGGATTGTGGGGGGGGACTGCCCTTGCCTGCTGTGCCCTATACCACCCCCGAATTTGTGGGGATGGGGGCACTAGGCACAATGCCCTCCTGTGGGATTTCGGCGCTCCTGGACGCCGTCTCTGATCCGCGCCACTAGCTGCAAGAACTTCAAAAGAAACAATTTGGATGAAGCGAATGCACATATTTCAAGGAAGGAGGGGGAGTAAAGACTGCTAACAGATCTCTGATAAAACAAGACGAGTCGGAGGAACAAGTATAAATCATGAGAAGATACGCCAAGACTCGGTATGGCAAAGGGACTGATGGGGGAGGGGGGAAAAACTTTCCTTTCTTTCCTTTATGTGATTAAACAAGAATCCCCCCCCCTCACAAGTCAGAAATGTCGTTTTAAGGACTTAAGCTGTGGATTTAAGGCTGTGTGGAGATAAACTTTCGAACCAAAGCATGTTTTAAGAAGAGCATGGAATGTATAAGGGCTTTGGAATGACGCGGTTAAAAATACCGTCACCATATTGGGAAGTTCTGTCGGAGGACTTAAGTCTGGGAGGAGAAATAGAGAAATAGAGCTGTTTTTATATTGTGGGTGAAACTCCTCAGAGGGACTTAAGAACGACAGTTCTGTAATTAATGATGGAAAGAGCGATGTTATCTATGAAGGCGATGATATATGGAAACCATCTCGATTTGAGGATTGGAAGAACGGAAAAATTCACACAGGATTATTATTGGTGTTTATCGCCTTAAGGAGATTATCAGAAGAGATCATAAAGAAAAAAGAGAAAATATATGAACAAGATGTGATGTGGAAACAGCAAGATAAGACTGGATAGAATTATGAACTTTGTTTGGACTGATTTGGACATTAACGCAGTAGCAAGAAGATGATCAGAATCCCCTTTCGGATCTTGAAATATGGGTCCCCTCAACAAAATTTAAAATTCGGCTTTGTAATTCGGAATTTATGTGATGTGATTTGATTTGATTTGATTGGCCGGTTAATAAAAATTATTTCAAAAAAAAAAAAAGGAAAGCCCATTAGCGAAAGCATGCCTCGTGTTAAGAACGGTTTTGGGTTAAGAATGGACCTCCAGAACGAATTAAGGTCGTAACCTGAGGTACCACTGTAAAGCACATGGCTTTCCGCAAAGAATCCTGGGGACTGTGGTTTGTTAAGAGCGTTGGCAGAGCCGGCACAGTCATTAGGTGCGGTGAGGCCGCTGCCTCAAGTGGTAGAACTCTGTACCAGAGTGTGGTTTTGCTTCTTTTCTCCTCCCTCCCAATCTGTTTTCCTTTTGTGTGATGTCTTTTAGGTCGGAAGTTTGAAGCCAACCTTATTATTGATCTCTATAAGCTACTCTGGAAGTAATTTTCAGCTGAATAGTGTGGTAAAAATATTTCAGATGAATAAATAAGCAAATAATTTTTACTTGGCCTGAGAAAGTCAGGCCTTGAAGGACTCCACATACAAAAGTTGCTAACAACTAATAAGATGGAGTTGTTATGGTTTCTTGCACGATTGACTTAACTGGTTTTTTGCAGTTATGTTTTGATGGCTTGTTTAATGGCTTGTTATTTAGTATCTTGATCTTTAGGCCTAATTGCTTTATTATGAATTTTTAATGCATCCTTTTATTTTTTAAGATACTGTAGATTAATTGTTTTTGCTATTGATTTTTGTACTACTGATAATTTTTGTCATTTTTTGCATAAACGGCCTTGAATGTTATATATGGAAAGGTTGTATATAAATAGCACTGACCTTGGTATTGACTGCACTGAAACGACTCACACAAATTGGACTTGCCTACATTGACATGCACACGGCCATCCATTTTGAATCAAGTTACAGAAAACCAGCTGTTAATGTCTAAAAGAACCTGGTGCCCTAGACTACAGCTTCCAATGGCCCAGCCAGCATGATCATGGATGCTGGACATTATAGTCCAACACATCCAAAGGACATAAGGTTGAGGAAGGCTGAGGTCTAAAGGGATTAGCATCAAGGTCAAAGTAGGTTTTAAACTCAGGTTAAAGAAATTTTAGGCACACACAAATGAAACTATTCTTATTTTCAGCCTCACCTGTGAAAACACCCTGAGATAGCAGGTGCTCAAAGAATTAGAAAAATATGGCAATAGAACAGTAATAGCCTAGATGTTGTTGGACTCCCATCTGCCCCAGTCAACACACTGAGAACACCATTTCAGAACCACTGCAACAGAGAGTCAAGTCCACTTGAGATTGCTGTGATTGTGGTATGTCTGTGAGTTTTGTATTATGCTTTCACAGATATCTCACTCTCTGTATTGCTGTTGCATTTAGTACAATGTTTGCAATAACAACAAATACTTAATGGCAATAACAAATCCAATGAAAAATTGCCGATCCAGCCCATGACATAACAGTCTCAGATCATTGCTCTGTGTCAAAGGTCCACTCCACCTTCTTATGTCCCATGAAAAATAATGGAGGAAATCAGGAGTGGTTTCTAATAAAGCAAATGGATTAACACTTTCCATTGGATATCTTATCAGTGCAGATTGTATCCAACTAATTGATATCTAAATTGCAAATTAAAGTGATTTGTGCAGAGGCCATTGTAAGAAGATTGTGATTATAACAATCTCTTCTTTTTGCTGTGGTTTAATGGTTCAAGGCAAAAGTGATACCATATTCTCTATGGGAAGCACCCAAATGCAAACTAGCAGCTCATTCCAAGCCCACTGGCAGTGTCAGATGCCAAAACTGCACATGTGACCACTGTTCCCCCCCTTTCTTAAAACACAGAAAAAACTGAAGTTGATTTAAAATAAAACCTTGAGTGTTTTCTATGGGAGATGCTTGTCGTTCTGAAGCTATTCACCAATACGCCCATCCATATATGTTTCAAGCAGTGCTAAAAAAATGGATTTCTCCCACTGAGATAATGGGGGGGGTCTGCCTTTTAGACATTAGATTTTGCTGAGAGGAGTTTGCATTTCTTTTTTTCCTTTGAAAATGCCCTGTATGTGGATGTGTGTTTTACAAGAGATGATTTTTAAAAGTGATAAAATCTCTTGCTCATTATGTCTGTATAGATCCTGTTGTTTTTTATAATCTTTAAATCTAAATGGAGCCTCCCAAGTTTGTTGATGTCAGAATACTCCATTGATTTAATCCATTATTTAAATACAGCTAATTTGTAATACAGGTAAACAAAACAAAATGCAAAGCTGGTGGGGGGCATTAATTTGTATTGTTACATGCCACCCCAATCTCTGAGTGGTGCAAGATTCCAGGAGTTCCAGGCACTTACCCAGGGTTTGTGTTTCCTCAGAATGAGGCACAGCGGAAACTGTGGTGTCTTTATGATATATGGTTTATTTACACATATATGCAACCTGGGCCTACCTGCTGAATGAGGTTGAGGACTAGGGCCTTTCCAGTTGTGGCACCATAACTATGGACTACCCTCCCTAGATGCTTTTGGCTTCAGGAGGCAGGCTAAATCTAAGTTATTTTGCAAGGCCTTTGTGTTAAATTGATGCTGGCTCTTCATTCCTTATCACTAACTTTGCTTTTTTTGGCCACTTTTGATTAGCTTGTCTGGCCTTCCGTTATTGTTCCATTTTATCGATCCTGCTGTTCTTGGTTGTCTTCTGTCATGGAAGACTCCTGACTTAATCACATGCTACCTAGTGATTAAATTAAACTGTAACAATGGGTCATGCACTTTGGTGGGGAGAGTTTCTGCAGAGCTAAGACCTACCAGTTCACACCAGCCACAGCAAAATATGTGGACGTGTCTTTCTTCTTTCTTTTTTGTTCCCTCCCATTAACTCCAATATTAGGGGACTAAGGAAGTCTAGGGTCCTGCAGATTCTTGGCTGCCTCAGCCCCATCACTCTGTTTTTAGGCCCATTTCCTGTAGAACATCACCAGTGGGGCAGCCATGGTGGTAGAAAGCTGCACCATCAACTAGGGAAGATCTTAGGCATATGACTTCTTTCTTCATAGCTTGATCTCCCTTTCGGCCTATAGAGTGGGAGGTCTACATTATCCTAGGGTCCCTGTTGACACCTATCCCCAAGCCACAAGTAGTTGCACTCTTAGGTGTTGTTTTACAAAATAAAGGAGGGTGACCAAGATGATAAAGGGTCTTGAAACCAAGCCTTATGAGGAACGGTTGAGGGAAATTGGTATGTTTAGCCTCGTAAAGAAGAGACTGAGAGGAGATATAATAACCATATTCAAATACCTAAAAGTCTGTCACATGGAGGATGGCGCAAGCTTGTTTTATCCTGCTCTAGATGCTAGGACCCGATTCCTGCTAAACATCAGGAAGACCTTTCTGACAGAAAGAACTGTTCAGCCGTGGAATGGACTTCCTTGAAAGGTAATGGACTGCCCTTCATTGGAAGTTTTTAAGCAGAAGGTGGATGGCCATCTGTCGTGTATGATTGAGTTGAGATTCCTGCATTGCAGGGCATTGGACTAGATGACCCTCAGGGTCGCTTCCAACTCTACAGTTCTATGATTCAATTGTTCTATGATTATCATCTGATATGATATAGCTCCATAAAATAAGACTTTACATATAGCAAAGACCCAGAGAAACAAGGTTGGCATCTTCATCACACACCAATCAACATTAACCCTGCCTTCAAGAACTTCCTCGCCTTGTGAGCTGCTTCCTTAAGTATGTCCATCTTGATAAAATGCAGCAGTGGTTGTACCAGTGAGCACTGTCTAATTAAGGCAATCCATACTAATTGTAGTTATGTGTATCCAGTCGCCTAATTTATGACGTTCCTGACACCGCACAGCTACAGAATGGAAAAACATAGTAATGTAAGATACACTACTAGGAGAAAAATCTGAGGGAACATATTTTTAAATGCAAGGTCTGAGTGCTGATTGACATGCTTTGTATGATAGTAAAATCTGGCAGGTGCATTAACTTGCATTCCTCTGATCTGTACACATCCGCACTTGTCTTCTTAGGGTACTTGGTAATAAGCTTCTTTAAAGATCCCTGAGTAAGCACTGAAGATAATATCTGGAGTATGTAGCACTCAGTCCTTTTAGAATGGCTTTTTCCTGCTCCTTTCGTTTTCTTAAGAAAATGTCAGTTTAATCATATCTTAATGCTTTGATAATGCGTTTCTTTACATAGCTGTAGAACACTCACTTCAGTGTTTTAAAAGAATTAATGTAGATGTTAAAAAATGCTGGCTAAATGAGATTTCTTTCCAACAGGCTAATAAAACTGGAGCACAAGCCTTTGCCAACTCAAAAAACATTGACACAGTGACACAAATATGGGATGCGCTTGTTGGCTTTGTGTGCAGCCATGTGTGGTAGCCTCACATAATCCATGCATTGGTCATCGTTTTATCGAACGGTGCAGATCAGTACATAAGTTTGCATCCGTTGGACCAAACGCTAATCTGCTGGGTTAGCAAGCAAGTATCTAGCCTGGGGCATCCTATTATGAGATCTATAGCACTACACTTGATCCAGAACATTATGCTATCACAGCAGCAGATGCAATGGTGGTGGCCATCATTCTGATGCATTGCATAACAGTACCATGGGAAGTTGCAAATATTAACTCCATGAGTGCCTATATGACACCACTTCCCCCTCCTCATACTGGTACCATTACCTCTTCATTTTCTCCCTTCCCTCCCTTTGTTGTCTCACATCTGTCAAAACACACTGCAGGCATTCCTGGCTCACAGCCTGGGTGCAGTGCCCCAGTAGAACCCTCAGCCAACGCTGTCGGCATCCGGGGGTCAAAAGGCCAGCTGGCTAGGCCCCAGCAGGATCGTATCCCTCTCAGCCTTCATGTTGCGGAGATTCATCAACCTCTGGCTCCGACTTAAATCAGTGACTCAAGCTAGCTGACTTGAGCACATTGTATGTAGCAGAGTAAACTGCACAACAGAAGAGGCTTGAGGCTGTGGATATATACTAAAACTACGGATTTATTTTTCATAAATCAGAACAAAGAAGCGTGTCGTCTCTCCTTGCAATCTTCTCGGAGAGAGTCGAAAACAAAAGCAATACACAGAGTAGAAGTTCTGTTCACAGGACCCAGCAGTCTGTGCTGGAATGTAAACAGACATGTGACACACAACGATGCCATGTCTGCAACAAAAGGTGGAATGGAAATTTCCAACATCTGTATAGGACATTTCACATTAACCCTCACATCCTTAAACAGTTGCAACAACCATTCACAATCCAAAAGTGATATGACAGTGCACTGAGTTCAGCTTCACAAGAACTTAGGCTCACTGTTGTTTGCTTCTTGTACAACCAGTCAAATAGACACTGGTTGTACATGTAGCACACCCTGGAAGTGTTTGTGCCATCTGTGGTGTCACTTCCAAAACTTGCATTGGCCTAAGCTGTCTTTTAACCTGTCCTTTAATATGATGACTGTTGGACAACTTGGTCCGAGAGCCACCATTGTATTTTCCCACAATGCCCCTAATATTATTACATCATTCAGGGGCATTGCGGGAAATTTTAATGGCAGATGCATCAGAGTGCTGTTATTGCCCACCAATGCTTATGACAGGTAAGACGACAGTGCCAGGAGGGCTTGATGGTGCAAGACTGGGTCTCCCCGAGAGCTGTTGGCAAAGCACCCCCTACCCACAATGTAGAGCCAGTCCTCATAAATGGTAAACTACTCAGGACAGAACTCAAGAAAGGGATCAGAAATGGATCCAGAAGTGGATCAGAAAGGGAGCAAAATCCTATCTGTCAAGTGCTGTATGCTGATGCACAATAGAACTGGTGGCATCCTAGATGCATTTTCATTTATTCGCTGCTGTCTGTACTGCATGATAAGACTGTAAACTGCAAGTAGCCTATCCAAACCCCTTGCTGGGGCACAGTATTATTGTACTTAGCAAGTATAGCTATGGCATAAGACATTGGAAGTTTGCACCCCTTAAAGAATTTGGGTGTGTGTGTCAGATTTCAGAAAAGATTAATTATTAAATGACAACAGTGAGATTCCAGTTTGGAAAGAAAGCCTTTGTGCTCTCCAAACCAAGAATATATATATATTATACTGAAATGAACCGCACTAGGTAGGTGGACATTTTGAGGAACACATTCCTTAAATTGTCTCTTAATCACAAATCATGGGAAGCTGCAATCAAGGAAAAAATATTGATCACCCAAATGCATTGTGCGAAAAAGCATTGGTATATAAAAGAACACACTGTTTATAACACACTGTTTATAATTTACATTGGTATATAAGAGAACATCAACCCATCTAAAAGTTAGAATTTAATTCTGGCCACCTTTTTGAATAATTACATTTTCAGCAAAAGGTAGATCTCACACACATGGTGTATAGTCTGTTGAGAATCATTCTAATCCATGTACTTTTCACATTTCACTTACTAATTGGGGAACAAATAGAGCCATTTAAATGCAGTGAAAGTCAGCTAAAAGTATTGCTTGTATGAGATGCCAGTCTATTTATTTTTTGTCATACAGACCCCTCTATCATAACGTACTTCCTTACCCTTTGTTCGTGGCATATTTTAGCACAAAATAAATTCAGATGACTAAATACATCCCCCACCATTCAGTGTCATTTTAAGTCCCTGTACAGATTGTTCCTACTGAACATTCCCTCCCCCAACATAACTTTGAGCTCAAACCCATGGCCCTGAGATTAAGAGTTCCGTGTTCTATTGACTGAGCTATCCCAGTTTGATCAGAATATTATTGAAGTGTTTCACCAGCGCACTTCATAATGTGTTCAGACATTCTGCTTTAATTTTGACAGACGAGGGTGTTTCAGAAATCCAGTAATGTTTCAGGTTTGGTTTTACACAGCTACGCCAGACCCTGTTGCGCCTTTCTGGGGCCATGATAGGCCTTGCGGTCTCCCTCTGGTTGTGTGACGTCACACGGGCATGTCACATTTGTGACGTCACGCACGCTGGGCCCCCTAAAGTTGGGTGGAACCCGTCACCTGTGGCAGCCATGACTCCTCTGTTCACTGCTATGGATACAGCTTTAAAAGGACAAGCAGTGAGCGATACAGGCACCTGTCTTTCACAGTTGATGTAGCCTGCCTGTATTTTTTTTATTTATTTTTTATTAATTTTTTTTGCATTGGGTCATCTGTACCTACATCTTGGCTGCCCTGGATTTGGGTGAATTGTGCCCACAGGATTGGAGTGAACAAGGTAATCCAATTTAGAAGGGATGGCTTCGTCGTTAAAGAAAGGTTCTCTACCCCCTTGGCTGTCATCACAATGGAAAGTTTAAAAATGAAGTGCCAAACAAGCAGGCATTAAACCACACACGCAAAAATCACAATGTTTCCTTTTGCCAATTTAATCAGCCCGATCAGATTCAAAATATCACTTGCTTTATTGGAGGGGATGGTTATACTGAGATAGCAAACTGAAAACATAAATTATAGATACACTTTCTCTCCCCCCCCCCCCAGCGCCTGATTGCTCATTTCCACTTAGATGCAAGACTTGCTACCTCAAAGCCCGTGATTATTGCAAATTGCTGCAGTGTCACAATCGCAGCCTCATTTAGTTTCTTCTCTTTAAAAAAAATTGTTGAGCTTTTGAACTACTAATATTAACTCGTATTTTCTTGTCTCCTTGCAACAATTATTCAATCAGGTTTTCTATTGTGAAGGATGGAAGATAAATTCCTCCATAGCCTGAACAACTATAGTGTCATGCATGAACAGCTCAATCTTTGCCTGCCTCTCTCTCTCTCTCTCTCTCTCTCTCTCTCTCTCTCTCTCTCTTTTACTACAAATAAAATTGTGTGTTCTTAAATAATCACCAGATAAAGGTTTCTTCTAGCAATGTTGCCTGATGATGAAACAAATGGCTTTATGGGAAAATTAATAGTGTGAGCTTGTCCCTCTGTCTCTTTTCCTTTTGTTCTGCATCACATTTTAATAAGATGCACTTATTGGTTAAAATCGAGGACCTCAAGTTCTGTTTCCGGTTCTCATCCTTTTTCTGCATTGCATGGGAGGACAGATGATAGAAAGAGATCTACAAAATCTCAGGGCATGAGTGCTGTAGCTCTCCTACATCTTTCCAAGTAACTGGTATTTAGAGACATGCTGCCTCTGATAATGGAGCTTAGTACATAGCCATCTTGAGCCCAATCTTATATGAATATGTATATAGGATTGCAGCCTATCCCATACATAATTACCTGGGGATTAAGCCCCCTTGAATTCAATGGATCTCACTTTGGAGTAAATATGTGCAGGATTGCAGGGTTCGGTTTTGAATGACGGATGTCACAAAGGCATTCACAAACAGCACATTCAGGGAAAGAAGAGTCAAATGGAGTCCCCAGTGAACACCCCCCTCCCCCAATAATGTACGTAGGTTAAAGACAAATCTTTGTCCTAAATATCTCTGGAACGAAAAAGTATGGGGGGGGGAATCTCTGGACACCTGAGTAATGTCAAAATAAGCTGGGATCTTCACTTGGATGGTGGGAGTTAGAATGGCACTTTTTGAATGTGGAGTGCATTCAGTCTTTGCAGCATAATTCAAATTGGACATGTAATTCAGGTCCTGGAATTAACCCACTCAACCAAAGCTTGAAAAGATTTAGATTTACCCAGTCTACCTCTAATACAATAATGTCTTACAGTCACACAACCATCCTGGTTTGTGGTGATATAGCCAAACACACTGTAATCTGTCATTCTAAAACTTACTGTGGATAATTGTTAAAAAAAGGAGTTCTGTAACAATCCTTGTGGGGTTTGTCTGGCTGAAATATACAAAACCCCATACTTTTAAATAAAGACATTATTATTGTTAGTAGTAGTAGTAGTAGTAGAAGTATTTTAAAAAACAGCTCTTTTAAGCACTTTGAAAATTACTCTCCTGAAATGATCTTTTCCCCTCATCTTTAGACTGTCAAGAAGTACGGTATGTTTGCAACAAAATCCTAGTATTTTATTATTTTGGCTAGGATGGAAAGGGGTGAATATGCACAGTATTCTAATTATTCATAGTTAACCTCGGAATGCTTGAGCCGCCATTTAGTTGTCTGGGATTGTTTCAAAGGGGATTTGGCTCTGACCATAGGAGGAGGAATATATTTCCGGAAACCATAATGGTGTTTCCTTATTGTTAGCGACACTGCTGATTAAGGGGATTGTTATGAACACTGGATGGAATTTGGGCCAATGTGACATGGTCTAATTCAGCAGCCATGCAAAGCAACCTCAAAATGCAAAATGGGCTTTATTTAAATTGGGATGGGAGAACCTGTGGCTCCTAATTAGGCCTACAAGCCTTCCCCATTTGGCCCATAAGGCCATTTCAAGTCACACCCAGCCACATATATGACTTCAGGTTTGTGGCAACTAAAAACCTGGCTCAGCTGAAAGGTGTTAGTAGGAACCATGAATCACATGATTCCTGATGCCTGCAAAGTACTTTCAGAAAACAGCAAATTGAAAGGGGTTTCTGAAGTTAACAAAAAGGTAATCTGGTGTCATTTTGAGGCCAGGTGATTGGCAGGTGGGCAGCTCAAAACTTTACCTGCAAGCGGTGGGGGAGGTCTAGTTTCCTACCCCTGATTTAATACACTATTTTCCTCCTTTATTCAGGGCAAAATAAATATAAACACGACCTGAGGAAGGGGGAAAATCCTAAGAACAGGTGAAATGCACGGAAGCCTTAAAATCAGGGTAGTACACATAGGATGATATGTAAAAACTGGGACCCAGACATGCAGGTGTTAAGGTGTTAAGCAATGATTTTTCTTTGTGACAAAATATATCGCTATGAGGAGCCTGTAAGGAAATTAGTCTAAATCATTAATAACCATTACATTCTTGCAAATCTGCTATAAAACACCCAAAATAAATACACTCTATCTTATAAATAAAAATGCTTTAACATTAAGGCAGGAGATACAATACCCTTTTCTTTAAAAATTTAAAAAAACCTATGCAAAACATTATAATCTTACCTTTATATGGCTTTCTGCTTTCTCTCTTTTAAAACATTTATTAAGCAGAAAGACCTCAGTGACATGTAAATTTCATTTTCTATGCCTGGCAGATTAAAATACATCAGCTTCAGACATCATTCAGCAAAGAAATAATTTGAATAGTTCATTTTATTAGAAAAAAGATTTATGTCAGCATTTGACTGTGACATGAGAGGAACTAGGGGCACCCGTACAATGTTAAAAACAGATTTTCCATAAAAAGTAGCTGCACTAAAAAAAATAATGTGATTCATCATTGAACAGGTTAACTGCTAATGTTGTGAACAACACCTCGGTTATTCTCAGTTCACTCTCAGTACCTGCCACAATTGATTTACTCAGGGCTTCATATTCCTATTTCTTTATGTCCTTGGTCACCTACAACAGGTATGTACAAGGGACAGTGCAACCCATGAGGCAGCCTGGTCACAAGCCAAGAAGAGCCTCTTGGATCAAGCAACTCACTGGGGGAGTGGCAATTTTCTATCATTCATTCATTTGTGATTCATCATGCTATAACACTCTTTCACCTAAGTGGTACTCTTATTTTTAAAAATACAGGGTGGGGGAGCATTTTACTACTAATAAAATATTGTTTGACAACAACAACCAACCACCAGAGGGATAAAATAGTGCTCTTTGCAAAAGCTGTTTAGAACTCTGTGCTGAAAGGTTCATCACACTTTTTAAAATACAGGAGCAGTTTACTCAGCAGGCCAGAGTGTCTCAATTGTAGCATCCCTGCTATGTCTGGCATACCCAAACCTTTTAACAGTCCCCAAAGACACGCCAACAACACCAACAGTAACACATATCCATTTGGGTGACGTATCTAAATCATCTTTCCCCGATCCCTAACTTATGCCATGACAACCATGCATATCAAATCAGCCTGCACCTTCCCACATTCATATAACCTTTCAATGTGAATGGTTATCAGCTTGTGGTAACATGCAGGCAGGCTTTTTGGGTGGGGGTGCCTGTATTGTGGAATGCCCTCCTTGCTAAAATACAAGAGCCCCATCGGTACTGGCACTCTGTTGGTTCTTGATGGTACACCTATTTAGGCAAGCTTTCCTCTGAACTTGCTCTTTTAACTGTTTTAATTACTACAGTTTTTAACAAGATTGCTTTTTCTGTATCTTATAAATAGTAATAGTATCCTCAGACTTTAAATGCCTTTTAAAAAAATACAAATAAACAGGTTCAGCTGGGATAGCTCAGTTGCCAGAACACGAGACTCTTAATCTCAGGTTCATAGTTTTGAGCCCCATGTTGGGCAAGAGATTCCTGCATTGCAGGGGCTAGACTAGAGCAGTGTTTCCCAACCAGAGGCCCTGGGGCACCCCAGGATATTCAAAGGCGGCCACAGTTGAAAAATGTGCAAATGAGGAGCCATAGCATGAGACCATAGCTGTCAACTTTTCCCTTTTCTTGCGAGGAATCCTATTTGGAATAAGGGAATTTCCCTTTAAAAAAGTGGAACGTTGACAGCTATGCATGGGACTAGGGGGCCACAGAGGGAAGTGAGAAGTGAAAGGGGGGAAATCATCATTTTTTTATTTAAATCCTGGTTGGATGGCTATCCACTCGGCCAATCACAAGTGGGCAAGGGGGCAGCCCACCAGGGCCTAGCACTCCTTTTTGCCCCGTGCATTTTCTTGGAGCAGTCCTGGTTTGTTTCTGGCGGGAGACAGTAAACGCTGATGTTCCTGTTTTGACCAGTAGAGCCTGTGATCCAGAACCCCCAGGTCAGGTAAGTGCGGTGGTGGCATGGCAGTGGGTAGGGCTGGGAGAGCCAGAGCTGCTTGTTGCTGCCACCAGTGCTGGGCCTGGTGGAACCCTGAGCCTGACTCTGCAAGGCGCAGGGTGCAATCCACTCCAGCGCCTAGTGGATCAGGGCCTTCGGATGTTGCCAAGGGGTGCAGAGCCTGTCAGCAGCATCGGCCTGGCACTGCAAAGCGGGATGAAACCCACCCCATTGCGTGGCCAAGTGGGGTCATCTGGTGCTGCTTTCATCTAAGGGTCTACTCAGAAGAAAGGGGCGCGGGTGGCGCTGTGGGTTAAACCACAGAGCCTAGGACTTGCCAATCAGAAGTTCGGCGATTCAAATTCCTGCGACTGGGTGAGCTCCCATTGCTCGGTCCCTGTTCCTGCCAACCTAGCAGTTCGAAAGCACGTCAAAGTGCAAGTAGATAAATAGGTACCGCTCTGGCGGGAAGGTAAACGGTGTTTCCGTGCGCTGCCCTGGTTCGCCAGAAGCGGCTTGGTCATGCAGGCCACATGACCTGGAAGCTGTACGCTGGCTCCCTCGGCCAATAAAGCGAGATGAGCGCCGCAACCCCAGAGTTGGTCAAGACTGGACCTAATGGTCAGGGGTCCCTGTACCTTTACCTTACCCAGAAGAAAGCCGCACTGAGTTCAGTGGGCTTTACTCCCAGGTAAGGGTGTGTGGGACTATAATGTTTTATCGAGGCAGCCAGGGCTCCTCCAGATGACAAGCTCTTTTTGCACCATGACAGTGAAAACCACTTGCTTTTTAAAATTCTCCCATATATACAGAACTCCCTGTGCACCTTTTGGACTGTATCTGTAGGTTTCCCCCTTTGTGTCAAATAACTGGGGTCAAATTAGTGTTGTTTACTTTTAATAATACATGGACGTTTGATCTCCCTCGAAAGGTTCTGGACACTCCTTCCTTGGAGGTTTCTAAGCAGAGGTTGGGTGGCCATCTGCCATGGATGTTTTAGCTGAGTTTCCGACATTGCAGTGGTTGGTCTAGATGACCAATGGGATCCCTCCCAGCTCTATGATTCTATGTTTTTCTGCTTCAACAATATTTCATTATGTTCCTATCATTTTATGTAATTGTGTTCTGTATAAATTATAAAAAATATAAATAAAACATTTTCTATTTACAAACAAAACATAACGGGGGACATGGGCATAGTCAGGATTTTTGTTAGGGGGGCAGGCTTTTGTTAGGGGGTGCAAAACCTCAGATTTGTATTGATATTTGCTTATTTGGGGGGCAGCTGCTCCCCTTGGCTATGCCCATGGGGGGCCACAGGAGAGAAACGAGGTCGAAAGGGGCCCACGGTCAGAAAAAGTTTGGGAAACACTGGACTAGAGGACCCTTGTGGTCCCTTCCAACTCTGTGAATCTGTAACACAAAAACCTGCAAGAAGATTTCAACATGAGAACTCTCCCTCCTCTTTCTTGTTCTAATGCAATTTCCATATTTGTCTGAAACCAGCTCCTTGAATTCAAAAGCTGGATACCAACTAAGGGCTTATCCACACTTATCTTTCATCTGCTCTTTCTAGGCATGATCCACAATTTAAAGCTCTGTGTCTTGCGCTCTCTCTCTCTCTCCAGAGCTTTCCCTATGAAAACCAACTCTTTAAAGCTCAGTTGGAGGAAACACCAATTCATGGAAAACCCGAATTGATACTTGCTCTGATTCAGCTTTAAAGAACAGGTTTATGCATGGAAAACTCAAGACAAAAAAACAACGCTTGGACACAGATTGTGGACCTCTGCCTGGGCGAAGGGTAAGTGTGAATAAGCCCTTTGATATTCTTGGTAGCTGCTTCTTAGGCACAGACTACTCTCTGAAGAACTAGGCAAACCCAAAATGTACGCATCTCCCCAAAACAATAAATACGCCTTTTATATCTGTGCTGAATTTCAATAGCTGGGGCTATGCTCATATGTAGGAAGAGTTTAGGAATTTGGCTTTGGTAGCCCTCCTGAACTTTGGGAATAGGCTCAACTAGACAACAATCCAGTAGCGATGGCCCCAGGCACAGTTCAGATTCCACTGATGGACTCACCCCAGTTAAACAAAAGATTGGATCCACTAGCCTAGGTCTTATGCACAAAACCTCCACAGCCTAGGGAACATGCAGTGGTATTTGCCCTGCCCTCTTGATTAAGTACCATTCATTTATTAAAGGCTGTAAAGTCAGAGAGCCTAAAAGAAAGGAGAAATCTTGGGGAGATCTGAGGGTAAAATGGCATATTTTTATAAGTAGAAAGATTATTTGACTTTAGAGCTGTAATAATGATAATTTCTGTGACCAAAAGTGCCCCCTTATGATTAATCAATTATGCAAACCATCACCATTTCAAAGCTAGTAAAGACTTATTTAATGACATTTTTCATGCATCTCGTGTCTTTAATATATTATTATCCCCCTTTATCCTGACAGAGTTGTCCGCCGCAGAGCACCCGGCTCCCTTCTGCAGCTGGTGGAATCATTCGCTCGCATTGGGAAACAATTGTTTATTTAGAATAGATTTTTCAAAACTGATTGCTTTAGAAAAGCAGCTGACTGTCGCTGGGCAGTTGGATTCTTCTCCAGCCTGGCATACATTTCCAGAGAAATGCCTTACAAGACGGTGGTTTCTGTATGAACAGTTGCCTAGGCTTGATGTAAGAAAATCAGCTTCCTTTTCTTTTTCTTCACCTGCTTTACTGCCCCAGGAATGATCTCAACTCAGCTTGGAGTTGAGTATATACATAGGAAAAGAAGTCATTTCATCCTTTCTCATTTCACTTCTGGGCATCTTTTGGGCAGAGGACAGAAACAATCTCAAGCCAAAGATATTCTCTTCTGAGCTGCATTGTGCACTTTGCAAATTGAGCAAAAAAGAGGGTCAGGTTCGTTTTTAGGGAGACGTTAAGGGCAGGCTGCTGTCCTGGCCAACGCTGCATCGCATGTGAGACAGAAGAACGTTTTAGAGAACAAAGCCTATTTCACTTTAAAAAATGAAAGAATTGGCACCGGTTCCCTTTTGCTAAAAATAATGACATGGAATTTTGGTGATTTTCATGTCCAGGCACTTCACAGGTAATAGAAGGGAGCTGCACTCAAGACAGAAAGCTGGCAGGAAGAGGTGCCATAACTCCTTTGTACACCTCTCCTTATTTTCACAGAAAACCTTCCTCGCTTTCCCTTTCGTCCAACAGTGCTGAACAAAACAAGTTCCAGACAAAAAAAAGGTCTATACACTATTCAAGAACTAGCTTGGAGGGACCTCTGTTTAAACTATAGATTGTCAGTTGTGAATACAGATCATAGTGAGCTTTTTTAAAATTTTGATTCCTCTGGTTCCGTTTGTCAATAAGGACCCCATATTTTATACAGAGGGGTATATTAAAAAGCAACTGAGAACAAGCCTATGCTTACATTGGAGTAAATCCCATTGAACTCATGCATACGGTTTAACTTTTAGCCACACTTAGCTTCTACTATGCCAAGTTGTGCAGGAAAGTCCTTCCCAGTCTTGCCTTCACATGCCAAGAAAAACAGACACCAACTTTGTATTTGTTGTTAACCGTTTATTAAAATTTTCCCAAATTCTTTTGGATTATAGTTTCTCTTTCAGTTTCTTCTCCTTGGTTTTCCTCTCACTCCCACAGGGCACTTAAGAGCTCACTACAATTATAATTCAGTCAACATATTCCAGTCACATAATAAGGAAAGGGAAATAAATAAATGAGGAGACAAATGTAAAATGTAGAATATTTATAAACAAACATAAATAAAAGTAACTCCCATTAGCCCCAGCTAGTATGGTCAGAGATTATGGGAGTTTTACTATACAACACCGAGAGTTCAATGAAGTCCCAATTCTCAAGCTCACGAAACTCTACCTTTTTCAGTTTAACGACAGGATCTTTACATGGGCTGCCAGTCACAGAAGGTCATCCATCCATTCAGTGATTTCCAATGTTGGAAGAATTACTATTTTACCTGCTAGCATGGAACCATCTCTTCTGCACTTCAATCAACCTCTACTTATTAGGTATAGCTATTACAACATACACAATTCCTTCTCTGCAGGGATTCATTGCAGTTCAAATTAATTCTGGTTTGCACCTCCCTCCCAAACAGTGTTATAACTGGGCGTCTCCCAAATACATGCATTAGTCTGCCTGTGGCTGCTTGCAGCATTTGGATCAGCTGTGGGGACCCTTTGACCCTGCCTGGTTGTTGCTGAACTACAACTCCCATCATCCCAATCCATTGACCTTGCTTGCTGGGGCTCATGGGAGTTGTGGTTCAGCAACATCTGGAGGACCACAGGTTCCCCACACCTGATTTAGATGCAGAGCAGATGCTCTACCACTGAAGCTATGGCCTTTTCTGTAATAAGGGAAATTAGGAATACAGGAAGATGCCTTATACCAGGTCAGAGAATAGGTTGATCTCTAGGCAGGGCTTTCCCCAGCCTTACCTGGTGATGCCTGAGATTGAACCTGGAACAGGTTCCTGCTTCTGGGTCGTGGTTTTCCTGCCTCTCCTGTGCTTGGCTCAGAAAAGTGCTTCCAGCTGAGTATGGCTGAGGAGACAGCCTTGGGCAAGAGACAGTAGGGAGGAAGAGACAGAGAAGCCAAGATCTTGGTGATACAGTCCAAAGGATTTTGGCAGCTGCTTTATTCATACAGCAAACAACATGAATTGGGTCACTGTGGTCCCTTTCAGCAAAGGATTCTTCTTACTCTCCCCCTTCTTTTTATCTGTTAGAAGGCAGATTATTTCTACAATAAATGGTAGGCCTCCTAGAAAACGGGAGGGGCAGAAAAATTCCACTGGAACGTCTTTTTAAACAAACATGATGTTGGAGCATATGTCATGTCACTGAAGACCCAAAAACCATTCCCACACATACTTATATCATGAAATAATTTTAAAATATATACATTGGACCTGTGAATTTTCCATCGTTAGCCACATGGCTGGGTAAAAACTCAAATGCCCAAAGAATAAAGTTGCAATGCATGAATTCTGCCTAGGATAAAACAGGTTTTTTTAAGCCAAATAATATTTTGAGATGACTGACTCAAGATCCCCATCTAGTGGCTTCATGAAACTTAACAGTCGCCATTCCAATGTAACCTTTTTTTCTTTAAAGTATTTAGCTTTGGGCTCATCAGCCCTTCCCTTCATCCTGTGATTTCTTTTGTTGGTCCCATGATTTCCAGGCATGGGTCTGAGAGGTTTTGTCCCAAGGCTTTCCCTGGGAAAACCCACTGCTTCCCTAGGGAAAGCAGGGGGAGAAAAGAAACAGGGAACAAACAAAAATCTGAATGAGCCCTTTGTTTTCATTTGTCAAACGTGGGGTTTCACCCAGCTAATCATGAAATCTCTTCTGGGTTTTGGTGCGTAATGACCTCTGATCACTGGCAAAATAAAATCTCAGGACTGTTTTTGTTATTATTTCTTTCCAAATAACTGGTTCATGGCATTTTATAGTACACTATTGATTTGATGCAGAGGTAGGGAACCTGCGGTTTTGGAGCAAAACATAGGAAAAAAAACTTCTGTTGAAGTATAGTTGGTGTGTTATTAGGCATGATTTCTCCTAAGTATACTTATATTGTAGAAAAGATGGCTATATACAAATGAGAATGCAGTGCACATATCCATTCTGCCAAAATGACTATGGGAGGGAGGGCTGCAGGTAGCTCAGTGCTGGGGCATCTGCTTTGCTTGCAGAAGATCCCAATTTCAATCCCCAGCATCTCCAGGTAGTGCTTGGAAAGACTCCTGCCTGAAACTGTCTACAGCTGCTGCCAGTCAGTGTGGACAGCAATGAGGTAGATGGACCAATGCTCTGATTTGATATAAGGCAGCTTCCTGTATTCCTATCCCTGACTTTCTGCATAATAATTCCTCCCACGTTAACCGAATCATTACTAGTGAAAAGAGTATCTCATCTCCCTCAAGGAACTCACCTAATTTGTGCTCCCTTAAGGTTGAGAAAGAGTGATTGACGTGAGGATTTGAACCCAGGGCTCCCCATCCCTAATCTACCACATCAATAGTGGCCACACCACCTGTTCATCAAGCTAACACAGGGCCAGCTCTAGTAGTAGACAGAGAGCTGATTTCAGGCAGCAGCAGCCCAGTTGTTTCTCCTGAACCCCCCAACCATTTCCCTTTGTTGGAGGCAGAGCTGTAGATGCTGAACAGCCCATCCTGAAGCCCTAAATTAGCCCAACACCAAATCTTGGGGAATCCCCCTTTTCACATCTCTCCAGTCAGAGAGCATCCAGCATCCTTTCTCACAGTGGCCAACCAGACGTTGGAAGCTGAGCTGAACAGCACTCCCGAGATACCCAGAAACTGGTACATTCCATCATGGTGGATACCTTAAGCCCCCGTTTTAGATGAAAAAAAGGACATAGCTATCACACTGTTGCCAGCTGTGTAGAAGAGGAGCTTAGGGCAGGTGTGTTTGTATGCTGTCCCCTCTTTTTCAGCTTCCCACCACACAGTTTGAAACCAGTCCTCCTGCACCTGCCTTAGAGATGTTAAGAGATGGTGCCTATGTCCATTTAGTGAGTTCGTGGCTTAGGTAAGAGATTTGAAACAACAAATTATTCATGAAACAAACTAAACAAACTAAAACTTAGCTAAACATTTTTTTTAAAAAAACAAACAACTAAGCTCCACTTAAAAATACAAATTTGAAAAATGGAACGCAGAATACCAAATTTTTGCTGTATACATCCAGGTATGTACAGTCAATTGTCGTGGTCTTCACTGACCAAGACAAATTAAGGTTTCCTCATCTTCCTGTCCTGGAGAATGAGACATCGCTCACCATATGAGAGCAAAAAGGTGTCAAGCTCCTAGATGCTGACAGAGCCATGAGATAGATAGACAGACGGATGCAGGCAGAAGCTGCAGATCCATTCCAGACTCATTCCAGTCTTTTTGTTCTACCTGCATTTCTTGCTGTCTGCTTCCCTCCTCCTCCCTGCCACCTTTGTCCCTTTTCCCACAGTGGCAGCTGAGACTGCAAGGTTGCTGCTCCATACTTTCTCCTTCTCACCATGATCTCAATTTTCTTTTTAAACATTGAGTATTTCTGGGCATACCCGGCACACCCTGCCTATGTGTAGGATATTTTCTCCCACATTGGTAGGGTTTGTTTCTCAGTGAAAATTCTCTACCCATCTTTTTTTTAATCACATGCACAAAATGTAGTGGAAACAGTTTTCTGTTTTGTTTTTAAAGCTTGCATCATCTTACACAACAACAGATGCTGCCAGTTTTAATATATTTAAGCAGCATATGCACCCATTAGAAATATAAGTCCTCACTCTTTTAGGGCTTGCATTGTGCATTTATATATGCTGCTTCCCGCAGGGCCCCGTGCTCGAGAGTTATTCCCATTACAGTTAATGGGACTGTTTGAGGAAAGTGGTTTGAGCATTGCCCACCAAGTTACTAAAAATTAGGTCTCATAGTTCCTAGACCAGGAACTATCTTCCCATTAGTTCGGTGGGCATACATTTTGTAGAACTATGCAGTGCTGTTTGATAAGATAGCAGGAAAGAAGCTATTTTCTGATTTACAGATAGAATATCTCCCTTCACAGTTTTCATGGCAGTTTTAAAAGTTCTAAACACATTTGGTTTCCCATTTGCACTTACTCTGATGGCAGAGACCAGATAAAAACATGTCAAATATTATCACACTAGCAAAGGTTCTTCATTATTTGAGATATAGACCTGGGCCCATTTTTATCAGATCTCAATTCTTCAGGTAAACCATGAGTCACAAAGTGAAGCATTATGCTATAATGGCTACATTAACAGAGGACCTGGAGATAAAATTCCGGTCATTTTGACTGTGCACCCACTATCATTAGGAAGCTTTCATCTTAGGAGGTGATTTGTTGGCGAAGATTAAGGCTTCAGCTGGGTAAATTGTCTGGTCTTATAAATAAATCAGTTTTTTGACTATCCCCTTTTACTTCTTTTTCCATCTAACTTGGGAACAAAAGTTTTCTCATGAACCTCACATGGAGATGGAATGATGGTTGATGAAATGAACTGGAAGGATGGGTCATTAAAATATGCTTGAAATATTATTCTACACACATGGTTTGTATATGATCACAAATGGCACCTTTACTTAGTTCAGTTTTTTTACATGATGTATTCTCATTCTTACTAAATATTATTTTTATACGCACACACACACACACACACCTGGAATAAAAATGCAGCAGTATGACATAAATGAATCGATAAAGGAAATAAATAAATAGCCACTCGTAACAAATTAGATCAGTAGAAAAGTAAATAAACAAATTGTTAAAAGAATAAAGGACATAAAGAACACATAACAAAATAAATAATTAGAAGAAAAGAGAGCAAGAAGAGTTGTTGGGCATTCAAATAAAATTAAATGTAATTACCATATCTGAAAGCAGGGAAAACTTGAATCTCGCAACAACCCTGTGAAGTAGGTTGGGCTAAGAGATAGTGACTGGCCCATGGCCACCCTGTGAAGTTCATCGCTGAGTGGGGATTCGAACCTTGCTCTCCCAGGAGTTGCCAGAAGGAGGTG